TCTACTCTCTCTTCTTTTTTCTCTTTCTCTCTCTCTCTCTCTCTCTCTCTCTCTCTCTCTCTTTGTCTTTCTCTCTAACATATCTATATATATTTATATTATAGCATATATATATATAGAGTATATGTATATATATATATATATGTATATATATATATATATAAGTAGTCTATATAATATATATGTATATATATATACACATATATATATATATATAGTATGAATAATATATATATATATATATATAGATATACTATTCATGCTATATATATATATGTGTATATATGTATATATATATATATATATTACATAGACTACTTATATATATATATACATACATATTTTGTATATATTTATATGCTATATATATATAATATATATATATATACACTATACTAAACGATATATATTTTATAAATATTATATACATATACTATATCTACTATATATACTATAAAAACCATATGTATTGTATATAGTATATATAGTAATATATAGTATATATAGTATATATAGTATATATGGTGTATATAGTATTATAAGTATATTATAGTATATTAAGTATATATTATATATAGTATATATAGTAATATAGTATATATAGTATATATATTGTATATATATATATATAGTATATAGATAGTATATATAGTATATAGTATATAGTTATTATATACTAATCGAATATATATTTAGTATAGTGTTATATATAATATATTATATGCATTAAATATATACAAAGTATGTATATATATATAATAAGTCTATTATATATATATAATATTACATTATTTACATATATAGCATAATATATCTATATATTTATATATATTCATACTATATATATATATATGTGTATATATATATACATATATATTACATAGATTACTTATATATATATATACATATATACTATATATACTATTTGTACTATATATACTATATATATATATATATATATACACTTTATACACTATATATATATACTATATATACTATATATCTACAATATATACTATATACACTATATATCTACAATATATACTATAGAACTTGTATATACTTTATATAGTGTATATATATATATACTATATATATATATATATATATATATATATTATATACTATATATACTATACATACTCCATATATATATATATATATAGATAGGGAATGAAAATAGTTGTTATCAGGAAAACCGAAAAAAGAGTGTTTTCCCTAGAAGTCCAAGGAAAGCACCACCGAAAAAAAAACAAAAATTGGCACCCCCAAAAAAATAAAAGGGCCCAAAAAAAGTCTCCACCCCTGTCAGGTGTGCTGGTTTGCTTGAATCCCAAACCTACCGTAATCGTTGTTTCCCGAACCCTTAACAGGCACCGCACACATTGTGTGCGGTGCCGCGGGCAAACCACGCCATCCGCACCATGCCTCCATCCATGTCAGCCGCATACGCCACGGCCCACGACGAGGCAACCTGGCAGACGTTGCAGGCATGTCTGGGTGGGGTTCCCGAACTGGAAGCAGAACAGGCCCGCGAACTTGCGACACTCCCTGCCGCACTCGGTGGCCTCGGCTTGCATTCGGCCATGCGGACTGCTCCCGCTTCTTACTGGGCTGCATGGGCCGATGCACTCCCCCGTCATCCACACGCGACTCCCGGAGTGCGCCAACCGCTACCTCCGAGAGTTGGAGCGAGGAGATGACGCTGCTCCGTGTTTTCACGAAGCGGACGACGCCCGCAGGATCCTCCAAGACGAGGGGTGGAACGATCGCCCCTCTTGGCGAGCCATCTTACCCAGCGAGCCAAGCACAACCTTGACTCCACAGGCCATGCATCTGGCACTGCGCCGTCGCTTGCGACTACCCTGCCCTTGAGCCCCCACCGGTGCGGCCCCAATCAGACCACACACTCGCCTGTCCACGGACAGGATTGCTGGCTAGGCGGGCCAAAGTGGTCGAACGCGCTTGGCTGCGCGTGGCGAGAGAAGCAGTAGGCGCGGAAGGCCAGGTCGTGCCACAGCAGTGGCTCGCCCACACAACGGCCTCAGGCGTGCGATCTGACGACCGCCCACGCCTCTATCTGGTCCATTATATGGTCCCCTATGGGGCCACGTCCAACGGCCGAGCGCTCTGCTGCGACGCGACACTCGTGTCGCAGCTGACCCGCAGTGCTGGACACCCGCAACCGTGCGCGGACGCAACGGATGGTGCAGTGCTGCGTGTCGCAGAGCGCCGCAAGCAGGCAGCCCACCCCGAGCTTACGCGGCGGGCCCCAACACCTGGTCGTGCTGGGGACCGAGGTCGGAGGGCGATGGAATGCGCAAGCTCTCCGCTTCCTGCGCGATCTCGTCCGCATCCGTGCGCAAAGAGCACCGCCTGCTGTCCGTGCCGCTGCTGCCGGAGGCTGGTCGAAGCGATGGCAAGGCATCGTATCCATCGCAGTCCAACAAGCCGTAGCGGGCACGGCCCTCGGTCGCGCGTGGCCGGCCCTGCCACAAGCAGGACCGACTGCGGGGCCCAGCCTGGACAGGGTGCTGGACCTCGCCGAAGGCGCCGGGGCGAGTCGTCTGCCGCTCCGGCCGTAGGTTTTTGCTCGGCGTAGCCAGGCTGTGTGAAAGGATACTGCCACTGGCATCCCGGACAGCAGGCAGCTGGAAAAAGGTGTGCAAAAAAAATAACAAGGTTCTTTGTTTGAAGATATTCTTTGCTACGGGTTTAGGGTTGGGGTTTAGGATGATGACACTCCTGCTGATCATGACCATGATGATGACGATGATGATGATGATCTCATTGGGCTTGTCTTCTACAGGGAGGGTTGATAGTGAGACAACGGAGCATCACTCAGGATAGCCGAACGCCGGAAGTTCACTACCTACCCGGAGCTTTCCCGCGGCGGGCCACAACAGCTCGTCGTGTTGGGTTCGGAGGTGGGCGGCGGGCGGACGCTGGAACGAGCAGGCTCGCACTTTCGTGCAGGACTTCGTCCGGTTGAAAGCTCGCCGGGCCCCGCCCACACTCCGCGCAGCGGCGTCAGGTGCTTGGGCGAGGCGCTGGTGGGGCATGTTGTCCGTGGCGGTGCAGCAGGCCGTCGCCAGCACAGCCTTGGGCGGCTGGGTGCACCCCCTGCACCCCGAAGCCTGCGACGGCCCACTGCCACTGCTGGACGCCCTGCTCCACCATGAGGCCCCCGCCGGCCAGAGTCGCTTGCCATTGAGGCCCTGACAATGGGCCGTAGCATAGTCTGCCCTCTGTCGGGTAGCCGTGGGTAGCCTAGTCAGCTGCGACCGCGGCTGCAACCGCTTTCGCTCGGCAGCTCGAAAAGACCGATGGGAAAAAAAAGACAGGCGCAAAGACATCCCACCAGAACCTCAGGAAATGATGATGATGACAATGATGATGATGATGATGATCATGATTTCTATGCGACCCAAAGTACACAAAAGTGGCGCGTCGGGAGGCTTGCTTCAAACGAAAAGAATTGCAGGGAACCATGCGTGCGCACCTCTTGACAGAGCGACGTGTGGAAGGCGCAGCGACTCTGGAAGAAAAAACGCAACTTTCGCACGCCGTCAGGGTCTCCTGCAAACCACGAATCACTCGCCAGGGACGAGGTTTTCGGCATTCCTGATTGAAGGGGGGCGCGCGCACCCATTGCGTCATGGCGCGTGGAGCCGGTTGGTCAATGAAGATGGACCTTGAAGTTTCCTCTTTGAAACCTTGCTCATGAGGCAAATGATATGACACATTTTGAATACAACTATAAAGTTTATTTTGTGCAAAAGGAAGGAAAAAGATAGCAAAAGATAGCTGGCATTTAGGAATAGTTACAAAAAGATAGAAAAGATAGCTTCTACTTGTAAATCAGGTGCATATATGTGTAACAGGACTAACAGCTTCTGCTTCTAACTACTCTCTGCGTGCATTGCAAAAGTTATAAGCACCCTACCCCAAAAGAACCCTCCGTGTAATGCGTGCTGGAGGAGCAGCACCGCGTGCCCGCCCACAGTGGCGAACATCGTAAGCCAGCTCTTCTATGGCGGCAAGATGCGGGACGGACGGAGTGTAATCCGTTCTGTACCCTTCCTACCCTACCCTTCCCTGCCCCTGCCCTACCCTTCTACCCTAGGCTTTACCCACCCTACGTATAAACCGCCTGCACTCTTCCCTTACCCCAGACCCGACCCTCGGGGGCAGATAGGTTAAGCACACACAGCGCCAAGAGCACAAACATACATATCGTTCATTTTGAAAGCTCGCGGCCACAGCGCCAGCTTTCTGCAGGAGACTAGGTAGCTGACATCGCTGGGACATGCCAAAACCAACGGATCTGAACCGGACGGATGCCCTTCAGCACACCGCACAACCAATGCTTCGACTCTTCTCCTCTATGTACTCAGAAACCGCGCCCTGTCAGGAGGCAAGCGTCGGCGCAAAGCAATGGGCATTTCGGGCAACTCGCGATTGCTGCCGACATCAGCTAGCATGGCCCCCGGACGTGTTGCTGCTGGCACAAACCCAAATCTCGGCGACGCTCTGTTCATGCCTTCGCATCCTGCGCCACGGCCTTCAGAGACGCGGCCGCGTCTGCCCGGCGACAGCTAATCAGCTAATTCCAGGAGTCGCTTTTCAACCCGCATTTGCCGGTCATGGTGCGTTACTCTGCTCGGCGAGGTGGTATTGCACCGTGTGCAATTCATGAGAGGGTGATTTCAAAGCGCGCAGAGCATGCCGGTCCCATGCGCTGACGCAAGACTGGGCTACGAAGACATGCCCCGTTTGATGTTTGCTACCATCGTCGTTTGCTTGGTTCTGTTGCCATTTGTTGCCCGTGTCCCAGCGGGTACAGCTTTCGATCAGGAGTGACAATTCAAGATCCTAACGCCCAAGAGTTTGGCTCCAGCGTGAAGGCACAAAAAAGTAGCAACGACCACTACAAAGAGACATCACATGTATGAGATTTCAAGAACAGCGGAACGGCGCACAATTTTCACCAGCTTTTCATGACGGAGGACTTCGGCTACAACTCGTTGTGGTTGGAAGTCCAGGCTTGACAATGCAGTCAATGATCAAGAGGCGGGAAGATGTTCCCATTCGGTTGTCGCTCCGAGGAAGCTGCCGCAGCTTTGTTTGGCTTCCTGGACGTTTCGGCATTGACTGCTGCACGGGCCGCTTGCCAGGGCCAAAACGCGGCCATCTCAGTCATCGGACAGCGTCGCCACAGGGTTCAGAACAAGCACATAAGCACAGTATGGCCTTGTAAAAATGCCATGCTAGGTTTCGTATATATAATACAGATTTCGAATCATTGGGGCAAAGGTTCAGTTGCCGACATCCTACTTGTTGATAGCTGCAGGTTTTGGCCGGAGTCGACAGGCGCGTGCCGGCTCAATTAAAACATGACGCACTGCACCGCCACGGCTGTTACACACAAACTGTATCAGGTTGTTTGCTTTGCAGATGCGAACCCTGGAGACTGAGAAAGTCGCCAAGGATAGGAGGTTGTCCGTCGGCATTCATTTCTTTGTTGCGATCCTCATGCATTTTGCTTTGGGGATCTTGGGGCGAATGTCGGGCATTGCATCCCAGGCGCGCACTTGCTGCTGCTCGACGGCTGGTACCCCCCATGCAGCGGATTTTGCTTCAGAGGTGGGCAGAGGCCAGGTCTTAATGGAGGACAGCAGCGAATTTATTGCAAATGTATGGCTTGTCTAGACTTGAAGACATATATTGCCAGGTGTGTCTGCAATCCAGCGAGCACCGGATTGTGCGAACCGAAGCGGTGCGCACGTTGCAAGAGGTGCACGCCATGGGGCCATGAGGGATGACATACAGCCTTCGACCGCACCATGTGCCGTGTTAGCTGTGGCAGTGCCTAGTTCGAAGGTCGTCGATCCGGGAGACCACGCGGCCGCACAGGCGTTGGGAACTGTGGTGCTGGATGAAGATCGCCAGGTGCCAAGCATTGCCGCATGATCCGCATGCCTTTTAACCGCCGCACAAGCCCATTGGTCAAGTTATTCAGCTGGCCATTTTCAAATTTCCGATACTTTCCGAGGTTTTGTGCGTCGAGCTTTGGTCGATGCCCTCGTCGTCCACAGCGCCGATCCTAAAGCCAGGTCAGCATTAAACGAGCTAGCGCAGGCTTGGCATGGCTTGGCAGTTTGTGATAGTCTGTGCCCGGACACGTCAGCCTTGATATCGATGCCGCGGCATCAGGACCGCGACCGTTTTGTCCAGAACGCAGCACGGCACGCGATCTCAGAGCTCGGAGACGTGCAATCCAGCGGGATTGTCTAGATGTGCCCCTCCCAGCCAGTGTGGCGGCAATAAAAACCAGATCGCGTTCAGCGTTTGAAGTGGACAGGTACAATGGAGAATGGTGGAAACACCGACGCCTTCGAACAAGACCAACTCGCCTCCTCATCAGCTGGCATCGCGAATTGCGATTGTGCGACTCGCACTACTCTGATCCCGGCTCCAGGTCGAGCTGGTGTATGTTGCACCGACGATATGTCGAAGATTTCGGAGTGGCGGCATCAGTTATCACACGGTCCGAAGTTGTATGGAAGCTTTGCGCAGGTCCGACGTGTGTGCGTGTGTGTGTGTGTGTGTGTGTGTGAACGTGGCAGATTGCCGCATCTGGTCGTGCGTGCATGCAGCGTGCACTGACTCGATTATGTTGCAAATTGACACGTGTGGCGACGGAAGCAAGCTGGAGAAATGGCAAGCCGGCAGCAACAGGCCGAGTTGACCCACATGTTGATTGCAGCCCTCACCAGATGTTTGTGGCAACTGCCTTTTGAATGCTGCTCCAGCGGCAGGGGCAGCACGGGGATTGCATGCTTTGATGATTGCATAGCTGAGCAGATAGATGGAAAAAGACAGGAAGGTTACACTGTCACAGAGCAGGACAGGATAGATTGGGTGTGTGCTGCATAAAAGTACATATGCGATTGGGCAAGTTCATCTGCCATCGTCAACATGTCCACAAGTCTATGACCCATTGTCTGATGACGACAACTTCAAACCCACGACAAAATCGCAGTAAGAACAACGCGATGATTCTTGGAGCTGGGCCATCGGCATCCCCACAAAGCCTGCTCCTCGGTGTTTTGCAGGTTCGGGACATGCTTGTCTGACGCTCCCCCGTTTAGGCTGGAGGCGAAAATGTCGCGAGCAAGCGGTCCTCCCTACGTCCCACGACCCCCGCCAGGCCAGCATAGGATGCTCGATGCCAAGCGCACATAGCACATGCCCGAGACTCTCCCGACGCAGGCCACACCGTCGTCAAAACTGGGCGACGGTTCGTTGGCGGAAGCTTCCGGCCCCAGAGTCGGTGATCGGCTCAGGCTGCAAGATGCCCTCACAGTGGGGCGCATGTTGCAGGATCCTGCCGGCATAAAACGTGAACCCCTATATAGTCACAGCTACCATCCGCTACGAGTCATCTAGAGCTTGTTGTTGTCCCTCGCATTGCAAGTCTGAGTCGTGGACCGTCAGCCTCACAACAACTGTGAACAGATCTATGTGCAATCATCGAAGGAGTTGCCATCGCTGAGGCCAGTAGGCCTCCGGGCTCCCCCAGCCCAGAAGGTGCCGCCGCCCAGACTGTGGATCGAGGACAGCTCTTGTGAAGGATGACACGGAACTTTCAGAACTCGTTCCGATGTCTACCCTGCATCTTTAAGTATACTCTCGCAGAGGACGCCAATGCGGACACCGACTGTTCCGAAACTGAAGTGTGCCTTGTCCCACTTATATGCTGGGGGAGAACGGGTAGCATGGGTAGCTTTCTTCGGTCACATGCAGCAGATGTCTCAGTCAAGCCTGAGCTTAGGCGTGCCGGCAGGTGCCGGCGGCTCAGTGCAGAGCCGCACCCTCAGCAGTGACGGCCCGTGCCGGGTGAAGCATGCTGAATACAGGGACTTAGTGATGGTCTGAACTCTGTGTCAGGTTTTTGCATATTTTGTACAGAGCTGTCTTGTTAGCGTTAGCTCCTACGCTGTACTGAGGTATGCAGTTATTGTCCCTGAATGGGCCGATGTACCTCGAGCCATGACTGCCTCTGGCGACGAATTCGTCAGCCGGGGTCCCGGCACCAGGGCTCCGAGCTCTGATTCTGCTGCATTTGGCGAAAGGCTGCCACCCTGTACCTGGCGGGGTGCAACTTGTGCTGCGGCGCGCAGCAAATCCGCCCCGCGAGCCGTCTCCTGCCCGGCCCTTGGTTTTGTCGACTTATACCGAGTCATACCTGATTAACACATTGCCGAATGATTTTCCAACATGTCGAATGCGATACAGACTGTAATCCAGCACCAGTGAGATCAAGACAGTGGTTGTCGCCGGAGGGATGCGGAGAGGGTATGCGGGTTGTGAAGACTGCCGCTGGATCCGCCAGATTCCAGCTAGATGCCTTTCTGAGAAACACAGTTACTGAAGCCGACAGCACCGTACAACTTGCAATGTGCTCACTTGGATGGTTGTCTACACCAATGGTAATTGCTGTTCAGGAGTTAGATGCCTCGAGTTTGTGGTGGGGCTTCTGTCGAGTTTGAGCGATTTCGGCCAGGACTATACGGTTGCAGATGTGCAGGGCACGCTGGAAGAGCTGGAGCAGGACCAGATCTGCATTGTCCGAGGCCTGCAAATGCTGACAGTCATCAATTGACGCTCGCCCAGGAAGTTCCAGAGGTAGACGAAGACCAGTTTGATGAAAACCAGTGGATCAATGACAAGCGCCTCCAATGTCTTGCAGAAGGCCTGAGTTGACACGACCCGGCCCGGAGCATGCCGGCCGAAATCAGAAGAGCTGTTTGGCAGCCGCTGTTCTGAGCGGTGTTGCGGAGGTGCAGAAGTCTGCCCTCCATCAGAAGCCCGCCGCCGTCCCGCTGCACCAAGACGCCACGAGAGAGGCCTCCAACCTGCTTTGCGGCTTCCTAGAGCCATCTCTTCGTGACCTCTTTTCTTTTTGCGGAGCTTGCCTCAGGTGAGTTCAGCCGCTCGGCATGGCCGGACGGTCCTCGTCGATTGCCCTTGGACCGTCCACGATCTGCCCAATACACGCGTGACATCAAATACAAGTCGCCTTACTCGCAGCCTCGACCGTGCTCTGCCGGTGCGATGGGCGTGCGCTCTGGAGCCGGGCGGCCGTCCTCAGCGAGAGCAGCCTCGCGGCCGTCTTCAGCCAGGCCGTCCTCTGCCAGGCCGTCGTCGGGCAGGCCCTCATCCGCCAGGCCTTCCTCGGCGAGGCCTTCCTCGGCGAGGCCCTCCTCAGCGAGGCCCTCCTCAGCGAGGCCCTCGTCGGGAAGACCCTCCTCTGCTCGACCTTCCTCAGCAAAAGCGATAGCATCTTCTGAGCCTCCTCACCGCGCTATCCGGCCAGTGTCAGCACCGACATGTATGGCGGCGAGGCAGAACAGCGTGGTCTCGGTGCCGAAGCGTCCTGCATCAGCTATGCCGGCAGCATGCTGCCCAAACGAAAAAGGAGTCAGCATCCTGTTCCAGCAGCAGGATTTCTTGGGGAAACAGGTAGCGGAACGAGGACTGGACTCGAAATCGCCAGGCTTTGCCACGCTGATGCAAGACTGGGTATCTTCCTACCAGAAGACGCGCGTCCGTGCCCGAATGGCCTGTCGTCCTTTGTGGGGCGAAGGCAGGGCTCTTCAACGAGGGGTCGGCTTGAGATAATGAGGTCAGGAAGGTTGTGGAGTCAGGGTGTCTGGAGCTAGACAGGCAATGTACGTCTTGTTTTAGGAATGGGGAAGGTTTCGACAGCAGATTCTGCAGCCAGGCAGCGATCTCCAGCTCAGCTTCCCAAAGCCTCCGCCCCCGGCACGGCCACTCTCAGCACCTACCCGGCGGAACATCGACGAGGAGTTGCAGCAATTGGAGGAAGCTCTTCGAGGCCCTGCGTTCTCTCAAGCCCCGACAAACGTCAGGCAGAGTCCGTTTCGGTGAAACTTCAGGTCCACTGCCGGTGCGCGAAGAGAAAGAGAAAGCGCCTTCGGAGTGTAAATCAAGACCATCGCTACGGGAGCCGGAGCTCCTGGGCAGCTTTACATGATTGCGTTATTAGGGTTTAGGCGGTTTAGGGTTGCATGTTATTGTCTAGATGCCTGAAGTTGCCGAAGGCTTGTGCTCTGGTACTCCTTGCCTGCGTGTCGAGGTTCATCGACATCATGCAGACTACAGACAGGCCTTTCGGCTTTCTACCCTCTCCTGCCTGAAGCTCAGTGGAAGACTCACCCAAGCAAACACCAAATGGTTGCACTGACTTCAGGGCTTCGTACAGCAGCCAAGCAGATGCCATACCGAAGTCTCTGGTGGGCGCCGAGGAGAAGCGAATGACCTTGATGCTGCCGCTCAATGATGGCCCTTGCCTGAGTCGGCAGACTGCGGCGCACTGGCAATGTTCCTCTCCACATGTCTGTACTCAATGGCCTGCAGGCACACCAGCAGCCACCGCTTTGGTAGAGGTGCGGCGTCAGGCTTTAGCGATCTAGCTCAGGGCTGTAGGGGCAAGCGTCCGCTAGAAATCCTAAGAGCGGCATCTTCTCGGTACCCCAGAAACAAGAACCATGAGAACCTATGCTCATCCAGGCGATGCAAGGACAGACCTCACCGCGGAGCGAGCACGGTAGGACGCCCGGGTCATGAGCTCCCTGTAAAGTAGAGGAAAACTTGGGCTTCATGGGCTATGATCCAGCTCATCATTGACATCTGTCTGATAATTGCTCTGTTATGCTGTTTTTCAAGGGGCCCATCAAGAATGCAGCTCTTGAGGTGGTTTTGGTTTGCTTTTCAGAGGCTGAGCAGCAGCGCAGGCGCTGCTTGCCACTCCCAAACACCAGAGACACCTGGAGGCAAGTCCTGCTTCCATACCTTCAAGGGTCTCTCAACGCCCAGGTGGCTCAACCGTCATGCGACAGCCGTCCGTTTACCGGGAGGGCTCCGTGCAGCAATCTGTTGGAGAAGGCACCATGCAGAGTACGGAAACCTTTGCCACATGGTGCACATTCACATGTCCACGAGCGCAAGCTCGGGAAGTCGAAGGGTCTTGCAGAAGTGCTTGGGTGGCTTGGCAGTCAGGCTGCATTAAAGTGTGAGTCTTCATAGTCTTCGCCAGGTGCCTCAACGGAGGGAGGTGACAATCAGTCCATGGCAGGCGACTTGCTGAAGGCCTAGAGTCATGCGTGAACTTCTGGAGGGCGGAATGCAGGAGACGAGATCATCACCGGCCCGGCGGCCCGAATGATGCCGCGGAAGGAAATCGTCCACAAGGTGCCGGTGCCGGTAAGTTTTGGTTCAAGGCTCTTTGGCACCCACAAGTTATTCTACCGCAGCAAACAAGAAACTTGAGAGTTGGAGTCATGCTCCCACGAAGTCTCTCAGGGCCTCTCTCTGTGTTGTATGTGTTTGTGTGTGTGTGTCTCTTTGCTCAAGAACTTGTGGTTGTGTTCCCAGCCCAAACTCCACAAGATTATTCACAGAGAAGACCTGTGTGACCAGCTTCGTTCAGGTCTTCAACCGATTGGCCAACGACGGTGAGGCCAGGGAAACGTGCAAACTTGCGGCCGAAGCACGCACCATTGACGCGCAAAATTATGTAAATGTAGCTGTGGCAGCAGCCACAGCAGAAGTACTACAGTAGTAGTTGCCAGTAGTTGTAGCTGCCATTGTGTTACCAGGAGCAGGCGCCAAGCATGAGAAGGTGTAGTGTAGTTGCAGCAGCTGTCGTAGTTGCCGTAAAGGCAGGGAGTTGTAGTCGTTGTGGTATCTGCATGTCTGAATGCTTGCGCTCACAACGTGTTTTCAAGAAAGAGTGTTACTGCTGTTTTTTTTCATTTGTCAGCATGTGTATCGAAGGCGCCCAGGAGAGAGCGAGACGTACAAAGGAAAGGTTTGGGTGCTCGCAGTCATGAGACGATTGTTTTTCGCACAACAACAAGGCAAAAAAACATGGGGAGCTGTCGGGAAAATCAGAACAGAAACCTGACAATCAGCCAGGGCCGCAAGGTCCGCGAGGTCAGGGCACGCGGCCGTAAGGCCGAGGACACGACCAGGTGAGGGCCCGAGGGATACGAGGCAGGTCGCGTGGCGGCGACGTTAGGCCGCGAGGTCACGAAGCGAGGCGCAGCCATGGCAGCCTTTTCAGGTCCTGCTTTTGGTTTTCGGGCTGCTAGTGGTTATAACTTAGCATGCACCAAGATCTGGACGTGCATGCAACATGACCCGAAGGCCCCGAAGGGTCTAGGCACTGCATGCCATACATTTAGACCCAGATTCCAGACGGCGACGATGATTGTGGCCATGCTCATGGATCGAAATGCCCGAGAAATGGATTGAGAGGCAGGCAGCACACCTCTCGAAATGGAAAATATCATGAAACAGGGAACAAACCGCTCCAAAAAGGTTAAAGTATTTGAGATACAGTGAGCCAACCCTTCGAAAGGGACTAGCGTATTTGAGAAACGGTGAGCAAGCCGCCCCAAAGGGACTAGACTATTTATTATATTGGGAAACAAGGAGCGGAAGGTTTCAGGCAGGGAGCAGACTGTTAAACCTGGATTAGAGTTTATGCGAAGCAAGGAGCAAACCTCCCGAAAGAGACTGCGGTACGGTATTTGAGAAACAGGGAGCAAACCGCCGGAAAGGGACTAGAGTATATGAGAAGCAGGCAGCAAACCCCTCAGAGTATACGTAGGAGAAAGCAGGGGCAAACAGCTCCAGAGCGCATAGAGTATTTCTGCTGGCCATTCTTCTGATCGGCATGATGCCATGAGACCGCGGCGTCGTAGTGAGGTCTTTGTTTGTCAAAAGGCCACGAGCCCGCGAGGTTGCGACGCGAGGAATCGCAGTCAGGTGGTCAGGCCGAGAGGCGAGGTCAGGAGGCCGCGAGGTCAGGCGTTGAGGTTGTGCGGCCGCGAGGTTACCCAGTCCTGTAATCCCATCTCCGGAAAATACTTGAACCTGCGCAGACCCCGCACAGGTCCACAAAGACTCGCTTGAAAAGGCGCTGGAGCTTATGAGTCATCGTCTCGGCATAGTGGATGCATGCCACACCACCACCTCCCGCATTGGATTGTCAGCAGAACTTAAGTTGGATCGCTGTGCTAAGAAGCCATGGGTGAGTAGTCACGCACTTGTCCCCATGCAGTTTGGATTTCTCATGCAATGTTTCGCTGCATGAGGTATCCGTCGCCCTCGTCTAGAATGGATGAGATCCATTGTGGATGCACTCACACGGTGCCCTCCCAACCTGCAGTGCGGGCTTCATTGGAAGCGATGCTGAGTGACATGCTCGGCCAGGTACACGACCTTGAGTTTCGATGAGTACTACCGGTTCGTCGGACTCCGAAAAGATTTCGTCACAGTTGTGGCTGCATCTTCCGGTGGAGATCTGTACATGTGTTCTGCTGGAAGGTGAGGCTTTATTTGGAGAAGCAATGTCTGGAGTACGAGCGCGCCTTCTTTCAGTTCGACAGGGACGGTTCAGGAACGATTGAGGCCGGCCACACAGAGCCTCGTGAACCACACACGTTCGGCTGCTCCTCGTGGGAAGGCTGCCGAACTCACAAGCCTTCTCCTCGAAATCGGCATCACGCCGATGGAACAGGTCTGCACTTCAGAGGGTGCTAGAAGCCGCTGGGAAGCCAGCCCCGGTTTCGGACTGCTCTTGTGATTCGAAGAAGCCGCGCAGTCTGTCTCTCTCCCTCCCCCTGTCTCGGTTTGACACAGCTCTGAAACATTTACACGAAGAACGAGTCGTGGCATCAGGAGCAATAAGCCCCAGCAGCGAAAGCAAAAGTAAACGAGCATCGTGCGGCACACGACAACAGACAAGTCCTTGACGAATCAACAACGTTATGTGGCAAACGAGGGTTAACCGGTTAACCTTCTGAAAATTGCATGCAGCGAGACCATTCTTCCGGGCCTCAGCCTGCAAAGCCCCTTGTCCCCTCACTAACCTGAACTTGTTCCTATCAAAGCCGCAGCCCAGTACGCGGAAGTAGTGCATTTCTTGCCGCTGGGCTGACTGAATGGGTTGACAGTTAACGGGCGGCACTCGTAGGAGCTGGACAGGAGTTTTGGTTAGTCAGATGCCGCCAATGCAATGGTCCTTTGCAAGCCATGCGCTGCTCTCTGTTCACTGAGGTGGTGTCGGAGCTAACGGCGGAGCATGACTTGGACAACTCTGGGGCAGTTGCCTCAAGGGGTCGGGGTCGCGCACCTTCTGGGTTGGCCGATGTTGGCCGCTTACTAATCTGGAGCATGGGCAGAGCAGGCCAGATCGAGAAGTTTCTTGATATTCTTGCAGTGGGGCCAAGCATTGTCAACTATGTTCACTGCGACTTGATTTAGCGCTGAGGAAGCACCGTGCCATCGTATGTCTGCTTTGTCTATATGGGCACTTGCCTTCACAGTCTCAGTGCACGGCACCATTCGAATTTTGAACGCTGTACTCCCGTAAGTGACAGTGTAGCCTCGTGGCGAATCCCGGGCTGATCCAATGCTATGCGGTTCTAGTGTGATCGAGTTTCTGTTACTAGTTCTGCCGCTATACTTGCTTCTCGGCTGCAAGGACATGGACCTTGGCGAGTTTTGCGCGGTCCTGGCCATCATCAACGAGCGCGAGGGCTTCACCAAAGCTGAGTACGAACGGGTGGCCGTGGCATGGACAACGTCCGTATCACTAATCTAAAGTAAATCTAAAGATGAGGTCGGCTCCAGCTGGGATATTCATCCCGGCATTGAGATTCTAACATGCGTCGCCTCGTAGGCCTTACTTAGCTTTGCTCTGTGTGCCTGCTTGTTTTGGCTCACGCGTGGTCATGCTCTTTTCCTTTCGAGTAGCATTGCTCAGTGAGGAGCGATCCTGTCACACTTCATCATGAGCTCTGAATGTTTCCGACTGTCAATGCTGACGGTAAATGCTGTAGCTGCAACATGCTGCAACTGTAGCCGCTGCTTCACCCCACTTTGCTTTAGTTACCCTAGCCAGCGATACTTTTGCGATGCTTTCAGATGACTCGTGTGGCCAACAACAGAGACCTGGAGGCGATAGAAGCACGTAGGGGGAAGTAGCTGATGATTTGAGGCCGAAACTGGCCAGCTTGAGCCATGGAGCAGCGCGCTCCGGGTGGGTGATGGAGACAGAGTGGAAAGCCAGCACTGGCAGAGTTTCGCTGCTGACACGTTCGGGTGCCACAGTCCGTTTGGCCTACCGCGTCAGTCGGTCGGTCAAGAAGCTGGCGCTTGAGCTGTACAGTTCAGAACATAACTGTTCCGACTGCTCCAGTGATTCGCTTCCGGCATCAACGTTCACCGAAATTTTGCAGTGCGTAAGTCGTTCGTGCCAAGTCTTTCTTGCACACTGCTGAGGAACACGAGCTCGCTTCGCAGCCAGATTTGGACAAGGAGATTGTCGACAAACGATGGACCGAATTGCATCGGAGGAATGCCAAACTTGTGCATCAGCACATCTTGAAGTATCGCGGTTTCCTGACGAAGATCGGAGCCATGCCTGCAATTGCAAGCTAAAGCCTCTTGTGCCCAGTTTCCGTGACACAGTTCAGATGCTGACTTGTCCATTTAGCGCGTTTATAGAGGACGGCCTCGCAAAGCATCGCCTCCCGAAGGAAAACTCCTCCAACACCTGCCCGTAAGATGCCTTCACTGTGGAAGTCGTCTTCTAAACGGAATGCTGAGTAAATTTTGGGGGGTTCGTGGCTCAGGTCAGGCGGCCTCCAGTAAGGCAGGCAGCTTGCCGGCTCCCTGGGTCGAGGAACTTCGCAGCTTGCAGGATGAGCTGCCCATCTCCAACTTCCAGGAGAGGGGCTTTGGAAACGAGGGATGTCGAGGGGAAATGCTACAAAAATGAGGAGCATTACGTGCAGGAAGTGGTGCGAACCATCCAGACGGATTTGGGACGCCCTCTGCAAGACATCTTCGAGAACTTCGGCCAGAAGCCGATTGCCTCGGCCAGCGTGGGCCAGGACGGCTGGGCGAAGGATGCTTGAAAGGGGCACAGGGTCAACCAGTTGTGTGTGGTGTTTGAAGATTGCATCACTTGGGGTTTTCTGTCCATACGCGCTGTTATGGGTTGTTTGAATCTAGCTTTTCCTCGCAACTCACAACTCAGACGACTGACGGCCTAAGTGGCATACTACAAACTCCCTTGACGACATGCACAATTTCTACTGTGTCCTGGCATCATTTGTGTTTATGTTTGCCGAATCCACGGCAACTGTGCTATCGTGAGATGTCGTGAGTGTCGAGAGCCCTGTGCTTCCTCATCGACGTCGCACTGTTCCTGGCAGGCGCATGTTGCAAATCTTCGGAGCAATCGCAAGAAGGACTTCAGACTGCAAAGAGAGCGTTTGCTCATAGAATTCCTGCATTGCTTCGGTTTTGGCCTCGGATTGCGCGGCTGCGCAAGAGTCCCGAAGCCCAAAGCTGCCAGAATCATGCACCCTTCGCTGTAGCAAAGCAGAGCTTTGGAATGCAACATCAGAGATCACACCGACAGCTTGACTGCAATGTAGCTGTAACCAAAGCCGCAGAAGACGTAGGGCAACTTGAGAAGAAATCGTGCCCAGCTTCCACACGGAAAGCGCACGCAAGGTGTGCGTAAAAGTTCAACATCATGGAGTTGGCAGTCTCATGACGGCAGATCTCAAGACGGTCGAGTTTATTGCCGGCCGAATGGCAAGGTACCACCCGGATGCACCAGACTTTTCTGATACTTAGCTTCAGCAGTTGGGCGTCAGGGTTGCAGGCACGCTTCACGGATACGTGGCATATCTCATCTCGAGTCAGCGATGCTTAGCAACGGTCCTGTCTGGCAACCGTTGGCCGGAAAAGGAGTAGTTTGACATGCGTGTGGTTCTGATCAGGACCAGCATGTACCCACACGTTTATAGGTAAGTATGTATGTATAGCCAGATAGGTAGTCAGGCAGGTCTGTGGGTCGGTGTGTTTGCGTGTCTCTGAGACTCGGCGTGCGTGTGTGTGTGTGTACTTGCGTGCATTTTCTGAGGACCTGATCCGGGAGTGGCGTCGTGCCTCGAAAGAGGAGGTGGACTTCTTGCTTGAGGCGAAGAATGCCACGGATGCGTCGAAAGCCCTGCAGAAACGCGGGATAGACGTTGTTTGTCCGATGCCCATCTCCGAGTACTGCGGCAAGAGAGTGCTGACCATGGTCTTCATTGAAGGCTGGAAGATTACGGACGTGGACAAGATGCCATATGGAACAGACCGGGAAACAATGGCTCGCAACCTGGTGCATGCCTTTGCTGTGCTGGTGTTCCAGGAAGGCTTGATTCACGGAGATCCGCACCCAGGCGCCAGTCAACAGCAAAGCAGTAGGGTCACAGCCATGATCATAGCAGAGACTAACTTTCACACCTGGTAAGGGCCGGCCGGCAGGGGAGGGTGCTTCCAGCCTAACTGCTGCAGGCAATGTGTTTGTCGAGCCGGTTAAGACCAGCAATGGTGATACACAAGTGCGTCCCGTGCTTTTGGACTGGGGTGCCTCCGCTTGCAGAATCCCCAGGCTTCCAAATCCAATAAATCGAAGCCGACAAAAGAAAAACTGGGGATGCCAGGGCCGGAGCTGCCACAGCCTAGAAGGAGCCGAGTGCAGCTAGCTGTCTAGGCCCATGTCCGAATTTTCTGCAGAGATGCTGCGTCGAATCGGGGTACTTGAATCTTTCAGAGCCGAGGCATTGTGAAGCGCTTGGAGAAGGACGAGCGGATCGCTGCAGCCAAGTGGATAGTCGCTACCTTGGCACAGGATAGGCTGCTCTATGTGAACAGCCTCAGGGACCTTGGCTTCGAGTTCGATGCGGATCCTGATATGCCGGAGTTCGCAACTTTCGTGGAAGCATCCTTGGGCCAATGCGCCTTCATGTTCCGCGACTCTATACCCAGCAACTCTCAGATGAATTTCTTGCAGCAGATGCAACAACACCAGGAGAAGGCAGAGAGCCAGGAAAGCAAAACAGGCAAGGACCAGAGCCGCCTCATCGGGAAGATCCCGGGGGTTGTGCTCTTCTTCCTACGTGGCTTAGAGATGCTGCAGAACATCTGTGGCATGCTGGAGGCCCGCTTGGCCTAGCACTCTAAATACCTGGTGACAGTACGTAACACATGCACGGTGCCGGGGCAGTCTGCACTAGCTATATGCGCGTGTCACGTAGACACATTTTTTTCAGGTGGCTACGTGCGTCTGACGCGTACATGTGTGAGCCAGTTGCGGCGAAACTGTGTCAATGGATGGTTGTGGTGATGCTTCCCTCACACCCCGCCCTGTACTTGTGCGATCCTGTTGTCGGAAGTGGGTTCATTGTGTGGTGAATTGGGGCTGATGTGCCAAACCTCGAACCTTTGGACGTGCAAACATGTGAGCCTGTTCTCAATGGGAGGGTGCCAATCGGAAGTGGTGACGATCGTTGACACATGTTGAGGCTTATCTAGCGCAACTTGAGTTTCCGTTGTGAGTGCCCATGGCCGTATCAGTAGCCTCCTGGCTGAAGGTCACGGTTCCTTTTGCGACGATTATGCTGGACAGTTGCATGCCGCTGCTGCAGAGCCAGGGGCGATGGAGCCCTTTGGCTGCTATGCCAAATCCGCCAGGCCTTTCCACTCGGTGCTCCGTCAAGCCAAAGTGCTTGGGTTTACTGCCCCTGGAGGCTGCTCCGCGCTGGAGCAGAAGGTCCGAGCCAAGCTGCAAGCGCTGGACAACCAACATCTCATCTTGGCCGCCCAGGCCTGGAAGAATCATGGAAGTGCTCCTTTGCTCTTGTGATGTGGAGAATCCGAACTCGTCCGGATGCGCCAATGGTTTTTTATTGCCGGACGTTGTCACCAGAGCGGGCAGAGCGGGCGGAGAAGTATTGCCGAATCCTTTCTTGGAGCTGTACTTGTAATTATAGGATTAGGAGCCAGGTTCCGGATAAACAAGATGCCCAAGATGCCCGCAAAACTTGGGTTGAGTGTTCTACTCCAAAGTCTGCGTGTAGCTGGAAATGCCTGTGGGGCCTGGGAATGGAAGCTTTGACAAATCCAAGCAGAACAACGGCAAGCAAAGTCGCATCTTTGTTCGGTAATTCTCATGTTTGCCACCTCCTCACACGAACAAACCTGCCAAGCCCGTGAAAGCGTGAGTGGATGTCTGCAGGTCGCTGTGTTGGACCAAAGCGGGGAAATTATGTGCAAAGCGAGCTGCGGGCGGGTGGCCGTCTGCCACGGAGCGGCGATCTCCGATGAGACAGTGCTTCGGTCATAAATTACCCAGAGGACCCTTGATTCGAGCCTTGCTCTCCTCACCTTCAGGCGGCAGGTGAGACGTAGATCGCAGCATCCAGTTTCGTGGGAAATTGATAGCAGAGACTTTTGTCAATCCGAGGTGATGCCGCTGCTGAGCCTCTCTGCTGGGCCTCTGCTGCTGTGTCTGTTGAGAGCCCTGACACAGCCTTCTGAGACAGGCTAGGTCGGGATAAGCTCCGAGTCGACAGTTTAACAGTACTTTAGGAAAAGGATGTCGCTCTCGCAGTTGCCCAAAGCTTGTTTGAGTCTGATACTCAGGGATGTGCATACAGCAGGGGTTTAGGGAGCGTCTTCGAATGCATCGTTTGGGTACATGCCAATGTCATTCACAAAAGCCTGGCAGCCCCTCCCTGTTGCTTCGTTCGACAGGCAAAGCGGTGGCGCTCAGCAGCCCAGTTGCGCACGTGTGGCCGGACTTTACTCAGAAAGGCAAGAGTGCCACCATTGAGGACGTCCTGCGACACCAGGCAAGGCTCAGAAACAGCAGGTACTGCCATTTCAAGAGAATTTCGCAAGTACCAAAAACGTGTGAATATTCCTCATGCGAAGAATCACTGAATATAGACTAGTAGGCATGGTGGGAGGAGAACGGGTCCCAGCAGTTGCCACAGTGTTCTACCCCTAAAGCAGAAACCTTCGTTGTCCTAGTGTGTGAAGCAACGATGGAAAGCACATACTCCACCGGAGTTTCCACTTATCTGCGCACTCGCTTAAAGCACTTCTTTACTTCTTTGATCTTCTTTGCCTTGCTATGTGTCAACGGACTTTTCGAGCGCTTCCGTTTGAAATTACCCTGACGACGACGACGACGACTTCCCTGCATTACCACTCCTGCTTCTCCTCTGCAAGTGCTGCTGCTACGTCGGCTACTGCCACTCCTATCCTTACTGCTACCGCTTCTCCTGCTAGTGCTCCTGCTACGACTACTACCACCACACCACGACCTCGTGGTGCCGCCCCCAGTGGATTCCGAAGCAAGTTCCGGAATCCGGTTTGTGGTGCCAACTCCTTGCGCAAGTCCGGCGTGTGTTTCAATCCACTTTGTGTTGTGGAGGCTGGCTTGGCGAAGCCTTATCCAAGCGGCTTGTCGAGAAAGTAGGTCTCACTTCCGTGCTAAGGAGACATGTGCTGTTCTTTCGGTATAGATCCGTCCGAGGTGACATGTCCTTGAAGGCCTTCTGCAGTGAAGGGCGGTTTGAACGCGCTATGGCTGAAGCTCCGGCATGTCCAGAAGGGGACGGGCTTTGTCCTGCTTCTTTGCTGCATCAGCATCTCCGAGCTCTCCAAACAGGAAGAAAGATTTCACACTGTGCTCCCTGATTTCAGGTTTTTGGCGACATGCTGGCAACATTGCTGAAGTGCATGGGCGCCAGAAAGAGCACGGAAAATGCTGTGGCCCAGCTTGAGTGACTCGGTGAACGATGCAGACTTTGGCATGTTCTGTCTGCCTGGCACTCCTCTCGTAGGTGGCAAATCTTCTCTGACAGGTCCGTGGCTGGTGGGCGTGTGACCTATTGCACGCCCGCTGGGCGAGGATTCGCAGCAGATGTTGGAAGGAAGCCGCAGGCGATGCAGACACGTGGTATTTCGGTCATCGCCCCGTACCACGCCGTCCTGACATTGTAGCTTCGGCCAGGATCGAATAACTATGGAGCGAATCTACGAATGGCTGGAGGAGAAGGTGGAAAGCTTCGACCTCACTTGCCACCAGGGTACCAGGCACCCCCCAAAACAGACTACGCCCAGGCTTGGACACAATGGGCCGGAGCGGCGACGCCAGTCGGCGGCGGTGGCTGTCGTGGGCAGAGATGGCCGCCGCTCAGACTCCAAGAGTGATTTAGAGTGGGTGACGGTGTTCATGCCGCAGAAGCAGTTGAGCGCAGTGGGTACGGAGTCACCTTCATGTCACACTCGTGCATGATGAGGCTGAAAAGCCGTGGCTGCTGGACCCTCTGCTGGTGAACCGCGAGGAGCGATTGTCGGCTGCGTTGCGCCAAAGGGTGGTTGAGGATGCGAGGGGCAGCGCAAAACCAGCTCAGAACAGCGGCCTCGGGCAAGCTTAACAACAACCAGCAGATGGGATTTCTGACTCCGGTTTGAAGGGGTGGCGGAGAGCCATGCTAGCGCCGCAGGCTGGTGATGGTGTAAGTGACACTTGAGACTTAGACTAGAGTGATTGGAGCCCACAGCATGCTTACAGCAAGAGACTGCTTCACCTTGAGCTTCCTCATTCGGGGCAATGTAGAAGCAAATGCCCGAGCAGGCAGTCCAAGTGGGGTCTGCCTGTCTCGCTGGTCGTGGTCTTCGAGCCTCTGCCCAATCACTCTGCAAGCTGCAGCTGGGACTGAATGGGAGAACGGACAAAGCCAGAGACAAGCGTGCAGTGAGCATGCTAGTTAGCAGATGTGCCCTCATGTTGCCGGGTCCTCAAGGTTCGCCGCTGACTATGTGCCACCAGAGATGTTGCGCCACAGCTTGCAGCCCGGGAAAACTTTGCGCTTCCGCAACTTGCGCCCCAGCAGCAAAGAAGATCCTGCTTGCGTCACATTGTAACTATGCATGACATCATAGAATGCTGGATGTCGCGAGGCAGGAGTGGTGGGATTCCATCGGAGTTGCCGAGCGAGCCCTTGGTGGTTGGCAGCTCTTTCCCTTCAAGTCCAAGGATGGCTCTGACTTGCAGGGCTACGGCTTTGCGGATGGACAGACAGGCACTGAAGTTCATGCAAGTTGTTTTGATTCTACCCGGCCCTGGGCCCATTCCACCCTTGACAGGCTCTATCGTAATCCGGCTGCCCAATGCAACCATTGTGGTGCTGCTCAGCTCTGTGTCAACAGAGACTCGCCACGCTGGCCGTTCTCTCCTCGACACCATACTGGGCGAGTTGGGGCTGGAGGCAAAGGCATGTTCAAACCTGACATGCTTGTCACGAGAGGATTTCTCCTGCTGCCTCAGGCTGCCTGGTCGGCACAGCCGCCACCCTTGCCCAAACGTGGAACCACCGGGACCACGACTGGCGCAGCGGCGGCATCTTCCGAGCCCAGGATGTCCGCGGCTGACAGGACGGCTCTGCAAACACAAGGGGTACAGCTCTGGCTAAGCGCAGTGCTGAAAGCAGTCGAGTTCGAATTGCCAGGAGAAGTTCCGATGATTTGCAGCAGCAGCTCAAGAAGGCCGCCCTTCGCCGCGTTTCAAAAGAGGGTGACGTGTGCATTCTGAGACCCTGCAGGTTGAGGCTCAGGTGGCGAAGTTGTCCGAGGTTTTGGAATTGGTGCTGCCCGGAGCCAGTGCAGCGATATGCCGGGCTCCTCCGCTCCAATTACAACATCAATCCAAGAGGAAAGCGACGACGCACGCCGTTTCTGTCATCGTCACGTGCTCACGAAACTGAGGATGACCCGGCTACCGCAACCTTGGCCGGCTTTTGGCTGAGTCCGTGCCCGAGTGCGGCTAAAGAGCTTGTTTTTTCAATTTGCCCCTCCGAATCCAGCTGCGTCGACAGGTGAAGAGACCGAAGGCCTGGATTCTCTCTTGGAGGCTTTGGAGGTCCGACCTTAGCGAGTTCTCCAGGGAAGTCGTCCCTCGCAACCGTAAGTGAAACGCACAGGTGCCACAAATGGTTTCCTCCATGGCTTCTGCCGCAAGGCGGAGTCTGCGCATCGTGCCTCTGTGGTGACAGGTCACACACACACACACATGCACATGTATGTTGCACTTGTCGAACTGAAGACACAGCTCGAGTTGTCCTTACTACTTTGTATCATGCCTAGGATGTGGAGGGGAACGATGTCAAGATTGCTTCCACGACATCAGTGTGGAGCCGGCAAATCGAGGTTGGTAGTGGTAGCTCAGTGTGCGAACTTCACTCGATTCGCACAAAGCCAAGGGTAAATCTCTCAACTGCAGGAAACCACGACGAGATTTCAAGTCGGACAAGCCTTCTCCGGCCAGCAGACGCTGGGGGGGGAATTCTCCGGTCAGGCTTTTTGGATAGAGGCCGGATGCTTTGCTGCAAGACGATTTGCCCAAGCTGCATGTCTGACAGGACGCCGAGGCTGCGAAAGGCGCTCAGCCGCAGCAACTGCTGCAGCTGGTGAAGAATTTTGCAGCTGAAGGCAGGATGGCTAAGGGTGCTGAGGCCAAGATTTGCAATCAGTTTGCCAGGCTTCCAACTTGAAGAAACTTTCAAGATCAAGTCGGATGGCCGCCTTGCGCTGACAACAGCACTTAGTAGTGCTCAAAGACAGACCACCCCTCAGCTTCAAATTCTGAAGTAGCTTGACCAGTACTCTGCACTACTCTGCCATGTGCCCGGTGATGTGAAAGCAAGGTTCGGCACGCGCAGGGTGGAGGTGCACAAGCCAGCGGAACTCGGAATGCTTTGCAAAGCATTGGATCCCAAGGACCGAGACGTGCGAATCAATGACTTTGTAGGTCTTCAGCCCTGGAGCGGCGCAGGATATGATGCTGACTCAGCAGCTCTCTCTTCCAGGGAACATCAAAGCTCTTCCGAATGGCAGCCGGGTCGTTGGAATTGGGCCGGCAGATGCGAAGGAAGAAGACGAGGTGCCGGCCTAAGATTGTTCTGAGCAACAGACATTTTGTCAGCGTGCTGGTGTGTGTGTGTGTGTGTGTGTGTTCTGCAAGACACATTGCAACCACTGATGAAATACTGAGGCAGCTGAACCGCGAAGCTTTGGAGAGCTCGAGAAAGTACAGCTGCCGGCCTCCATCTTTCTGCGGCTTGAAACCATAAGGCCAGCACGGCTGAACCCTGTTCAGGGGCAAGCCTCGCAGAATTTGACTCTCGCACAGTACCAGTACAGTAGCACCTGCAGTTGATCCGTTTGCTCAGAGTGGGTCGCACTTGGCAGATCTAGAACACGCAGTGTGCGACACATTGAAGAAGATGCCTCTGCCAGGAGCACGACACAGTTCCGTCGTGAAGGCGCATCGGAAGGATTCGGCGCTGTTCCTGCTGAGTTGCCAGGGTCCCCGGTCCCCAGAACCATAACGCTTCTCGCCTTCTCGGCCTTTGCCGAGGCTGTCCTCGCTACCACCGGAAGTGCAACAGGCCCTGGCAGAGCGACAGGCGTGCGACAGAACCGGGACTCGTCATGATCATGTCTTGGCAAAGCACACCATGCCAGAGTGTTTGGGGCCTGCTCGGCCTGCTCAAGCAACTTTCTCCTTGCACAGGCCGCATCGCCTGTTTCAGCCGTTTCCGGCACCTCTTCGGCCTCTGCGCCCTTGCTGTCGCCCGGTCACAAGGCGCCACAAGCCAAGAGAGGCCTGCAACCCAACGGCTACTCGTTGCAGACCTTTGATTGGGCGATCTGTGTGGATCTGAGCTAATCCTGGAAGGCTGGCTGATGACCTGCGGTGTGGGCTTGGGCAAGTTGTGCCTTGGGTCATGCGGCCTTGCGGGCAAGGCACATCCTTCTCAAAGCTGTGGGCGCACGGGTGTCCTGCGCACTTGTCTGTACAGGTGCTGCAGTTAAGTGGACGAGCCACGGGCTCCGCCTGCCACGCTCTTTGTTCGGACACTTGGCAGCAGAATCGTCGAGTCGAAAGCTTTCCAATGCCAATGTAGATATGTGGATGCAGCCGGTGACGACGACGGTTAGCAATGCTGCTGTCCTGTAAGGACTCCATCTCGAATAGACTGCGAAGATCAGGGGCCTTGCCGGCGGATCGTTTAGAGTCCCATCCTTAACGCTGTGCAAGGTTTCGCGTTTGGTTTTTACTTGTGTCATCGCGGACAAATGAGAGCCATAGCGGCACAGAGGGTCAGTTTTAGAGATAAACATCAGAGGCGACATGCATCTTGTGATGCCTCTCATCTTTGCCTCATACCTTGCCGCTTCCGTCGAATCCGATCCTGAAGACACCAGCATCTGCCTGTGTTGAGGTTTGTCATCAAGGTGGACAGGACCCAGGATGCCGGCCTCGGCATTGAAGTCAACAAGACTGCTGAGGGCAAGCTCAAGGTCCTGCTGGTACAGCCAGGGCTGGTCCAAGAATGGAACGATCAGCATCCCTCGCTGGAGGCTGCCCGAGTTTCGGCGGTGTCCGCACGATAGGCTGCCAGCCCAGGGCCGGGGTTCGCTGAGCAGGTGCTGCCGGGGGACATCCTCCTCACAGTCAATGGGCAGAAGGGAGACGCAAAGCAGCTGATGGAAGCTGAGCGGCACGTCACAGACTCCAGAGAAGTGGTCGGGGCATCTAGCGCGCAACAAGTCGTCCTAATCCAAGCAGCCAGCCGAGGAGTTCTGCCGCCAGCAGCAGCCCTTGGAGCTTCGGTTTTGCCGGGAAGCGCCTTCTCTTTCCGTAGCACCGGTGAAGGCCCTTCAAAGCAGAGCTCCGATGACGCAAAGCAGCTGATTGCTTTTGCAGCCGAGCAGTCGACAGGACTCCGAGCCAAAGCCGCTGAAAAGCGAGCCTTCGCTGGCAGGCGCTCCTGGGCGATTTCGCAGAGCGAGTTGCATGATGTTGCATGCATGCAGCGGCGTGGCGGCGTAGGGTAAACGGTGGCATGTCGTGGGTCGGATTCTAAACCAGGTGGATTGCAAAATGAGCCAAAGGCGCCGCTTTTGCCTGAGCTCGAGGCCTGCAACGATGTCCAAAGCATGTGGATCTCTCTGTAGCACTGTAACATCTTGACGCGCAACAGCCAGAACCAAGACTCAGGACGAAATCCAGGAGGCCATTCCCGAGAAGCCGACGGTGAACACCGGCCAGGCGGGTCTTTGTCAAAGGAGGAGACAAGGCTGCTGTCTATGACCAGGAGATGCCAGAACTAGCCCAACCTCGCTTGATATCTTGGATGTTTGAGTGTGAGGGGTGGAGGCACTGAAGCCTTTGATTGATTCCTCATTGTGCATGCTTGATGGAGGCTTTATAACTTCTGGGCATGAGCAGAGCTAAGACATGCCACCAGTTCTTTCATATGCAAAAGGCAAAAACTGCGCACAATGTGCCTTCGGCATGTCCCCGTCGGAAATCATGTACCGGCGAGGCAGTCTATTGGGATCTAAGCTTTCGTGCAAGCCAGGCTGCGACCAAGCCCCAGTCGAAGTCTGTACGATTTGAGAACGGCACAGGACACGCTCCCTTCTTGTCCTTAGCAGCATCCTGGTGTGGAAGTCTTGTGCAGGAGCTCTGGACAAAGCTTCCGGGGCGGAGCATGGGCAGTTGGGACAAACATCCTCGAAACGAGGCAGGCATGAAGCAAGAGACCGTGAGTAAAGCTGCAGAGCGCAGGTGACAAGGCTGTGGTCGAATTGGGTGTGGCGAAGTGGTTTTCGATAAGGGTGCTAGGTGGAGATTCTAGGACGGTGCAGCCAGGTGTCCAGGGAGGAAGCTCCAGCAGTTCGAGCAGTGCGAGAGTGCCGAGAAAACAAGCGGATACTTCTGTTTCGGCGGCCCCTCACCGCCAGAGCCAGGACCTCCAGGCCTGGACCTCTAGGGCTTTTCCTTAGCCTGACTGAGCACTTCTGTCAGGATCCGGTAGTGGGGGCAAAGTTCACAGACCCACGCGGGAGGCATCGGCCCAGCAGAAGTTGACTTTGCGAGCCAGTGTGAGCTCGCACCTCTGTGACAGGTTGGGCAACGCTTTAGGCATTGTTGCCTTCTCTCGCTTTGGCACGGACGGCCATGCTGAGAAGCTATGCCGGTCGCAGATCTTCTCAAACAGCTTCGAATCTCGGCCAAACTGTTGCGCCATGCAGCTCAAGTTTGCATCTTTCAAGCATATCTGTGGCATCTGACTGTGGCAGGGGTGGTCCACATTGCCGGATCTAAGGATCACGGAGCGTGCAGGCTTGTCGTCTCCGCTCCATGCAGCAGAGCAACACAAAAGTTCCGCAATGCCGAAGCTGCCAAGATGCAAGCCAAGTCTTTGCTGGCACGACTTGCGGAGCTTGTCTGTTCCTGGTGATCAGTGCTTACCTTCTGTCAAGACCTGTTTCGGACCGACATTTGAGATGTCAACTTCCACTTCCGGGCATCAAGACGAGATGTTGCAGCTGAGTGTTGTTGGTCTGCGCTCCCGCTCAGGCTGCATACCAGGCCACCTGGAACTGGCCTTTGGCCAGCATGTTCCAGGAGACTGCGGTGGTTTGGTCTCCTGTATGTCAATCTGTGCTTGCGTGGAAGCATGGATAGGAGCTTAACGCCATGGCCGCCATTAAAAAAGTGCAGCGTTTTGGCAGCCATCGGGACAAGTCACGTTCCTTGGACCGAGGATGCTGTTGAGATTCGCCGTTGCATCTGAACAACTTCTTGATATTTCTCATGCTTTGGAGCCCGTGAGGTGCAGGCTTTACGAGCAGCTGGGCGGCCATGCAAGCCGTGCTTGAAGCGAAATTTGCCCCGGAGTCACAATTCGCAGCGGCGCTTCTGCGTACCAACGAAGCATTCCTCCTGGACACAGGCCGGGTGCACGCACGTCATTTCATCGAGAGTTCTCGTGAAATCATGAAGTTTCAGCAGAAGATGACGCTGTCCGCTTCAGGCCCAGGTGACGTGGATCCATCGGACATTGCAGAGAAGGATGGGTTCATGTGTTCCACTGCCGGGGCTTTGTTCTCGTTTTCTTACATTTCAACACTACGTTCTAAGTCAAGCTTACGTCAACTAAACAGGCATCATATTTTCTCGTGACACGTTGCCGATCCTGGTTATATTTGCAGTGGACAGGATCTTCTTGAGAACTGGCTGGGCATGCTTCTCATGATCCTGCGAGACAATCTGTCCGGAAACAGCAGCTGGGCCAGCTACTTCGAAGGAATGGTTGAAACTTGGCAGCCACCATCCACTACGGCATCCGGTGATCCTGACGTTCGGCTTTTTTCCGTGGCGTCTGAACCTGCGTGTGCGAGAATCCAAATACAGGACCCTAACATGGCTTCTAGTACAGCAAACTCATAGTCAAAGACCCCTCATTTTCCAAAACTCCCATGTGTTTGCTCGACTTACATAGGAAAGCTGAGGACAGTTCAGGACATCCTGCAGACGGAGCCAAAGTCGCTGCGTGGTCGGGTGCGGTGCGAAATGCAAGTGAAGCTCTCCGGACGCCTTGGTCTTGAAAAGAGAGCTGGTGCACGATACATCTGTATTTGGGCTGGGAGGTATGAAACTGTATGTCGGTATGTAAGTACGCAAGTGCAAACAGCATGTGTGCACAAGTGCAGCAAGTCTCTGCAAAAAGCGAGACATGTGATTCGTTAGGAATACCAGGAACCTGCCCTGTGAGGACGGCGTTGCCGGCTTGACTGGCCATTGAAACGTCGTTCTGAGATCGCTTGTGCCTGTTTCACCTGTTGGCCTTACGGGTGGAATGATGCCTTAATAGCGCATCGGGACGCCAGGGGCTTCATTGTTTTGCTGCGACACAGTCGCAAAAAGAAGAGCCGAGAATTAAACTGAAGACACATTTGGTCCTAGGGCTTGTGACTTTTGGCATCTTTGGGCCCAGTGGCCCGTGCCAGTTCAAGCACTCCTACACCCTCTACAACGACGCTCAGACTGGTGGACTCGAGACCGACCAGCTCTTGGCACCTCTGCTTATCGGAAATTCTTCTACCATGATAGTCTCTTCTGGAGCTCGTCCTTTGCGTTGACATTCAATGGGTCAGCTTAGCTGCAGGCTATGTTGGGCTACTTGGGCTACGAAATGAGCGCGGAGGCGCCGCGATGATGTGTCAAAAGACAGAATGCTAGCGCCGGCGGGGGGGGGGGGGGGGGGGGGGGGACGTGCAAAAAATTGAGGTCGTGGCCAAAATGCTGGAGGAAGTGGACATAGACGGGAGTGGCACGTTGTCATTCTCGGAGTTTTTGATCTTCATGCGGACAAATCCTTACTCATCACGGCTGTTTGGCGTGTGTTCACCAAGCAACCTTTGCATCCACGCCGAGGAAGATCCGAGAAGAAGAACTTGAGCGATTGGAGGCCTTGATTTCTGAGCATCCCGGTTGGCATAGCATTCAGCAGCTTTTTCGATTTGAGGATGAGCTGGAACGACTGTCAAACTTGCCATCTGGAGACAAAGAGGCGCCCTTGAAGCCTGTGCCGAATCCTTCACGCTGGATGTGAGCGGCTTTGTCAGGATGTGTTGACTGGTTTACTTCGCATCATGGGCTACGTGCCGGACAAGGAGGTCAAGCTGCAGCACTGTAAGATTATAATGCGAATTGCAGAGGTTTGTCTTTTGACTTTGCTTCTCGTAGCTAGCTGGGCGACGTTCTCCTGAACAGAAGCAGTCAGTAGTTCATGTTCGCAGGACGGAATGGTCGAAGTTTCCTTACAAGTTTTCGTGGAGTCTCCAGGCCTGGTAATTATATGCAGGCTGTCCGTGATGCTGCAGTTGACAGCAACATCAGCCTGGCCAAGCCGACGCGAAGCGCTGAGCGCTTCCCCTCCTGGGAATCAGAGCTGGAGTGTGGTACTCGTATGCTGCACCTGAGGGTTCGACGAGCAAGCCTGGCCCAGCTGTTGCCTAACTCCGGGAAGCAGCCGGCTGGCTCAGTGTCTGCCGCCCCAACCTACAAGGCCTGTAGCTCGCAGAATTTAATTCTCGACGGTTCAATACACGGACATGTACTGCCGACAGATGAGACATGATGAGACCGGCCGTTTCAATTTCGTTTGCCTGGCCAGGCCACTGTGACCCTCTCGGAAGCATATCGTTTCCTGGAGGCTGGGACTACGTAGAATTTCTGCAGGTTCTCAGGCATCGTGAAGAAGCCTGCAGACTCAGTTAGGAGCCTACGGCAGGTGTACCGATGCCGTGAAGGCTTTACACGAGCAGAGGCCAATGAACTACAGGCCTGGCCCGCTGGCGCTTTTTCAACCTTGATTGCAAGCTGAAATTGCGAAAGAGCCCTGGCAGCAGAATCTATATACACGAAACAGACCTTCACAAATTCCCGTGCAGGAGTACTATAACCGTTTTGCACAGACAGCTGGCCCCGCAGACGCGAAGCGCATCAGTCGGGAGCCTGCCTGTTTCGAGCCACCTGCGGTGCGAACCGAGAGTGCTCAAAGACATGCCATGTGTCCGTTGATTTTCTGCCAGGTTCCTACGATGCTGCCAGGGCATTGACGTGGCTCGGCTACCGCGCCTCGCACGAGGATCACCAGCTGACTTTCTCCAAGGTGCCGTCTCACAGTTGTGCGAGGGTCGGCTTGCGTCCTTGTGCTAATGATTTTGCCGACATAGCTGATGTTTTTAGGTAGACGTCGGCAATGCGGGCAGCATCAGCCTTGCTGAGTTCATGAAGTTGGCCATGCTCTCAGACCACAGGAGTGCAAAAGGAGCTCGAACCCGAACACGCTGCCTTGTTGCAGACAAAGCGGATCGTGGGGCGCAGGTGCGGATTTATCGTTCGGTGGAGTTGGAAGAGATCCGTGCCTCTTTCCTCAGGCAAGACTTGTTTCCAACACCAAAACGTGCTCCCGAATAGGATGATGTGGTTCTAGACTTATTGGTAACTATAAACCATGTTAGACCATTTGGGAAGCAGGATTGGTCTTGCTGGCGGCACTGAATCGGGCGAGGAGGGTCGCCGGGCGTCCGGTTCCCAGTCACCTGCTGCATGTGCTGCTGTGCTGCTCTTCGCGATCAGAACTCCGAAGATACGCATGGTGGCTGAACTAGAAGACCGCGAGATGGGGTCACAGCGCTTGCGAATTCAAGTATGTTCTTCAGTGTTTACCTTGCTGCATTGCATGATGCGACAAGAACGAGCGCCAGTCAGCAGATACTGTGCAGTGTCGGGGGTGGCGCTATAAGAGGAATCCAATGAGTTCGGCTGTCAATGAGTGGAGAAGGTCGAACCTGACAGCTCGTCCGCACCTCTGCATGTTTCACACTCCTTTTCACCGGAAGTTTCTCAGGGGGTTCTTAATGTAGATATGATATACGTCTTTCTCACATACTTCCGTTCCGCATCTGCCTTCTGAGATTTGCTTCTGCAAGTGCCATTCTTTCGTTTCTCGGCCAGATTCTGCAGGGCACGACACAGTCTGGCCTTCCTCGGCATGGGACGAAGTAGCACTGAGAAGGCCGGAGGGATCAAGATGAGCTCGCAAATTTTGGCACATATGCCACCTTAAATATCATATGATAATATGATACTAAGACTATACTATACTGCATTGCACCATGTATGTCAAGCAACACAGAATGGAACGTGTGCCTGGCTGGATGATGACCTTTGCAACTTCCTACAGCAAGCGCGAAATCCGCATCCCCAACCCTTAAGGCCACGAGTCCTCAAGCGTGAGCCTTAGACACTTCAACCTGGCGTTCCCGACCCAGTACCGCAGCTTGCGCAAAATCCACACAGAAAGAATATGACTGAGAGTCTCAAACGCTGAAAGCCCTAAATCCTGCATAAACCGAACAGCCGATTGGCCTTCCATGGTCGAGGCTTCGCAACTTCTCGCCCGATCGCTTCAGCAGTTATGGTCACCATCTTTCAATCAAGCTTCAAGTCTTAGACCTGAAACCTGAACTTCTTTGTCAGTAGCGGTGGTATAAACACGTGTAGACGAAGAAGGACAGGCAGACCTCATGAGCCAAGGGGAGCATCTAGCGAGCTGCACAGAGGTTCTTCACTGTCCCCTGTGAAGCAGCTAGCTTGTTAAGTTATATACTTATGTATACAAATAGACATAGCAGACAACATGACTGTGCAGGGCCTAGCAAACATTGTTGCTTATGACTCAGACCTCGACTCCCGATTCGTGAACTGTAAGCTCTGAACCCCAGGTATGAATCCCGTAACCTCCCAGGGACTCCAATATCCCTTAAATTAAAGGAGTATACCGTAGAATATACTAGGGATCCTACTATGATATTTGATATGGGTATAATATTCCTTAATTAAGGGATATTGGAGTCTTTGGGCTTGGCACCCAAACTTTAACTTCAGCCCTGACAAGCCCAGAATGCATAGCAGGCCTCGAAATCTCGGGACGTGGAAGATGCAAAGTGCCCTTTTCGGGCTGAAGTAGAAGAACTTCCGAGGTTTAACAGGTTTAAAGGTTCGGGTAGTTTAGGGTTCTCGGATTCATCAGTGCCGTTTCGGAATTCGAGTTCATAAGTTCTAGTTTGTTCTTGCCCCTTGTCTTGATGCGGTTACCGCGGGATCATCGGTAGCACCAGGAAAGGAAGCATGCAGTCGTGCCAAACATAGATAGAATGCTGTCATGTATTGGGGTACTGTCGCACTGTCATCATGAACCGGTGCCGCGATTGGGGGGTGGGCGACTAGATCCAACAAGACGTGAAACGAAAAGTCGTTAACAGGGTCCGATCCCAGGAATACAGTTGCGGTCTTTGCCAAGACACTGAGGGCACTGTCGGCAGTTTTTGTTATTCGAGGTACGGAGTGCTACGCAATGCTGTGACGAAGCGCAGTCAGATGCGGGCTTCATGCTCAGATCTGAAGGGTTTTCCATATGGTTAGAACGCGCGAAAGCTTAAGACTCAAGAAGGTTTCTGACACTCTGGACGCTGCAAGGCAATCGCACAGATGCACCACGGCTTCGGCGCCGACGAGGTTGAAACCATGCAGTCCAGGCAGTGGCTTGCACGGAGAGCATCTGCAGAAGTCTTCCAAGCCAAGTGTACAGAGGGGGGCGTTGCAGAGGGAAACTTCGGCCGAAGTTGCCGGGGCCTAGGAAGCTTTCCGCAGGTTCTCCCAATACGACTCCGACGGCAGCGGCGCCATTTCGGCAGCTGAGCTTCGTCTTCTTTGTCAGGACGTTGGTATGACTAGACTCAGGCATACAACTGCATCCTGGCACATCTTTGCGATTGCTATCGAGTAGTGCTTGGGCACCTGTACTGTAACTTATTAGCATGTTTGTTTGCATGGTTTTCGACGTTTCAGACACAAGTTCTACGCGAACAAACACCGGATGTAGGGGTTTACTTGAATTCGCCTCTCGCTCCCAGGGATCGACAGGACCTTGGGCGCCGCAATCGAAGAGTGGCTCAAAGACCTGCATCTGGTCAGGAGATGTTGCCCAAGATCGCCACCGACCCCAAGTCTCGGCCGGAACTGATCCGTCTGGTCAAGGAGGCTTGCCGGGGCGGTGAATGTGCAGGAGCTTGGCTTGTGCTGTGACCATGGAGCCAATTCAGTGCGATGACAGTCGGTCGTTGCATTCGCTCAGATGGACTCTTCTGGAGATGGAAATCTCAACTTTCACGAGTTTCTGAAATTGATGCGTTCCCCACTCAGCGAGTATCAAGATTAAGACTGCCAGCACGACCGGTCTTAGCATGATCTCCTGAGCTTATTTGAGTCTTCAGTTGTTGCAGAGGTGACTTGGAAGACAGCCAAAGAAAAGCAAAGTACGCGAAGGACCTGTCGCATTATACGTTTAGCAGCCGGACGTGGTAGCCAGCAGGTTCTCGGGATCTCCATGATGGATGCCCAAAGAAGTCCTTGAAGGAAGAGCACATTGTTGATCAGCTGCCCTTCACCAGTCACCAGATTCGGGACTTCCGTGAGATCTTCATTGAACACGTTTGCCCGGCTTGAGATTGACTGTCTCTTGGAAGTCCCAGACAGCTTGGCTTGCAAGTACTCGCAACTTTGGAGGAAAGAGTTAGAGGCTGATTGAAGGTTTTGTGTCTTCGAGCCAGATAAGTAAAGTATGCATTGCAAGGCCAAGATAGCTCCTTGTGTGCGTTCTTTCGTGATAGGTGTCATGACTTGCAAAGCATTGTCATGGTTCATGCCAGGATGAGGACCGTGAAGGCTTGATTTCCTTTAAGGCGGTACAGACACTCTTGATCCTCGCCAATGGTTAAATATGTCCGATTGCGAGTTCAAACATGCTTTGCGTCACCAGTTTTGTCACCTGTCTATGGCTAAGGTCTGTACTGATACCAATGGGAGATCGGCGAGTCATCTGTTCGGCATCAAGAAGTAGCCAAGTCCATGTTGCTACCACGAGCGGACAGCACCACATGACAGCTGCTACCACCATCACCACCGCAATCACAGTTGCTACAGCAACCCAAGCTACAGCAATTCGCAAACGGCAGCAGCGGCAGCAATCACAGAAATACAAAAGGAAGGCGAACAAAGCACCTGCAGAATATGCTTCGAAAGCAATACACACAATTAAGAATGCAAGAACAACTACTATCTAACGCAGTGGGTTTGGTTTTTCTGAAAAACCTGGGCAGGGATGTTGAGTCTCCATCACATGTCAGGGCGCACTGAGCCTGGCCGAATGACACCCAAAGGGTGCCGGAAGTCACCGCCATGGTGTCGAAGCTATGAAATTGAGATGAACGCTGCCGATGATATCAGTACCCCAGAAGCAGAGCCACGAGAAGAACCGAACAAGCAAGAATCCTAAGCATCAAAGAAAGCATTATGTCACCCACACGAGCTCCGTGATGGTGATGATAGAGTGATAGCGATGACGGCGAAGGTGACGATATGTGACGATGCTGGTGCTCATCATCGCAACAGTTATACTCACCATCGTCATCATCACCAACACATACCAGCACCATCAATTGAACGTAAACGTCGTCATAATATCACCAGCAACACCAACATCAAGATCCTATCAGTTTGCAGCAGCAGCCGCCACCCCCATCCCTCGCCACCACCACCGCCGCCGCCAGTCACCGCGAGCATCAGCATCACCGCCGCCCCCACCACTACCACCACCACCACCACCACCAACACCACCACCAACACCACCACCAACACCACCACCAACACCACCACCAACACCACCACCAACACCACCACCAACACCACCACCGCCAGCACCAGCAGCAGCAGCAGCACCACCACCAGCAGCAGCAGCACCACCAGCAGCAGCAGCAGCACCACCACCACGAGCACCGCCACCGCCAACGCCACCACCGCCGCCACAACACCCCTCAAAAGCAGGTGCATGAGATGGCTTGGGATATATAGCAAGATGACCATGGGTAGCCAAACCGGCTGGCAAGACTCAGAATTGGCCAAGTCATCCAGGTTCTTCAGCTCTCCGAGATTTGGCAGAGGAATGTCCACGTGCCCATGGCGCCAGAAGACCTTCAGGCCTGCTACCATCGGGTCTTGCTTAATTGCTATGCACACGTGGCAGACATGAGAAGCTGAATTTAAGGGACCACCGGCTAGCGGCTAGTTCTTATGGCCTTGTTTCAAACCCACGGAGAGCCGTGCACGTAGCGCTGGATCCATCCGATCGATGCAGTCCTGGACCCTGGACTTCCCGGACTTCCTCTTGCTGATGCACGAACTGCCGGGGACTCAAGGGCAGCTTCTCAGCTCCATGTGTTAACGTCTCGACCTCCCTGACGGTATCCAGCCGTGCTGGTGCTGCAGCATACTCCTGTCCTCAAAAGCATCGATTTCGCGGCCGGCCTGAGCCAAGCCTCGCAGAACAGAATAGATAAGGCCGAGTTCAGGTTTGTGGTGTGATTAGCTTGTTCCGTATACTGGTTGCCCAAACTTCCGCTTGGCAGTAGATCGGGAATGGAACACTGATGATTTGGGATTGAGGCTTAATCAGCTGACTGTTTCATGGGCAATTTTACTGGGTCTTTTGCATCGAAAGTCCGCAATCGGCGAAAGCATTGGATGACCTTCCTTCAAGTAAGAAGGCTGCGTCAAAAATGATTCTCTCCGATGCACAGGTTGGAGACGGATTTCTGTGGCATCAAGGCCAAGAGTGCCGCTGCCGTCCCTGCCCAATCTGCGTGGGCACGTTGAAGGAAATGTGCTTTCTAGTTGGGATCATACACAACATGCCCAGATCAGGTGACTGAGATGGAGAGGCTGAAGAAAAGATACAAGGAGTGCTTAGCTCAGCTCTTCACGCGGCATCATCGGGCATCATGTATGACAAGTGCGAAGCAGTTGACAAGCTTGATTTGACAGCAGGCCGTCGTCACCGAGGCTTTATCCTCGGATCGCTGTTTTCAGCCGTTCGCCTGCGGATGGGTCTTTCTGTGCCTTCTTGAGGTCCGTCAAGCCGTCTTTCACCCTCCCAGCAGCCACCTTGGTGATCACTTGCTCGGCCCACTGAGCCTTGCAGAGCGAAGAATTTTGCCCACTGAGCCGAGGCTACGACGGACTCTCTCGTGCCGGAAGACGTCATGTTATCATCCAAGACGCTCGGTAGACCATTTTGAAAACTTGTGCGGCCCATGTAGGGCCCGAGTTGACGATCGAGTCACATCCCCGACTCCATGGTGGGACATGGGCTGGCTCCTGTTTTCAACCTTTGCTAAAATAGACTTGGCGACTGGCAATACGTCGGATCTCCGTCATGTCTGATAATGTGTCGAGGATTCATGTGTACAGCGGGAAGCTGCTGAAAACCGGCGGCTTCAGGATGGATCTGCACGGTGGACGTGGCCAGAAAGTGTTGGGCGACAGTAAAGAGTAGGGATTATACGCAATGCTTGAGAGACTCCATCCATGCAGCCTACAAACTGTGCCCTCAGCTTCCTCGCGTGCCAGCACAGCAGCCACTGAGGCATCCCTCAACGGTCCTGGCATGTTCGGGTGTGCCACCTAACAGGCCCCTAGCAAGACAAGTCCACCTGAAAAAACACAGGGTGGGCTATCGGGTCGGCGACGCCTACAATGCGGTGGCCAGGACTTACTGCAAAGTCTGCCCTAAGATGGATGGGGCAGAGTTGCCCCGAGCCATCATGGATGGACAAACATCAGTCACATGGTTCTGCTGAATTGGCGAATCTCCTGGCCATGCACTAGGTTCCATTATTGATATCGCTTCTGCTCTCATTTAGAAAACAAGGGAGAACAGAAACACCGTAGCAGGATCCTGGTTACAAGGCCCATCAACTGAGGTTCCCGTAATGCGCTGATTTTACGAACCCCCACTGGAATCAGTTATATGGTCAGCCTTGGGCAGTCAGGAGCTTTTGACATGCCAAGGTTGTTCAGAAGCCGACAGACACAACTAGACTAATCGGACTCTTGATTCCAGTTTCGACCTCGGAGACATGTTGCAGCCATTGGGCTCATTTAGTGATTTAGTGTATTGCAATTCTGGCCTGTTGCAGTGAAGTGCTCTTGCCAGGGACAGCGGCAAGAGCAATCATGCCAGAGCGAGACACGCATCCGCAACCAACGCCGCCGCCGCCCCCTCGCGGTCGGATCGTCCGTTCCGGCCGGTTCTTCCTGAGGAACAGAGGCGCGGACTCTGGGTATTTTGACGTTGGGAGGACCTCGGAGCAAATTGACCAAGGCGGTGGAACCAAGAGCGGGCCACGAGCGCCGGTGCCATACCATGCCGCAGGCTCGTGGCTTTTGTGCTTGCTTTCTGCCTTAAGCTGAGAGGGTTGCCTGCAGCTTGCAAGCAGCAGCTGAGTGCAGGCTCGTGCAGTTCTGCCAGCGGCGCAGATGTGAGGACTGCGGCGTGGCATAGGGGATTGGCCATTTGCTGCCAAACGTATGCCACCGATTCATGCCACAACTTCGAAGTCGGCAATAGTTGACGTCAGAGTTGTCGCGAGGAATCCAGGAAGAGGGCAGCATATCAGCTATGTGGCAGCTCCAACACCGGTGCTAAAGCTGAGCAGTGGCGAGACGGCTTTTTGGCTAAATAAAGGCTGGTGATGGAACATGCATGGTCAACAAGCTGTCAGGACTGGAAGGAGGCCTTCCGCCAGCTACTCGCTGGCAGAGTACCAGAGGCTTCGGAGCTTTTCCGGTTCTTTCAGCGGTTTGACGATCACAACAGAGCGCTTGGGGCACGCAACAACTTCGAGGGGAACACCACCGGCATTTGCAATATGTTTTGGGAGCACTTCCAGCATCAGGCGATGCCAGCGCCTTCCCCGCTATTTTTCCTTCATTTCCTGATCAAGATCATCGAGTACATGTTAGCAGGCTATTTGCAGGGTGTGGCTCATGTCGCGGCCAGACGAGCGGTGGCCATGGCCTGGTCCCTTTTGGGTTCAACGCAAGAAGATCTCCGAGAAGCGGTGTCAAACCAGTCGGTCGAGCTCATGCGCTTTCGAGGACGCCTGCAAGTTTGCATGAACAACAATTCAGAATAAGCCAGGTCATGCACACGGAACGCCTCAATTCCGAGAGGACATGATGTGGCATACCTCTTCCATGGACCTATGGTAATTGTCCGCAAAGCAGCAACTTGGCATCGGTGCAAGGACTAGATAGCTTTGACCCTGTTGGGTGGCATTTTACATTTTTAATTATGGTGGGGTGGTTAGTATTACACCTACATATCTAGTATATTCAGGTACTTGTATATATATATATATATATATCTATATGTGCTACCCTAAAGCTTATATAGATAGTCCTACACCCACGTATCTATGTATATGCAGATACTTGTATGTATATATATATATATATATATTATGTGTGCTACCCTAAATTAAACTCTATATAGATTAAGCCCTAGATTCCCCCGAAACCTTGCTTCGCCTCGCCGCGACACTCGGCTTCGACGTCGAGCTCTTCCTTGTGGGCGTGGCTGGGATGCCCAGACTCAGGGATAGGGCTGAGGTTAGGGGTAATTAATGGATAGGGTTGAGGTTCGCCAAGGGCTGGGCGTTAGGTAGTTTAGGGTTTAAGGTTCGCCAAGGGCTGGGCATTAGGTAGTTTAGGGGTGAGGGTTCGCCAAGCATCGGCGTTAGGTAGGCTAGGGGTCGCGGGTGGGTGTTAGGTAGGCCAGGGGTGAGGGCTCGCCAAGAAAGGCGTTAGCTAGGTTTGGGGTGGGGAGAGGGTTCGCCAAGCATCGGCGTTAGGTAGGCTAGGGGTCGCGGGTGGGTGTTAGGTAGGCTAGGGGTGAGGGCTCGCCAAGAAAGGCGTTAGCTAGGCTTGGGGTGGGGTTAGGGCTCGCCAGTAAAGGCGTTAGTTAGGTAGGGGTCTCGCGGATTGGGGTGTGTAGGGGGGTAGTGACAGCTGGTAGGGGCCTAATAAATAGCGGGTATAATCTGAGGTGTCAAACCTCTGCGCGCAGTGAGCCTGGATTTCCCAGCAACCGACTGCTCAGTTGAGAGAAGTTTGAGTAAGAGCATGTGACAGCATGTGTGTTTTGTCCCGAAAGATGGTGAACTATGCCTGCGAACATGAGTGCTGATCCTGTCCTGCTTGGAAGCCCGGTTGAGGGTTTAGGGGTTTAGGGTTTTAGTGTGCTTCGCCCAGGCCCGGTCGCGACCTTCATCCATGCAGTGGGGTGAAGGACCGATTTGCAGTGGGGTTTCTCTAATCGCAGGTCGGGTTGCGGGGGGTTGTCCGTTAAAGGTTTCGGGTTTGATTCGGGGTTTGTTTAGGGTTTGAGGGTCTGGGGTTTCCGGACTTGAAGTTTGACGGCATGCAGCAGTGAAGCAGTGTCAATGACTTGTGATGCTCATCCGTGGCGAATGCTCAAAGGCATGACGGGGCATTGGCATCAGGGTGACATTCACAAGTGCTTAAACTTAGGGTTTAAGTTTGCAATCTCACATGTCGGGCAGCCGGCACCCCGAATCCCTGAATCGGGGCTTGAACCTCCAAGTCAAAAGTTACCCTGAATCCCTGAACTTGTCAGGTTTGGGGCGTGAACTTCCAAGTCAAAAGTTACCCTGAAACCCTGAACTTGTGAGGTTTGGACTTGAACCTCCAAGTCAAAAGTTACCTGTAGTCCCTGATTGTGAGGTTTGGGGCTTGAAATACCTGCAAGTTTATTACCCTGAATAATCCCTGAACGGTCGGCTTCCACTAATTGTCAAAGGTCTAAGTCTGGTCATCCTTCGCGTGTCACTCCATGCTCCGTGCTGCTGGCTTTTCTGATTCTTGAATCCGACATGCGCGGCTGGCGTGAAGTGTACTTTGGTGGGCAGCGGGGTGGCCGGCAAACGCGAGGAGAGGCAGGTGCTCTTTAGTTTTCTTCCTGTAGCCTTGAGGGTGCTAGGTCGTTTTGTATCTTTTCCCATTTTCCCCTACAAGGTCAATATGGGCCCGCAGCTTGTTTCTTGGGTTGCTGTTTGTCTTCTTTTGATTTGGATTAAAAATTAAGGTTGTAGGATCTGAAGCCCTAAACCCTAACCTAAACCCTAAACTAAATGTTTAACCGACTGTGGCCGAAACCCTAATGAGGTCGCGGCCCGACCTCATTGTGGCATCGACATGCCAACGGATGTGCCGCTTCCCCTCACGGTACAAGCGCGGCCGAATTTGGTTGGTCCGAGGGTGGTGACACCCAGACCTGCACTACGTCCAGAAGCTGCCCATGAGTCGAGTGCACCTGTACACGCTGCGGCGTCAGCTGCTGCACCTGCCGAACAGTCGTACTTGGAGGCGGCGCCAGCTGCTGCACCTGCTGTTCCTTCGGAGGCGGCGTCAGCTGCTGCACCTGCCGAACAGCCTCGTACTTCATCGGAGGCGGCGCCAGCTGCTGCACCTGCTCGTCCTTCGGAGGCGTTGTCAGCTGCTTTACCTGCCGAACAGCCTCGTACTTCGGAGGCGGCGCCAGCTGCTGCACCTGCTGTTCCTTCGGAGGCGGCATCAGCTGCTGAACCGGGTCCAGCTGCCGAGGCAGGATCCGTATGATTATCAAGACCCTAAGATTTAAAGCCTTAAGCCTTAAACCCTAAACTTAAACCCTGAACTGGCTTTTTTTCCCGATTCAGGATCACAATGTCGTTCTGAATCCACCCGGCTTCCTCAAAGAGACGCCCGTCGCGCACGGCTGGTCCATTATAGTGCTGAAAGATGGCAGTACTTTATACGTGAATCGCTATGCGCGTGTATCCACGTTCAGGCTTCCGACTGAATTTACGCCAGAATCTTGGTTGCAGCTGATAAGTTGTTTTCGCAGTTGCTGATAAATTGTTGTTTGGGTTCTTAGGCACTTAGGGATTCTCTTCGCCTTCAGGTTCCGGCAGCACCCCAGCCCGACGGGGCCGACGCTTTATATCCCTGGGAGGTTTGGTCCGAGTTCGGACGATATGCTGACCGGAAGTACTGGTACAACGTGGAGACACATGAGATCGCGAAGTGGGATGTCTTTGCCGCTCGGTTTTTTGCAATTCGTTTAGTGGGGCCTTAGCTTAATTAGCTTCTGCCGAAGGGGTTTAAGTATACAGATTATCCCGACACAGGCATCAGCACTGGAGCAGAGCCGCGAAAGACTTTTCCGAGAGCGTAAGAGGGCCGCTGATGAGCGCGATCGGCAGGTGCAGGCCGAGCTGGCCAAGCGACGGCGGCGGTGAAAAAAGATGCTTAGGGCTTAGGGCTCCGTCTGTGCTCGTCCCTGACACTCATTGACTCATTGACATTGACATTGAATCGCCACAGGACTCTGCTCTCCAGCTCCAGCCGCGGCCAGGCGCTCCTTTGGGGCTTCGGATTTCGGGGCTTCAGACTAGCAGTGAGCAGTGAGTGCTTGTGCGTTGTCCGATATGCTGCTGAACTCTCTGCCACTTCCCATGCTCATCCGCTCAATCGCGCCCAGGTGGCACGGTGATTGGTGTGCGGGCCGGGCTCCCGTTGGTGACGCACTCCTCTCTGATAGGTTGTGCAAGCAGAGGTTTGAGGGCTTGGACTTCATTCGGGTTTCAGCTGAGGGCTCTTCAGTCCTTATATAAGGTTTGTAGGGCTTAGAGTTGATTCGGGTTTCGGTTTCGAATTTGGGCCGTAGCCTTACCTTAAGGTTTATAGCCTCACTTATGGCCAAAAGGGCAAAACATGAAACCTTTGGTTGAAACTTGATGAGTGTTCGTTTGTATTTGAGTATACAAACACACAACCTGGTATAGAAAAGGCGCTTCTCAGTATATTATGTGATTACGTTACTTTAATAATACATGAAATGATGTAGCCTATGAGTACTGCACACCACTTTGAGGGCGGGCCGGTGAGAAGGCGAATGCCATCGAACCAACGAAATCAACCAGGCACAAAAGCAATCCGGACTAAGTCAGGCCTGGTTCAGCAGCAAAAGTAAAGCATTTATGCAGAAAAGCGCCTTGACTATACTCAGGCTGTGTGCCTGTACAGGTATATACAAACGCACTCGTGTGGTCTAGAACCAAGGTTCATGCCATAATTGAAATTGTTGCATACGTGTTTCTATATCAGTCAGGTGGTCGGTTCTCTAAAGAGGACACCAGTGTTCAGTATAGAATCCCGCGAAGTCCATGCTTTACCTCCTAAGCCTATCTAATTAAACCATAAGCCCTAAAAGCCCTAAAAGCGACCACGAAGCCTTGCCTTGAGTGTCCGAGCGGTGTCGGGACATGTTAAAAGAAAGCTGAAATCATAAAGCCTTGATCGGAAGCCCTGAACCCTTAATTCAAAAACCGGTAAGCCTTGCAAACCCTAAACTCAATAAACGCTTTGAGCCGGCCGTGCAACTGGTGGCCAGCAGTGGTGTAGATGCCTGTGATTATACGAATGTTTGCAGGTTGTCAGTCTAGAAAGCAAACCCATAGGTATAGGTTCTTTATCTTAGTAGTTCTCCCACTAACATCCGATCGGCATTAGTGCGAAGTCATGTATACCGGTATGTGTGTTAGCTATACCCGCGGCTAGTGCTTTCGGGCTTGGTATAGAAACCCCGTCATTCCGTAGAGAATAAAATGATGACCGTGCTTGTTATTACTAGCATGACTACTGAAATTTTCCATCGTGTCCACAGCTGGTAACTTGGGGCAAAGGAATGAACACGAGAAACACATGCGAAGGTGACTCTTGCAGACGAAATCGTCGTTTGCAGACTATCAGCCGGCTACCCGTCACTTCCATTCTTCGGAGCACGTTCAGGGCTTAGGCGACAAATCCGCTGAACCCCTTAAAAAAAAAAGAAACACCCGGCCCGTCAACGTCTCTCCACTCACATTGTGCATTCAAACTGCTGAAATCCAATCTCTAACCAAGTCTTTGGGTTCAGTATCCTGGAACCCTAACAATAAGTAAGTGATAGATGACCCTGATAATTAGTTAAGGATCCGAAACAAAAGCAACCATAGCAGAACAGTCGCCAAGAGAATCTTCAGTTGAGTTGACTCTTCCGATTGGCAGTATAACTTCGGCAATAGTCTGGAGAGAGTGTTGTCACGGCATGCTTCCCGGCATTCAGGTGTGAGCTTTTGCTTGATTAGGCTAGATGCTAAGACGCGATCATCCAGGTGAGCTGTTCTCATATGGATTCATGCTACTGTCTGTCAGGTACTGTACCGGCCAGTGGCTTGTAGGAGCTATGTAGGTGGTGGCCACGCAATAACGAAGCTAAGGAGCCAATGGTTCTGTGTAGTTAGGTAGGCATGGCTTTTGATGCGCCTGAATCCTCGACCACTGCTGATTGCCAGCGTCATCTTCGCCAGTGTGGCCGTGGACACCTGGACTGCTTAGGATGCTTATTCGCTGCAGGCAAGAGACATTCCCGAAAGAAGGGTTGCGTTCGAGGGTTTCAAATTTGTCTTTGAGTAACATTGGTAATTAGGGTTGCTTACCCCTCCGGTAGGATACCTCGGGCGTCTTCGAAAGAAAGCGCAGCAACTGTGCCCTGAAGATGCACAGTTGGCCTGGCGTGCCAAATGTGTTTTTAAGCATCCTGTCACTGGAAATCAGATGTCGTATTTGGTAGCCAACTGGGAGGAATCTGGCAGTGTGTCTGTAGGATGCTTTATCTGCAGGGCTTGTTGTGCAAGCGGGGCTTATGGAGCAATGGAGGTGAAAACTAGAAATGCGCTGCAGCTGTGCAATCTGGCAGGACACGGTGATTCTCAGATACATAGAAAATCTTTGGAAACTTGGGCAGCGTCTCATGCGGTAGAGCCAGGCACCTCCTGTGCGGAAGAGAGTGCTCAGCCACCAAAGTCTCAGGGTCTGGTGAGTGGAATTTCCGATTCTGTACCTCGACTGGACCGTTGGGTCCAGGCTCTTGAATTGGTGGCTGCTTGCAAAAGCTATGGTCAGTTTGCCGCCCATGTCGATGCACAGACAGTGGGCTCAGCGCTCGAGCCGGGCGGGGACACTTCCGAGCACGTGGCCCGAAGGCTAATTTTCTCGATGGCGGAGGTCTTGAACGAGAAAGACAGGGCCATTATGAAGGATTCTGCCTTTGCTTCTGTTGCTATCGATAAGACACGGGATATCTTTCTGGTATATGCGAGAGTGCTAACCCATGCCGGATCTTTGTATGATTTTTTGCTGGGTATTGCTGAGTGCCTGCCAGATGTTGATAGCGGCGCCGAAGCCCTTCAACAGATCATCAGAAGAGCTTGCACTCGTGCTGTGGGGCAGAGAAAGGGCGGCTTGTTGTACACGCACCCAGAAGATAAGTTCGTCACTGAGACTTGGTTCTTCGATGATGGCAAGTATTTAATCACCACTTGAATTTGTGATCGGAGGTTTCTATAGAAGAAAAGAACAAAGATAACAAACTCTGATATGTGCAAATCCACAGTTAGGAAGCCTACACCCGTTTCTGCAACAGTGTCATCTCAGCTGTCGCCGACGGCGGCACGGTGGAGCAACGCATCCTGTTCGACAGCACAGCTGCCAGACTGGTGAATACACAATCGCCACCGTTATTTCCAAGCTGTATGATCGTGACGCGGGACCGCCCGCACAGGTTCAGAAGTGTTCAAAAGGGTTTCTGGAACCAGGTAGACCTGCCAATCAAGGAGTTATTGGATAGTCTGGTGACTGGCAACAGGTCTGTAGCTCGGCTCCTGGAAAGCTCCCTGAAGTTCGGGCGGGTCTTTCAGCAGGCCCAGATGAATGCCAAGGTTTCTCATTCTGCCCCGACGTTTGCAGGTGTGATAAAGAATCTTCAATACAGCGAGGCGAGATTCGATAGCCGATCACGACCTCTGTTCCGCCTGTTCCGTTTACTGCCGATCGTTGTGCAGTGCCTTGCTGACATCTCATCAGAGCAAGATGACGAAGACGCCACCTGGGCATGCGAGCTGTTGGAATCCCTGGGAGGCGAGAAAGGTTTTAACGCACTGCTGGGAGCAGCGCTGGTGGCTGACACTATGGTGATAACTCAGCCAGCCATCAGGCTCGAGGATGCCGCCGCTGCTGATTGGTCGTTATCCGGACCCGTGGCGTCAGAACTTCTTCAAACACTCCGTCATTTGCTTTATGAGGGTGGCATCTGGCTAGAAGAGGCAGAAGGGACGTTGGTGCATGCATGTCTGAGGTCCGTGAGGGGCAAAACGGTGTATATTCGCTCTGGAACTCCTGCGGCTTCTGCAATAGCCCTGGCATGGCCAACTCCTCTGAGTCCCATCATTGCGAAGGCGAAAGAGCATCGAGATGGCATTCATCTTCTGGGTTTTGAAACGATCATTAATCACATGTAAGGCTTCATGGTCGATTCAATGTGAAAAGAGTCTGGGTTTTAATAGGATTTGAGGGGATACGATTCTATGAAGGTTGTTCCTGATGCCCTTGCTCCTCGCTCAGGCTGTTTCGCATTTATGAAGCCTTCTTCAAGGCGAATTTCCCTATGTACGAGGAGAACTACTGGTGTCTTCCAATACCAACTGAAATTTTATAGTGAATCTACTTTCGAAGAATATTTATTATGTCGAATACCCTAGACTGCAGGAAGCGAATGCATTCTCTTGCTTCAACATTGATGCGGAGCTCACTGTCAGAGACCGGTTTTACTTTGTTCGTCTGCTGAGTGCCCGCTACAGCCTGAGTATCGATGATGTTTGGCGACAGTTCCATGGCAATGGAGTCAGTTCAGGCCTGAGAAGATGTAAACGTGTATCGGTAAAGAAAAACATATCCTGATGAGTGTCGTTTGGCGGAGGGGTGGTAAGCTGCATAGGCCTGGATTTTCGTGGTCTCTGAAGATAAGACATGCTTGATGCCAGGAGCCTGGCACAGAGCTGTTTGGCATGGGTCCAGTGCCGGCTTGGCGTTTGCTGCTTCGAAAGCAGAAGCGTCGTGCTTGGAATCTGAACATGCGCCGGAAACCCGGTCTCAGAAGGCTTGGCTATCGTGCTTCAAAGAACTGGAAAGGGATACCCCATGCAAACGACTGGTTGGGATTTACCTTGCGAGCCTTAGTGGCACAGGCACTGTGGACCGGTGGTTGAAAGAAGTTGTTCGAGTCATGGACTATCGGCCCAATGTCGATCCTCGAGGGGCACAAGCAGCTGTCAAGTTGATCGTTCAAGATTTGGGCGGCCGCCGCCGCACCCCATTGCAGGGCCGGCAGATGTTGGTGGAGGCTGTAGCCAAAACAGCCCATGGTGGCGGCAATGTGGCCCACCCAATTTCGAAATTCGGAATACAGGCACAGACTCTGTACAAGAATCTGTTCGGTCAACGTCGCCTGCCAGGGCGAAGCTTGGATGCAAAGCTTCCGCAAGAAGTGGCCAGATTGCGACTTGTTGCAGACAGGCCTCGGATGACCCGTGCCCGATTGGGCACAGCAGCTGCAGATGAATCTTCTGAGAAGGCAGCCCTGCAGGCGCATGCAGACAGTGTCAAGGCAGCAGTTGCGAGAGTCAAAGAAGGAGGGGAAGCGGAGGGACCATTGGGTGTAATTCAGTTGCCGCAGCCTGACCCCAAGAGGAGGAGAATCATGCAGGAGGCTGCGCAGAGTGCAAACATGATGTACACATCCATGGTCACAGGACGGGCGCTTGGGACTGAAACCATGCCCCCAGAAGCTGATGATATGGCGGAGCATCAAAAGAAGGCTGTCCAGAAGCAGATTGACATTGCTAACAAGAAGGCAGAAGCGTTTCTGCGAACAAAGGCAAGTGTGCCTGTCACATATGTGGATGCGAAGGGAGGATTCATGCGAGTCAAGGATGACAGACCTTCTTCTGTCGGACCCGCTCCTGCGCTTCCTGCTTTGATTCGGGCAATTGTTGCTCCGACTTTTTCGGGTCTGCAGCCGGAAAAATTTCCCAACTTTCAATTCCGCCAAGCCAAGACTTTTCGAAACTCCTGTGACGTTGTGCTGGTGCCAGATGTTCACCGCAATTTCACCGACCCCGAAGCTTTATTTGCAAGGCTTGTCGGCGCTCGCCTTGTGGACTCGCGCTGGCTTGCAGGAGACAGTGAAGGTGAAATCTGTTTCAGGAGCGTTATGCAGAACAAGCATTTGATCCTCTACATCCATGGCAGTTTCGCGCAGCAGCACGCTCGACATGCTATCGTTCTTGAGGCGGCTGGGCAGATGAGCCCGTCGATGAGAGACGGCAAGCCACGTTTCGATGTCAGGTCCGGTGACCGACCGGAAAAGATCAGCAAACCGACTTTGACATATGCACTTGTGGGGGATGTCGAGGCAGCAACTTCTCAGCAGAAGAAGAACAATAGAATCTGGCACCTCGCTGACTTGATGACTGCGTGCACATTGGTTTGGGACCCACCGGCGAGCGAAAACACGAGCGCATCTTCCAGTTCTGGCCGGCAATGCCCCCAGCTGGCATCCTGATTGCCAGGGCCATGTGTCACTGTGACCCATAGCAAAGAGCTGGCAGAAAGAGGTCTGTGGTGTGTCTAGGTGTTCTGTCGTCTGGGGCAGGAGAAGACAGTCTGCAGGAATCTAGGTGTAGGTGAAGATCTTGGTCTTATTGTACCATCTTGTAGAAATGCTTGTCAGTTTGCCTGCAATGGAAATAAAGGTGCACTGGGCTCTGCTGGTTGCTGTCCTATTGTGTTTTGAGTTGGTAGATAGATCGGATGCGTCACTTGTTGCAGGGATAATTGCATGGGGCCTAATTGATGATTTCCGCCTATCCCCGAGATCATTTCATTCCTAACCCGCTCAACATAATATCGAGACTCCTGAGGCTGACATCATCGTATCCATGGAGATGTGCAGGGGGCCCGGGTGTCCAAGCGTGCGCACTGAAGACTGTTGCTGGTCGAAGCTTCTTGTTTAGTCCGCAGCTGGGTCTATGTGGCAGTGCCGATAGGAAAAAATGAATCCTGCTGGTGAGGCTGCTGGTTCTTCATTGCTGGCCCTCTGGCAGGGGGCCCGGACACAGCTGGACTCACAACTCGGTCTCCAACATAGCTGTCTTGATACAAGTCTAGGTCCGGACCTGGACTTGTAACTCATATGATTCTGCCCGCGTGTTGAGGCTCGACTCTGGATGTCGTGCGGCGCTGACGGTGTCTTAGGGTGCCCACGTGAATCAGATGCATGGAGTTACACGTCCAGGACCGGACCTGGACTTCTAAGTCACTTTGCATATTCAGGTCTTTGTTGCAAGTCCAGCTTTGTCACGGTTTGCTTTCCGAAGGCTTTTGTGGCTTGAGGCTTTTTCATTTAGTGGCCGCTGTACGTTGTGGAGATGGTCAAAAAGAGTTCAGCCCCGGTGAAGGGCAAGGCGAGTGCAAAGAAAGTGCTGAAAAAACCAGCCAGCAAGAAGGCCACACCTGCACAATCTGAGCCGGCCGAGCCTCGACTAGTCGAGAATATGGCCACTTTCGATCTCAAGGAATTTCTTCATGAAATGCAGACCGTCTTGGGCTGTGCTCCTTGTGCTGACAAAGTCGTGCTGGCGACGGCGTGCTCAGGGTTGCCTGCTTAGCTCTGGTGATCAAACTTGTTTGTTATGCATCTTATCACGGCTGTTAGATGCGAACGAAGTACCAGTGCTGTGCAGGTTGGGTGTTCCGGCAGCGGTTTTGCGCTCGATCATGGGCGATGCAGCAAAGGTTGTCGAGATTACGGCTTCCGAGATCAGTGAGACCTCGGCCCATGCGTTGCTGCAGAATTGCCCAAAGGGCCACCAACCTTTGCAACTGTTGCGGAATGTCGTGGATGCTGCGTCAAGTGGCAAATCCTTCTGCTACATTGCAAATAAGGTGACCCCAATGAACGAGCTTTTTGGATCTGAAGGAACAGATATTTACGTGGCAGGGTATCCTTGCAACGATAACTCCTCGATGAATACGAGCCGCTTCGATCCTCAGAAGGACGCAACAACGACCCCGTTTGCGGCCGTGCTTCCGGCAGTGGTTCATGTTTTGGATAAACTGGCTCCCAAAGCTTTTCTTCTGGAGAACGTCCCGGGACTGTTAAAAAAACGGTCTGGTCAGAGTCCATCCAGTGCTGAGCCGGTCATGTCCTGGGTCGAGGACAAGCTCAAGTCCAAGCTAGGGAACCGCTACAGCTGGTTTTCTCTGATGCTGCCTTCCGATCCTCTGTGCCCCGCCGTTAAATTTCGAAGTCACGTACCTCAGTGTCACGTTGCAGTGTTTTTCCAAGTATCAATGCTTGGCTCAGGCCGACACGGCGTGATCGCATCTTCACCATTGGTTTGAGGAAGGACATTGCTTGCCATCCTGGTCAACTTACTGGATTGCAGAGTGACATCAACAAGCTAGTTTCGGCGGCATCCGCAATGCCGGTGCATCATGTAAGTGGCTTCTTGCATGTTGACCCTGCTCCGAATGATGCTCAGCAGACAGGGTGTGAGCCCGGCGGTGATGCTGACGATGGTGATGAAGACATGGTGGCTACCGGCTATGTAGATGCCCAGCAAGGCAACTATGCTGTTTGCTTTGAGAAGGCTGTGCACAGGGCAGTGCAAGCTGGCCGGGTCAGCAAGGACAGCCCTCTTCTGCTCCCACATATTTCCCGAATGTCTGCTTCCATGCCACATGAAACGGCTTGGATGCGGGCTCAAATCGATGTGCATCTGGACTGTAAATCTAGCTCAGCTTGTCAGCTTGCACACTTTCATCTGATTAGCCGTCCGACGGTTCTGACAAGGTACCAGCTGATCATTGCCCACATGAAGGAGGGCCTCCATCCCGATGTTGCAGACAGCCTGCATGCTGTGGCCGATGTGGGCCAGAGTGCAGAGCGCGGGCACGTACACTTACATGGCGACCTCCCATGCCTGACAACATCTTCAAGACTGTTCGATTACCAGTCTAGGAGGTGGTGGTAGTAGCAAGCTCTTAAAGTCTTGATCTTGATTTTCTGGACTTCGTTCTGCTGCTGATTGTGACGAATCACCCCCGAGGTTTCTGCTGCCGGCGGAGCTTGCAGCCAGCATGGGCATGGGACGTGTTGACTTTCGCGGCTTGACACTTTCACAATCATCGGCCATATTGGGCAAAAGCATGGCCACGACTACCTTGGCCATCTTGTTCTTGCCACTCTTGAAATGCTTGCAGATGTGCCAGGAAGCATAGTTGGTAGTGTGAAGGAGCTCCGAAGCCGCTCTTGCAAGGGCATAGAAGCATGCCCATCAGTTTTGAGCACAGATCCTGGTGTCTTTCTGTGCACCGGTCACCACAAGTCAGCACTTTCCACCAGTGCTTGGGTTAAAAACAATGCTCTCTCTTCCCAAGGCAAGGATGCATGCAGCAGTGAAAACCTTGGCCTGGCATGCTATGGTGCAGGGCTCCATTTCATAGTTGAAGGTTCGAGCCAAGTCACACTTTCATCTAGCAGTTGGCATGTCGAAAAGAGAGGCCGGCCCTCAGGATGCTGCCGAAGCGCAGCTCCCCGCTGCCAAGATGAGCCGTGTCCATGGAAAAAAGCCGCCTAAGCCTGTGGCCGCCTTGCAGCAGCTGGTCAAGGAGGCTGAGGCAGAGCTGCACCATCCCACGCTGCAGTATCTTGACTCTGAGCTTTCGCGGCCCGGCGTCCCAGAGTGGCTGCAGTCTATGCGTGGCAAGATCATGCACTCGTTGGGTGGATATGAGCAGTACGATGAAACGAACTTTCAGAACGCCATGAAAAGCGTTGGTGAGTATACCTGCTTACTGAACGCCCTTGAGATACCCCCGCTGGCGGTCACACATCGTGGACTTGTGCCTTCACTGTCGTCGTGTCAGAAGGTGAAGGATACAATTTGGGCCCGTGACCTGCCGCTGCTGTGGCAGGAGGTCATCTATGTGGCTGTGTTCTCGAAGAAGTCCAAGCCTGACGTGCTGGCTCCGCTGAACCAGGATGTGGCCAGACTGGCGTTTTGGTGCCTGGGATTTTTGGCGCACACTTGTTCAAGCAATGCAGTGTTGACTCCTCTTAGGCAGTGTGTGATTATGGCAGCAATGTCCAGGTGCCAGGTGGCGACCGCTGTGAAGGAAGGATGGCAAGACGAGCTGGAAACGGCGATGATGTCAATGAAGGTTTGTTTCAAGTACTGTATGTCGGAGGAGTCAGCTGAGTCGGAAAAATGGCGGCTTGCAGGTCGTCTGGATGTACCTTAGCCGCTTTAGAGCATCTGCGCTTGCAGCGACGTGTTATTTCTTCTACATGATTTCTGTTCATTCCACAGGTGCTCAGTGACCACGCCGTGCTCCGCGGCTGGCGTCGGATTGTCGCCATCGTAGGCATCAAATCCAACCTCGAATCTTGGTCCCGAGATTCATCCGATGCCTCCGCATCTTGGTCGCAGACGTTTGTGTCATATCTCGAAAGATTGACTTATTCCGTGGCTTTCTTCTCAGTGTCTGTGTTGGTGTCTTTGCTCGATGAGGTGTCTGCGTGGTTGGCGCAACAGAAGGTGCAGGTGTCGGCCGAGGTTGTGAAAACTATGGGGATTATCCGTGCCCGTTGCTGGCCTGCAGATAGCTTCTGAATCATCGAAACCCACACATGCACACAGATATGACTCTGATGACATGATGTTGAACTGCTCCAGGCTTCCAAAGCGCAGGGCTTGATGATTTCATGGAAAGCATCGAGGCAGAGCTTATGCAGGATAATCCATTGACGGGCATCGCTGTCTTGGAGAAGATCTGTGCTTTCACCAAAGCCGACAAGACAGACAGCAAGACGGACCAAACCCTGAACAATGCGCTCTTGACATGGGTGGTACATGATTTGAAAGCCGCTGCACAGACCCTAGGATACTCCACCACTTAGATTTGGAGGTCTGACGCAGTGTGAGTGTTGTGTGTGTGTGAGAGATCGCCCAATAAATGGAGAAGACTAGCTGAGGAATAAATGCATCACCTCTGCAGACAACAAGGGGAAGATCTTTCAGTATGCACGCTGCAGTTTGTTGAACAGACGGATCCTGTACTACGTCATAAGCAAACTGCGCATCAGCAAGAAAGAGTTCAAGAAATTGAACTCTTCCTCAATCTCCGAAGGCGACTCCAACACCTCTGCGCACCGCTCCGTGGTGAGCTTTTTCAACAACTTTGTGTCCCATAAAGCTTTCCAGGACAGCGAGCTGAACAAGTATGTGTCAGACAAAACTTGGCTGTCGAAAGTCATGGGCTTTCAGCGGCAGGCCATCGAGTGCATGCGTCTTTTCCTGGATCCCTCACCGGCTTTGTTCACAGCACTGTTGAATGCCGTGGAGAAAGACCCCAACATCTCGGCTGAGCAGTGTCTTCAAGATCCTGCTTGGGTGAAGCTGGTCAATCTGCAGGAACTCATGGCTGCCAGGCAGCCATTGCCCCAGATTCTGTATGTAGTATGCACTGGGGTCGCAGGCGTGGCTGTGGAGCCGTGCTTTAAAACACTGCGAGTTTTCATATGCTTCTTGTTGCTATAGAGGTCAGAGCTGGAGCAGCTGGCCGCACCGATCACACCAATCCCGCCGGCTCCACCTGCTGTCATTCAGGACGAGGCTGCTGCAGCAATCCCCAAGGAGAATGAGGCCCTTAAGTAGATATTCGCATGTGTCCTTGCTGGTGCCAAGTTGCTCTGTGCTGATCTTGCTCGGTCTCTGGTTATTTTTGTTCTTTTATTGGAGGCCGAGAGCAAGGATGCTGAAGAGCATCTGCCGGATGCTGGTGAGCAGCTGGTGCTGCCTGATGACGAGCCGGAGAAGCCAAAGGAGCCCTCCCATGTTGATGTTCTGTCGGCGGAGCTGGAAATCTTGCACATCCCAGAGTGGCTTATGGATATCTTCCAGAAGGTAGACCCCGGCACTTTGACCAGCATGCTGGCACATGCAAAGTGCCGCCTGGGTCTGAGATTGTCATGTATGCTCAGAATCCCACATTGCTTTCGCACATCTTCGTGTCGATACACTTAACTCAGGTGTGGATACATGGCTGAGATTCAAGGTCGTCGACGAGGCCACGGAGAAAACAGTGGCCGACTGCCTGCAGGAGGCCGTGAAAGCAATCTTGGGAGCCCCTGGGGACAAGCTAGTCGTGTTGGATGGCAAGCACTTCGGAGAAGGGCATGCCTCGCAAATGCCCACACACACCATGCGCTGTTTCATCAGCTCCCTCTTGACCCCGAGTGCCGATCCAAAGGTCGCGGAGTACTTGGCCAATGGGACGTTGTTTCTGCTCAGCGACGGCCGAAATGCTCGAACAAACTTGGAAATGAAGAAGGAGCTCAAAAGAGGAATCAAACCGTTGACCGGTGTTTGTAACCGCAAGGGCCTCATCGAGCTCCGGGCCGTTTTTCACATGCGGGAATTCGGCGGCAACGGCGCCTTCGTGCAAAGGGCTCGCAAGATCTTGCATAGTCAGTTGGCAGAGCCACTTGAGAATTGGCTCATTGTGAAGACAAAGGCCATGACACTTCCTGTGCGAGAAAGAAGGTACATCGACTTGCCAGGTGATTCGAGCAGCCGCTGCTTGGCAAATGTGCCACTCGGCAGCTTCTGCTTAATTGATTTCACTTCCGCATTTCACAGCCTCGGTTTTCAAGAACTCCGAATCATTGAAGACTCAGGAGCTTCAAAACCTCGGAAGAGCTTGACCATTGCCTTGTGGACAAGGCGTTGCGAGATGAAATCTATGAGGGCACCCTTTACAATTCCAGGGCGGGCAAGGGTGTGGACACTTCCAGTCAGCCTGCAGCTCCAGTCCAGTCGGATTCAGAAAAGAGCGAATCTGATGACGACACCGAGAAGGCCACCGCCACCGGCGAGCTGGATTCGAAAGCCGTTGATGCCGGCCGCGATTGGGTCCATCTTTTCCCCACTGGATCCTCCGAAGTCTTTCACAGGGAACTTCTCAACCTCTTTGGGGCCACAAATACGAATCAGAAGAGAGACATCGTGGACCTTGCGCCAGGCAGCGGCCCGCTTGCCTGGGCCGCTTGTAGAGAATCCTTCCTTTACACAGGCGTAGTCGCCTGTGAAAAACATGCCACCTTGATCCAGGCAAGCCTGCGCCTGGCCATTGTTAAGGAACTCGTCCTTAACCGCCGGGACGGGTACCAAAATGCCCGGTACTTGAAGAAATCGCGATCGCTGGGCTCAAAGCTCGATGCAGAGATGAGTCCATTTGTTCAGAGCAGTGCGGCTACCGTGGGGGCAACACCGACTCTTTCTCCAGCCCCGTCTGAGTCTCCTGCGACATCGGTTCCTGCTGGCATCCCGACTGCGCCGTCTAGTCTTGGAGGGATTCCTGATGATGACGAAGATTTCTGAGAAAGAGCTTTTAATGCAGATCTTTCATCCTGTCCAGCTGCGCTCAATTTTGCGTGCGAGTGTGCCAGGTGGACCACTTCCGGGTAGTAGAGATGAGTGCTATAGCCAGAGGCTTTCAGTCGTTACGGAATCATAGGCTAAGTCGCTCCAGGAGCCGTGGTTCTTTCAGGCATCGCTCTGTTGGTGCTGAGTGCAGACCTTTTGCTCGTGGCATTCTGAGCCACTCAAAATCTGAAAAGCCCAGCATCGAGAGAAAACATGAGCCAAGGACACATCATGGCAAGCTAGGAAGACTTGGCCGATTCAGTGTGTGAGTGCCCATGCGTGTTTTATTCAGTGTCTGAGGCTGGAAGCGGTGCTCTTCGGTTCCGAGGCAGGCGTATCTGCTCTTCGACCGGACCAGATTTTGCATTCATTGCTGTGCACAGTCGCATTCATACCGCCGCGACATGTCAAACTTCACGACTTTGCATATCATTCAAATTCTCTGGCTGAGCAATTTTGGGATCCAGCTGTTTGGGGATATCCTGGTGCCCAGTGTGCTCGACCGTGACAGAGATGGTCGATGCTCAGCTGTCTGGTGCGAATCATTGCCGTAGTCCAAGCCATCCCTCATAAGAGAGTAGTAGTCTGCTGACTCTGAGGATTCTACTGAGACTGTGATTGTCACTTACATCCCCCAGTGTGCAAATGTGGCCGCCATGATGCAGTCCGAGCTTCGGGCTGATTTTCCGAACAAACGAATCGTCGTTGCAGATGCCAGCCCGGATACGGAAATCTCTCGAAGGCTTCGCTATGCGAGTGTTGGCCCGGCTCCTTTCGACTTTTTCCAGGGCAAGCCCATTGAGGAAGTCAGCGAGTGCCAGGTGTTGATTTTCCAAGCCTTGGGCGTGGAAGGTGAGCACACCTGTTTGGCCAATCTTCTCCAGAAGCATCGTCCAAGGCTCGCTGTCTAAGAACTTCTGTTGGCATACATACACGTAGCTTGAAGTTCCTTGCTGCCCTTGACTGAGGTTTCTGCTGGTGATGAAGGAGGAGAAGGCAGATCTCTCTGACTCGCATGTGCTGGAGAAGTGGCATGTCAACAGTATCATGCTGCCTGATCAACCGTCCCTTTGGCTACCGGTCATCACTGCCCCTCAATGCTTCCTCTACTGTCAAGATTCCCTGCTGTTGGGCAGCTGCTGTTCGAATGCAGCGAAGAAGTTCGACGAGTGGAGTAGAGCTTTCGGCGATCGTCGCGATCTGCTCCCCTACCTCTTGACACCTGGCGCCTTCAGTAATGCTTGGATTGGGCCCAAGACAGCGCATGGTGTCAAGCGAAAGTCAGAGGATCAGGAGGCTGCTATCGCCGCCAAGAGACAGCAGTACTGGGATGAGGCAAAGTCTCGACAGTTGCTGCACGATTCGTATTCACCAGATACACCAATCAAGGGCAGGATCGAGCACTTGGGAGATAGGGCGGTGGTGATCGCCCATGTGCTGGCCTCGAGGATGAGCAACGCATTGGAAACTACAGGGAGGGTCATGATGATTGGCTCGTCTAGCTGGCCAAAGAGTGGCAGCCAGTACAACATGGTTCCGAAGAAGTTTGGCCCTGGAGTCATCGTTGCTTCATGGCCTCAGACAGCATCGTCCCCCAATGTCCGCGAGCTCTTGCCGGCCGAGATTCTGGCAATGAAGGGGTGGTCGCCTTGCATCAACATGTCGACTTTGCTGCCTGCGAGCTCCTTTCATGTCTGTCGGAAGCTGCCCTTTCAGCCTGTCATTAAGACCTGGCTGGCTGCCACGTTGCAGGTTTAAATATGAGTGAGTCAGTGAGATCCGTCGATTTGCTCACGCTGCGGAAGCCAGCGTGGACCTCCGGCTTGTGCTGGCTCATGACCAAATACTTATCCGAGTATTGTTCAATAGTAGCTTTGTGGGTGCAGTGTGTCAGTGCAGCAAGCCTGGTGCACAGAGATGCTTTGCTTTGAAGCTCGGGGCCTAAAACAAGATTGTGTTTGCCAGCTGTGACCAGTATGTGCAGGTGCAGCGCTGATCATATATTCTTGTCAACTTGCTGCCAAACACACCTGCCGTTCTCGCAGGCTTGCGAAGCAGCGGCCAAGGCTTGGCTGCCACCAGAATGTGCTTCGCAGTCTTTGTGGAAGTCGTAGCAGACATTTGACAGAAACGGTCCGAATTAGAATGCTGCCGGCTCGAACTCGCGGGGTTACATGCTGGTTCTTTCCATTGTTTGCTTGCACAGATACGTCAGAAGCGGTGCAGAGGCTTAGGCGTCGGCACAGCCCAGCTTTGTCAGGCACATGAGTCAGAGTTTTTGCCACATAAAGCCTGAAAGCCCTGAACCTTAAGCCCAACCTGGCCCTCAGCTTGTAGAGACTGCAACTCCCTGAGCCTCCTTGGTCCGGTGCAGGCTCCAAGGTGACGTCAAACCTTACGGTAGGGTCCAGGGTTTAGGGTTAAGACTACCCTAAACCCTAAACCCCTAATTAATTCTACAAGGGGTTACTATGTTGGTAAATGAAAGAGGCCTTAGTAAGTAAAATATAGGATTGCTTTCGGGGTGTATTACTATAGTTATCCTGAGGAATCCCCAAAATTTGTATAGGTAATCATTCCAGCCACTGTGATACTTCCATGTCCGGAAGGGCCAATCAAGCTTGTGCAGAATGATTCCAACCACAAGGCACGGGCTTGAAAAGTTTGTGTGGTGCATCCTGCAAGAGGGGGCTATGGCTGTGTGCTTTTCAGGCATAGGCTGGGCTTTAGCCAAACTTTTCGCTCCTTGGATATGAGACTTAAACACCCCTGAAATCCTGTGCACTACATGTAAACCTTTCTCAAGCACTTCCGCCCCTTGTTGTCTGCTGTTTCTGACACATGAGCACTCCTTTTCATTTCGTATTCTGACTAACCCATCATGCCACGACAACGTTTGGCCACAGCAAACACCACATGGTGAAGCATAGTTTTGCTCTCTAGCCCGAACACTGGACAACGTTACCTGTCTAGCCGTCCATCCCACTCCACCATTTAGCTTCACAGCGGTCCGAGACCCCCATGGTAATTCAGTCGGAGAAGCCTAACCCCCACAAATCTTGAAGCCTGAACCTTCAAGGGCTGCAACAAAAGCCCACCCCGAAAAAACCCAAAGAGCACACAACCCTACTTAAGCCCTACTTATAACTCTGGCCCCTCAGCTCCTTTTTCCCCGGCTCCCGCAAACAGCGGCCGTAGCTCAAATGAAGCTGGGGTCTTCCGGCTCAGCTCTGTTCTTATAGTTTTGGGGTTTGCTTGGAGGATCACGGTACTTATAACTAGGGTTTAGGGTAATTATGAACCTGGGGTTCAAGCTGCTTTGCAGGTAATTTTTGACGGCATTGATCTCCAGACCAGAACAAGAGGCCGCCACTGCTTCATTTCAGTCCGTCAGATCACCAGAATGCCGCCAGCTTGCGACCACATGTTATTCTGTTCAATGTCACTCTTGCATGCCGCAGGCGCCTTCGCTGATGAGCCGGGTCGGATCTCGTGCACACTGTTCTCTCTCACTCCCTCCTCTCATTCTCAATCTCTGTCTCTCTCTCGCTTTCTGCCTCTGTCACGATGCCTGCGGAGTCAGCTCATCCAGAAAAGGAGGCACTGCAAGATGATCCCTCGTTATGAGACCCTGATTAAAAATGATAATTTTTAATCGGGCCTGAGCAATGAATCAGATAGAATTCAAGGCGGATTGAAGAGAGCCGGTTAGGCCATAGAAAGTGACGCAAGGCATACGCTTCTCCAAGACCTACCCGTGCAATTGCAATACATCTTCAGATCTCAGTGTCGGCAATAGTTTTTCTAAATCCCCGAGTGTCGCAAACGCAGGCCCCGTTTACGAGGGATGCTTGCCTTTCTCATTTCTTCGTCTATTTCTCTGCGATCGACGCACATTGACATTGCATGTGGCACAAAGTGCAACCTGAGGTAGAGAAGAATTCCTTCCTTCAGTTCTTCGATATGATATTTGGCTATTCTGAGCAGGCAAAGCTGGACGGCATTGCAGGGCAAGCTGTGACGGTGTTCGCTCTTCTTCATCAAGTAAGCATTGAGATTCCTTCGCAACAGTTTGGCTGGAAAGACTTTCTCTGGTACGCCAGGGATATGATGAAGGAGGCTCCAAAAGCGGCCATAGATGCCATGCAGCGGCACAGTGGCAGCCTGCCACGGCTGCAAGATGATCCTGATCTTCAGCAACATCTCTTGCGTTGCGTTTCATTACGGCATGCCTTGGGCATTGCTTGGAGCTTTGCCGATCGTCCAGAAGACTTTGTCAGCAAAATGGGCACCCATTTCTGTATACGCAGAGGATGTGAGGACTTGGAAGCAGATGATGACTGTCAAATCATCCAGAACGTGCTGATTGACGGTGAGCGTTTGTCTCAGGAGGGCTTGTTTCAGTGGCTGCATGTCGCTTTTACACGCTATTTGTCCAGAGACCTTGTCCAGTTGCTGGACTTGCTAGCTCCGGTGCTTTATTCTGACAAGATTGTGCACGCTTTGCACACCATTCGACAGAAGACCCAGCAGCCTCTGTACGTCGACATGAGCCGTGCATGCGCATTCATCCAAAGCCATCCGGATCATTGGCTGTCCTCCTGGCTACTGTCCAACATGTGCTGCTACGTCGGACATTCCAGATTCGCGGGCATCACCAACTTCAATTGGGACAGTCTTGTTAGTGCAGCTGGTGCGGTGTTGGCTGCTCGTGACGAGGACTTACGTGGCGAGCCAGGACGGTCACACAGTTGTGCAGCTATGCATGGTGCTTGCGTATAGCTGTTGCATCCCCCGAAGTTGTAGACCTCCCCAGCGTCCGTCTGCAGGCCTCCTATGGGCGATGCAGACTTTGAAGTCCTTTCAGGGCTCCAGCGGTCCAGCAAACTTCCTCGCAGCGCTCTTGCGGTTGCTTCGCCAGCCCTGGTGTGGAGCCAGCAAGGACGCTTCTTCCTGCACTGCAGGTGTCATGTTTGGCGTTTCCTGAGTACAGATCTCGCAGCATGTTTTGCATCAGGATGCTTTGACGCAGCACTGCCGCACCGGAGAACTCAAGCAACTCCTGCAGCGTGACATTCCATCGCTCGCGGAGCTGCCTTTCGAGTTTTGGCAAGAAGTCCTTCACGAAGAGGCCGGGTTCGTCTCCGCCGATTGAAGAGTATGACAACCGTGCAGTGACTGTCAGGAGCTCGTGTCTGCAGCCTGGGCATCATCATGCGGAGCCTGGTTCGTGCATGCCATCGCGATGGCATCGCTTCGTTGCTATCCACAGCTGTGCACCGAACACGCTATGCATTCCTACGAGATGGCAGAGAAGGTGCTGACTACGATGGACCGCTTTATCAGCTCCTGTCCAGATGGCCCGACATGCAAGAGCTGCTGGGCCAAGACTCATTCGGGGCTCTGCAACAGTGGATCGGGTGTCCGGTGTGACGAGAATCTGAGAAAGCCACCACAACATGATTCTGCTGTATGCCAGATCCGCACATGTCACTTCCAAGGGAAGCCATGGAATTGCACAGAACTCCACGACATTCTGAACGTGAAATCAGCAGAACCACAGGATCAACAGCCAGCTGAAGATACCTCCCCCAGCATATTCTTCGCCAGTTCACATCAGGGACTTAGCACCCTGCAGCTTGTTCGGTTCGTGTTTCAGCACGACATTTCGCATGCAATGGACATGTCGCATGCCACTGCTGCTCAAAACCGGTTCAGTTTTGCTGAGAATGAAGATGTTAAGGGGGAAAGGATGCCCACATAGGCGCGACCAGCCAAGGAGAACAAACACGTGATACAAGGGAAGTATGTTAAACACATCGCCAAGAATTCGCCCTCGAAGCCGGTGTTGTCCATCCAAGAAGCCTTCTTCCGTAGCTCTCATGACCTTGCTGAGGCCTCTTCGTCATGGTTGTGCTGCTTCGGAGCATGGCTCCGGTTCTTGCGCACTTTGACTTGGCAAATTCAGTGGATTTGTCAGCTCTTCCCGAGATCTCCGCCTCATTGAAAACGGCACTCTGCTTCCATCGGAACTTGGTGAACGCAGGATATGAGGAAGACAGCCAGCCTTTCTGGTCGGAGTTGCTGCACCCGTTGGTTTCCTTCTTCGAGGGCGTAAAGCATGTGCTGAGTCAAGACATTGAGAGCTTGACAGTGGAGACTTCTGACCAGCTCTTTCAATCGAGGGTGAGGTGGATGCAGGTTCAGGATGTGCTGCGAGACTGTCGAGGATGGGTCGCTCCGCAGGACGTCTTTGACAGGCGCCAATACGAGCAAGAGCACGCAGAGGTTGCCCAATTGAGCAAGATTTTGCAGTGGTTGGCCGATCGGGACATAGAGGGCTGTGCTATGCTTCTTCAGGAAATCGACTTGGGTGCCTCTTCTCTCACCTTGAAGAGGCTGCGAACTCATCGCACTCGGGTGCAGAGGGAGCTCAGGCCACTACAGTCGAACCTAAAGCTGTTGCAGCATTTCGTCGATCGCGACTCTCAGTTCTTCCATGCTGCAGTACTGCTGCAAGCGACAGAGCATCCTGGGCAGACCATGGCAGATGCTGCCTTCTGGGTGCTTGAAACAGACCGCCTCATCCAGGCATTACTTCGCACGGACATCAAGCTACAGGATGCCAAAGTCTTCATCGACATGACGCAACAGGCGCGGAGTGGAGCGGAGGTGAGGGATTTCAGATGTTGCTGGTGATACTGTGCTGCAGGTTAACATTCCGGACGAGCTTGCCAAAATCACGTCGTACGAAGGCTATGCGCACACCAGTGAGGAGCTGCCGGCAACTATTCAGCGAGCCTTGAAGCTTCTGCAGTACTCCGTTGCGGCCCATGTGGTGGCAGCGGTCGCCAAAGGCTTTGGTCTGGTCCCCGACGAGGACCCAGACATCTGCTACATTGAGCTGGAGAGCCAGAGACGTCCGAATCGACTACTTCGCGAAGCACCCAAGGAGTATGAGAAGCTCGAGCAGCTGTTCCGGTGCCCTGAAGGCTCTCTTCGCGATATTCACTTCAGCTTGATTGCGAAGTTCCGGGATTGCTGCAGCCCAAGCGTACTAGTACACCACAAGTTGCAGGTCTGCACGTCAACTCGTCCTTTTACTCGTGAATTGCGTTCCCGATCCGAGGTTCAGCCGTGATCGACTTTTTCAAAGAGATCGAGTATGTGTCTGTCAAGGGCCAGCATCACTTTGAGCAGATAAAGAACAGCTTGACCATCCAGCTTCGTGGGCAGAATGTCGAGAGGATGCTCCTGAATGAGGTCCTTGAAACATGGCTGATTCAGAGTGTCTGCATTCCGCCGTTGTCTTTGCGACTTTCCCCTGCATTCTTATTTCGTTCTTCTCTGCGTCTGCTTCTCCTCAGGAAGTCTGCAGGCTTGTCATCCCCTTCTTGACCAGATGCAATTCATTGGCAGACTTTGTGAAGAACCTTGTGGTCGGATTGGGTGACTTGCAGCCTCGCCATTTGGAAATTGTAAGCCGCGTCCATGACCAGCTTGGCCTCGTCCGGCGGTGGTTCTCCAGAGTGCAAGGCATACGCAGTCAGGTTGTGTGCTGTCGCGTCTTTGCAACTTTTGTGGTGCCGCTACCGACTAACGTTGTCAAGTGTTTCGCGTCCAGACCGGACATGCTGTGGGAGCATCTGGAGGATAGGTTCAGTGTAGACGAAGTCCGTCAGTCAAAGTCTGCACTGCTGCATCTTCATCATGAAGTGAGCCTCAGACCGGATGTCCTGCCAGGCAAGTCATGGGAGAATGCGATGGCAACGTCCCGTGCACTGGATGAAACAGGGACCTTCGTGGTGCAGCTGAATGCTCTGGAAGGGAAGCCACACACTGCCTGCGTCAACTACCTCTTTGACGGCTCCAGATCGGTTCGAGCCAGTTCCTCCAAGGTCCGAATGAGTGAGGCCGAGACACGCAGCTGGGCCGAATCAGTTTCATCTGTCTCTCGCAGACTTTCGCTCTGTCTGGCATCATGGTGCACATTGTACGACAAGTGCAGCACGACGAATGCACTCCCAGGTGAATTGCTGCGACAGCTTGCATTCCACAGTCCCTTGGCAGAGAACTCGATGCCTGAACCTGTCATTTGGAGAGTTCCTTGCAGAATGAGCCGCGAGCCAAGGCAAAGGCCGCTCAAACCAAGACGGGCAGTCAGATTGCTACAATGCTGCAAGGACCTGCAGCAGGAAGTTGAAGAAGGCCGGTCGCTTGTTGTACCCCTGTGATCATGATGCACTTAAGGCCTTCCCGTAGAACTGTGCTGCGGCATGGCTTCAACCCACTACTTGTTGCAGGTTTTCGAGATTCTACAGTGCCTCCAAGACTTGGAAGCAAGTGGGCATCCTGAATTTCAGCTCAAGGAGCTGTCTTTCTCATTGGGCGTCTCTTTGAGCGCTCTCAGTGGCGAGGCTGAGGACTTGAAGCGGCGGCAGGATGCGTGGAAGTCGCTCCTGCAATCCTCTCGGGTGCAGTGTGCGCTTCTTTCTCTTTTCGACAGCCGCGAGATGTTTGTCCTTATCGCGCTGAGCAACCCCGGCCATCCACAACGGAAGAGGGTGATCGAATCCCTGCTTGGCCAAACGGAGTGGCCGGAAGATGAGAACAGCAAGAAGAGCTTGGAGGCAAATCTTGCGGCCCAGTGTTTGGAAAGCCTCCTGCACAGTCTCAGAGATCTGGCGGTGGTGCCAAATGACTTGATGCAAAAGTTGCAGAGTTTCTGGAACTCCAAGTCTGGCCCCACTGAAGCGCAGCCCCTGGAGCAGGCCATGAAGCAGCTGCAGAAGACTTTGGATGTGCTCGGGATTCAGGCGGCCAAGCGGGCCCTTGGAGGTGTCAGTCAGGGCCACTACCAAGCTGCCATGAGTTTGCCAGCAGATTGCTGGAGGTCGGAGATTAGCCTGTTGGCACGAGCTGGCGCAAAGTCAGACAGGTGCATTTTGCGATGCCATCCGTTGCTCCAACTACACGGTCTCGAAGATTTCTTCCAACGAGTGGAGCTTGTGTCTGGGGGCACCTTCGTCGTCCTTGGTGTCAACAGCCTGCCGTTGCCTCTGCAGAAACGAGTTCAAGAGATCCAATGTCAGCTTCACGACAAGGAGAAAGCGCACGCCCGGGTCTTCTATACCTACACAGGGATCCAGGTCCCCCCGCAGCCCGATTTCATTCAGGAAATGACAATACAGCTTCTAGACGATGATGAGTTGCGGTCAGCATTTGGCACGCGAAAAGACAGCATCACTGTGGTTTACGGTCCTGCTGGTTCTGGGAAGACGGACATGCTGCACAACATGCTGGGGAGCGACGCGCCGCTCCTGAGCATCACCGCCCATTTCGACGAGAAGCGTGCCCAAGTGACCATGAACAGGTTGGTTGCGGATGACCGGGGTGTGGGCCTCAAGATTTCTGAAGATGCCAACCACCTCTACGTCAACCGCCTTCTTTTTGACCTGCTCCTTTGCCGAACCTGGCGGTTGTCATCCAACGGATCTGTTTTTGCAGCTGGCCCGAGCAAGCGGCTGACCTGGTGCATCGAAGTTCCGGATCTGACTTCAGATGGTCACGGGACCGAGGATACCTCTGCAGCAGCTTCGACATTGCACATTTTCCCAGTGCTGAACCTATGCCATGCAGAGCTCAAGATGATCTGTGACAATACGCATCAGCTGCGCATCGGCACTGCTGAGCACTTCGTGGCCAAGTTCTTGCAGGCAGCCATCCGCACAACCCAAATAATATCTAATTATTAAGGTGTTGAGGTCTTGTGAGCTGCTTCGGGAATGATGTGCTTGTAGAGCTGCCGCTCTCCAAACTTGCCTTCAGGCAGGCCTTCTGCCTCGGCAGGGAGGACAGCGAGCAATCGACAAACTGGGTTTCAACACGCCCGTACGCCACCCGGAAGTCGTGGATGACTTCGTGTGTCGTTCCTTGGCCATACTAGTATTCTAATTTGTGCTGGTCGTTGTGCCATAAAACGCACGTAGCAGACTACGAGCTGGTTCAAGTCATATGACTGAGGTCAGTTAATCTACGATGCTTTCAGGACAAGCTGCAGCCAAACTCCGAACAAGCGCAACATCAAGAGCTTTGTGTGCTACTTGGAACGACGCTTCCGCTTCTTCGAAAGTGACTTCTATGTATACAACACCCAGTATTCTGGATTGGGCAGTGCTGTGTTCGATCAAATGATACGGGAGGCTGCAATGCTGACGGCGACGGGCTTGGGGGTTGGTGCTTCCCATACGCCCAAGTCAATGCTAGTGTACGACAGCGGCTGGGCCCTTTACCTTTTCGAAGGGCGTGGTGAAGAAGTTCCACGAGATCTTGTAAAATACGTCGCGGACGGTCGACACTACCTACAACAGCCCGGGCGCGATATGTGTGTCGCTCGACTGGTTGAGTTGTCAGTGGCTGCACCAGAGTCCGGCATAGATAGGCGCCTGACTTGCCTTTTAGTGCATCAGCCGAATTTTAGGAACCATGTTGCGTGTGCAGCAGCAAGCCGTTCTGACACCCGCACAAGTTGAAGGGCTTCGTGCAAGCTATTTGAGGACAATGGAGCCGCCATGCTGGCATGGACGTTGGACTTGCAAGAATGGGAGGTGAAATCTGCCTGTGACCAGCTTGGCTTCGTTCTGGTCGAGGATCGGAATGTTTCTTCGTGCAGTCTCATTTTTATCTTCCAACTTCAGAGCTGCGTTTTGACAACGTACAGTAGGTACGCGAAGACTGATTCTGCGAAGTGTGTTTCAGGACTTCACTTTCCGACTCCTCTGCATTCACGAACGGCGTCTCGCTGGTGAACCGGTGATCATTGAAGGCCTTACAGGCGTGGGCAAGACATTTCCGATTAAGGTCTATGCGCCGGGCTAAGCTTGGATATGCAGGTAGCAAGGATGATTCAGCGGGCGTGTTCGCACGTGACGTTCCGAGGCACACTTGTTGAATTACAAGCTGCTCAAGAAGGAGCCATTTCTGCATTCCATCCAATGCTGTCAAACGCGAGAGACTTTCAATCACTAGTCAAACCAGTGTGACAGATGAATCCTCAGGACAGTGACTTTGACGAAGCACCGAGAACTACATGGCGAGTGAAGACGTGGCTGCGAGAATCCATATTGCCACGTATAGGGGACCAGCAGAAGCGACAGGAGCTCGACAAAAGGCAGGGCCTGCTTTCTGTTACTGTTGTTCTTCCCAGTGCCGAATCTAAAAAACACGATATATCATGATCTAGAGAAGTAATGACAGTGTTGTCAGTCGATCACCTGCCGGATGTTTTACCCAGCAAGCATGGCAAGCCCTTGCGAGCTATGAGTCAGTTCTCTCAGCCGAGTGGACGGTGCTCATCTCATACTCTTGCTTGTTCTGCGGGTATCTACTTGTTTGATTCGTCTGTGGCATAGCGCGAGGCTTCTGGAGTCGTCATGGACTGACACGGCTCTTCTGGAGCTGTTTGCGAAGCTACAGGAGGACATTCATGTCGAGCCCTAAAGAAACGATATGCAAACGCTGTTGTAAACCACGGTCTTCGTAACTGCAGGCACCTTGCCGCTTGCCCGCTTCCATTGCTTCCAGGACCTGGACGAGCTGCAACGCCAGGACGCTGTCATCTGCTTATGGCGATGTTTTGCATGGAGCTTTCCAAGGGTCGCCATGTTTGTCGGCCAAGGCGGAATTGCTGGCTCCTCCAGAATCCTTGGCGGAAGAGCTTTGGGAGAAAGTCGCCGAGTGGTTGGGCCGATGCCCTCTTTTGGAGGCGCTCGATCCAAGCAATAATGGCGGCCACCAGCTCAATAATAATCAGGTGCATAGCCTGCCGTGCTAGTCGCAGTAGTAGTGGTAGTACTGTAGTAGTAGTAGTCGTCGTCGTAGTAGTAGTAGTCGTCGTAGTCGTAGTCGTAGTCGTAGTAGTGGTAGAGGTCGTGGTCGTGGTAGTGGTAGTGTTAGTAGTAGTAGTAGCAGTAGCAGTAGCAGTAGTAGTAGTAGTAGTAGTAGTAGTAGGAGGAGGAGGAGGAGGAGGAGGAAGAGCAGTAGTAGGAGTAGTAGCAGCAGTAGGAGTAGTAGGAGTAGTAGGAGTAGCAGGAGTAGTAGGAGTAGTAGGAGTAGCCGGAGTAGTAGGAGCAGTAGGAGCAGTGGGAGCGGTAGTAGTTGTAGTAGGAGTGGTAGGAGTAGCAGAAGTAGTAGCAGCAGTAGCAGCAGCAGTAGCAGTAGTACCGGTAGTAGTCGTGGCAGTAGTCGTAGTAGTCGTCGTAGTAGTAGTAGTAGTAGTAGTAGCAGCAGGAGTAGTAGTAGTAGTAGTAGTAGTAGTAGTAGTAGTAGTAGTAGTAGTAGTAGTAGTAGTACAGAATTTATGGACTTGCAAAGAGAGGACGGGGGGGCAGGGGGAGGGCAGCCCGAAAAACAGGGGGCAAAGAGGGGGGGCAGGGGGCAGGCAAAATGAAGGGGGGCCGGGTGGTGGGGGGGGGGGGGGGGTTGGAAACGAACGCAAAAATGTCGAAACATTAGCAATGACAAGACTAGACAAGCAGTCGTCATCATCATCATCATCATTATCCTCATCATCATCATCATCGTGTTGAGCCTCTTGTATGTGGCTTTCCAGGCCTCGCCCAGGCTTTGCGAGTACCTGGAAGAGATGTCACCAACTCCCGGGAATGCCAGAGAGCTGCTGAGTCACTTGCTTGTTGGGAGAGGTGAAGTCAGGTTTCTCATCGGAGTTCTGTATCCAGTGAGTACTTATCTTGAGCTTGGGTAGAGGTTTTATGGCGAGCGCCACAGAGTCATAGAGTCTTGACTCCGCAAACTGGACCTGCTACGGACAAAGTTCTGCAACAGCGACCGAGGCCAATTTCTTCAATGCCCCGTGGCAAGCGTTTTCCACCGACTTCTGCTTCATCCTGATCTGAACGTTCCTGCCTTGGAGGAGTTTCTTCGGCCGATTCTTGGCCTTGCCAGGCGAGTCCCCAGCGTGCAGCAGGTCGTGCTTTTCGATGAACTGAACACCTCGGAGATCCTTGGAATTTTGAACGAGATCATTGTGGATCACACCTTCCAGGGCGTGGCGCTGCCGGACAACATCTTTTTCTTGGGGTGTATGAACCCCCACACTCCTCGCAACTCGCCCGCCGATGAGGGCTTGGGAGACCATACCTTGGCTCACCGCGAGGAGTACTTCGTCCATAAGCTACCGACCTCAATGATGGCCCACCGCTGGCAGTTTCCTCCGCTCGAAAGAACAGAGCTCCAGGAGTTCATTAAGCAGAAGATCAAGCTCCAGTTCAGGGGATGCTCCTTCCTGGGTGAGCACTTGGAGAATCAGTTTGCACTCCTGATGTGCAAATCCCAAGAGCTCTTCCTGCAGAAAGTAGGTCAGAGCTCAGTGAGCCAGCGCGATCTTCAACGATGCTTGATTGTGCTGGAGTACTTCCAGCGTCATTGGCCCGGCTCTGAACGGCCAAATGACAGAGTCATGAGGTGCATTCTCTTGTCGCTTGCCGTTGTGTACTACTTTCGGCTTTCTGATGGGTGCAACTACGGAACGGGTGACGAAGCAGTCACAGGCCGGGGCAAATGGCAGCACGAAGTACGAGTAGCATGATTTCCGACCTAGCTGATGTCATGTGTTTTGTGGACAGAGTCGCACGGCTTGCAGCTGCAGGGCACGACCTGAAGCAAGAGCTCTGCGAATTGGTCCAGCAAGTCGTGGGCATGAACTTTCAAGAAGAGGCACACTTTTGTGTTCAGTTTCAGATCCTAACGGACCCCCAGCTCCGAGGTTCCCTGCCTTTTGGGTTTAGGGACAACACTTGGAGTATGAAGCTTAGCAGTTTAGGTCATTCGGGCTTCGCATTGCTTGCCACTTCGTGACTTAGCGAGATGTGCGAAGGACGAAGTATAGAGTGGTCGTGAGACAGACAGAAGCCATGTGCGTGGCGAAGCTACAGGTGTAAGCCAAGTGTACGTCAACTACTGTTAGTTCCCATGAGGCCGTGGGATACATGAGCACGAAAATACATGTTTCCAAACACTAAGGGATCTGCAGGCTAGGTCTGCAGCAGATGTTTTACGAATCGTGCCCGAAACGAACAGTCCAGCTTCGTGCTAGACCCAGGTGACTTCTGGAGTGGACTGCTACATCTCTGAGCAGAACTTTCTTTTGCCGGAGGGAGTCGCACTGAATCGTGACCTAAAGGAGAACCTCTTTGCCATGCTGATTACAACCCAGACAAAGCTCGCCAGCTGCATTCTGGGCTCCCCTGGGCGGGGCAAGACTTTGGCCTTCGAGGTCCTTGTGCAAAATCTGCGTGGTGCACAGTCGCCAAAGGAGTTTTGCAAACGCTTCAGGGCCGTCGACCCTTTCTTCTATCAATGCTCACCGGACAGCAAGGCTGCAGAAATCGAAGACATACTCAGTGGAGCGACACGACGGGAGCAGATGTACGAACAACATGGTGGGAAGGAACGTTGCGTGCCTTTCTTTGATGAGGCACAGCTACCCCAGGAGTGCCGCATGGTCATGAAGCCTCTCCATGATGTGTTGGATGAGCGGCAGGTGGCGACAATCATCGTTTCTGGCAGCCCCCTAGATGCTGCCAACATGAACCGAATGTCAATTTTCATCCGCCACATGCAGACACTGGAGGACTTCATGGAGATCGGATTGGGGGTGCTGGGCAAGTCGGGGATAGGCCGGCTGCCTGAACGCACTCACTCAATCCTGCGTGGCTTGGCGCGCGCATTTGCCGACATTCTCGCTGATCCTCGTTTCCGTGGGGTCTTCTCCCAGCGTCACTTCATTTCACTGCTCCGCAATTTGAGATTGCACTGCGTCGTGAAAAGAAAGCTCTTGACTCCCGAGCACATCTGCCGGGCCGTGGAGGAGAATTTCCAAGCTCCAGATGTGAGCATCTTGGCAGTGATGCAGATCTTTTGCCAGGCAATTGCCCGAGAATTTCCAGCCAACAGCTCTGAGTTCGCAAGCGCCGGGGGCCTTGAATCTCTTCGTGGATGCTTGGACTTGGCTCGGGCCTGCATCTTCGGAGAGCGTGAGCAGTGCCTCACAAAAGGCAGCCCACACCTTGCGCCGCGCTTCTGCATCGTGCTCGATGACATGAGGGACGACAGTGCTTGCCGAATACTCGTCCAGGAAGACGTCTTGCCTGAGGAGATTGAAGTCATCGATGTTCAGGACTACTCCAACGAAGCCGACGACTTCAGCTGCTCGGAATGTGTGTCCCAAATGACCCTCTGCATGGAGTCGGGCAAGCCGGTCTTGCTGCGCAACTGCAGCTCGGGCAAATTACTATGCAGTTTCTACAACCTCTTGAACCAGAACTATCGAGTGACGGAGTCCGCCGAGGGCCAGCAGATCCTGTACATCATGATTGCACATGGGCCTAGGGTGCACTACTGCCGTGTTCACCCCAGCTTCCTCTTGGTCTTGCAGATGCGAAAGGAAGACTTCCTGAATCAGCCTGCGGCTCTCAGATCTCGCTTCTCCGTGGTGTCCCTTCCTTTAGAGCAGGTCCTCCACGAACGCTTGGGCCGGGCTCTTGCTCGGGACGTCCAGCGGAAGGCGGTGAGAACAGCGCTAGACACCATCCTGGAGCTTGTGTCAAAGCTCGGGGCCAGGTCTTTCGCAGGCTTGGTCGAGCAGACTGTGGACTCGCTGCTGCTCTCAATGATCTCCGGCTTGCAGAGCAGCAAGAGGTGTCTCCATGAATTTGCAACTTTGTGCAGCGAAGGCCTAGAGCTCAACGCCAGCACGGCTGTACAAGTCATGGCAGTACGGCTGCTGCAGCTGCTGCCTCCGGAGCAGATGGTGAACCATACCAGCAAGCTGGGGAACGCAGACTTCTACCGCAGCGCTTACTTCCTCCATCAAAGCCACTTTTCACTTGTCAGTCTGCTCGCGACAGCGCGCACCAATGCCGGATCCTCCCTCCCGAAATTGGTGTTGTACACTCGCAGTTCAGCTGAGATTAGAATCCTGCTGCAGCAAAGCTGTGGAAGGAACACGCTCTGGGAATCTGAAGGCTGTGAGAGTGTAAGTGTCATCGATGCCAGTGAGGTGAGCACCACTGCTTCTCTCGAAGTAAAGCTCCAGGGAAGCTGTGCAGAAGCCTGCTCAGCACGTACTGTTCTTCTCGTGGTGGACATGGAGCACTCTAGCAATGAGCGTGTCTCCTGCCTACGCACAGTAGTGGATCGCAAGGCCAGGGAGAACCCTTCGACCCTGTTTGCAGTCCTATTACACTATGCGCCGGAGCAAGTCATCGCCGGGAGCCTGTATCCCTGTTTGTTCCTTGACGGATGGGACTTTTTCTTCATCGACTCCCTCGGCCACTGTGCCGCTTTCGACGAGGAGTGCCTCATCAAGGAAGTCATGGCGGCTTCCGGCAGAGACGTTTCCCAGCGCAAGCTGCGCATCTTCAGCGAGGCGCAGAGCCAAGAGAAGTACGTGATGGATTTCTGCAGGAGGGTCCGCACAGTTCCAAGCCGATCTTTCAGGCCTCGAGCACCAGAGCCCAGACCCGAAAGCTCGTCTTCAGCTTTCAGCTTCAGCAGCTTTGCAGCGACGGTCGGCAGGGGCATGGGCTACCTTTTCAACCAGATTCGGACTGGATCTTCAGATGAGCAGATGGTGCAGCGCTTCTATGTACCGGAGGCCACGGTGCAAGAAAGGGCCAGTGCTGTGACCCTTGTGCTCCACAAGCATCCCCAAATCTGGCAGCACCTCCTCACCACCTTCCACGACTGTTTGGCTGAACCCACCTTACACGGCCAACTTGTTCATCTGGCCCAGCAGGTCCGTGATGGGCAACGTCTCATGTCATTTACCGATGCATTGAGGTTGCAGCTGCATGGAGAATTTCGGCAGCATGCCACAAGCTACCTGAGAGCACTCTGCGCAAATGGTGGCCTTCGCACTTTGCTAGCAGATGACCATGGGGTGGCAACTTCTTTGCTCCCGTTCCTGCCCGTCTGCTCCCAGACCGGCATGGCTTTGGACGCCTGGCTGTGCTGCGGGGCGTTTAAGTCTTGCTAGAGCTCTGCATAAGTTTTGCCGTGAGAAGCCCAGAAGCTATAGCTGGCAAAGCGCACGACTACTGTGCCTTAGCAAGTTAGCAAGCCTGAGGGTTGACATGCCAAGGAGAAGGTCGTCGACATCCCTTCCGGATTGCAGTCATATGCAGCGTCTCCTTTGTTTCAGTATTTGCACATGAGCCTGGAACAGATGCTGCTGCATGCAGTCCGCCGCATTCAACCTGATCAGTGCGATGACCCAGCTCTTGTTTCCAAGTTGGCCGAGCTCGCAAGAGACGACAGGCGCATCCAGGACCTGTGCCATTCAGCTCAAGATGGGCTGGTCAGGGAATATGCCGTATTTCTGTTGGAGAAGAGCTGTGGCGTCCTAGCTGTGCCCAGTCAGATGCTGAGTCTTCAGCTAATGTGGCTTTTCGCACCCTTGCCAGCAGAATCGGACATCGTGCACCAACTGTCATGTCTCTGCGCCAGCCATCATGCACATTCCCGGAGACTTGGTAATTTGTCGACGGTTCTACAACTGTGCAGCGAATGCCCCCTCGGACAAGAAGCAGTTGCCACCATGGCGAAGGAGGCCGGTGGAGCAAAGGGAGTGGGTCCTCGATTTGGATGCAGTGCCAGTGGGGAGCCACAAGAAGCTGAGCAGTCAGCCTATGAGCTGGAGGAATGGCGGGAGCGTGTGGAAGAACAAGCAACGCAATGCTTGTGCAACTTGCTTTGGACGGAGCTGTCGCGAATCAGTCAGCAAGCGATCGGTGACAGTGATGCTGTTAAGGTATGGACTCGGCTTTATGCCCTTGCAGAGCCGCACTTGCTCTCGGCACGCATGCTAAGGAGAGGTCAAGGAGGTGGGCAGCTCCAGGTGATGTCGCTCTTTGTGTTTCTCTTGGGCAGCGACGCTTCATCCAGCATTCCGCTGGCATGCCTTTGCGAGTTGAAAGACGCCGGTGCCGAACGGGACTTTACGTCGGTCCTCACAGCTCTCAACGATGTGTCGCTGGAAGAAATCCAACTCGCAAGCGTTGCCAGGAGCTTGGTCGTGAAGATACTGTACCATCAAGGTGCAGACTTCAAGGGCAAGCTGGCTCCTGGAAGGCAAGAGGACATGCTTGCAAGCTTCTGGAATGGATGGCCAAGAGGGCGAGTCCTTCTCTCGGACGAGCTTGCAATCCTCACAATCTCGAAGCTTGGCCTGGACCGAATTGCAGAAGACTTGGCCTGCACGGAGCGTCGATACCTGCCGCCCTACGTTGCCCAAATCCGAGACGACTCTTGCAGGCGGGATCTGTGCTACCGTGTGAGGGTCTAAGACGACTCCGCAGAAAAAAAACATAGGCTGTTTGATGATGTGTGAGGTAGCTCGCTGCGGGTCTTCATGCAGCATAGCTAATAGCGTCATGTCGAATTGCTTGGCATCGGAAGGTTGGCAGATCTTTGTTTCGCTTGGAGATGCAACACCTTGTCCGCAGCGAACGGACGGCCGGGACTGCTCACGGCATTTAGCTCACGACAGAGACTCTTCAGCCAGAGCCTAAGCTTGCCTTCAGGTCCCGATGGAAGCTCACTCTCGCCCTCTCGCCTCTCGCCCTCCTCACTCCCTCTCTCCCTCTCTCGCTCTCTCTCTCTCTCTCTCTCTCTCTCTCTCTCTCTTCTCTTCTCTCTCTCTCTCTCTCTCTCTCTCTCTCTCTCTCTCTCTCTCTCTAAAATTCCATTATACAATCCAAACAGTTATAACCAAGGGTCACTGGGCTCGTGTCATTTAACGCACACACACACACACACACTCTCTCTCTCTCTCTCTCTCTCTCTCTCTCTCTCTCTCTCTCTCTCTCTTTTGTGTAAACGTGGCTGCCAGAAAGGTCGTGATCCGAGAGTCGTCGATTCAATTGAACTTGCAGCTTGGGAGTTTGTATTCACCAAGCAGTTGGGACGACTCTTGAGCGAAGACGACCTCCAAGTGGACGATTTACTTCGCTGCTGGGCAGCATGGCCAAAACCCAACACCTAAACTCTTCACGGCCAGATAATGACCAGTATAGAGCATAACACCCAACATTGAGGGACATGGAGGTATTCTGAAAGCTGTCAGGTCAAGATGCTGAGCTTCTGCGTGAAGCCTCGCAACTTTTTTTGGCGGCTCACGGTCCGGTCGCCTGCCTGAAAACAGTCCTTGGCCAGCAGCCTTGTGTGTGTGCACGCGCAAGTGATGCTTCACCATGTTCAGCTCCGTGACTAGCCATGCAACCTGTGATTAGCAGGTTTTTCTGAAGGAGGTGTACTTCCAGCGCGGTTGGCAATACCTTCAGGCTCGAGGTTTTGGCTGTAATTTTGTCAGCAGTGCGTGCTGGAATTCGTGGTTCGCTGGCAGGAGCTGTTGCAGCGGGAGGATGTGAGAACTGCAGATGCCTGAGCTCGACAGCTGAGACAATTGCGAGGCTAGCCGATTGCATCCTGTCATTGGCTGGGCTGAGGCCATCCCAGCCGTGCCGGAAATCTTGCGTCTTCTGTCCCAAAATGATTGTCATGCCCAGAATACTACAAGCCGTTTCAGCTGCTCGGCGAAAGACGAAGCACCAGACTTCCACGGCTTCAGATGGCCATTGCATCAAGCGAGGCCGCTTAGCATCTTGCAGACTGGCCTTGCCGACTTTTCTGTTCCTCCCATCGGATTCATGGAGCACTGCTGCTACTGGGCAGCATATTTTGCTCAAGACTGCGCCATGCCATCTAAGAGTAGGAGCATGCCACGTTGATTTCACCTGCCGAAGGAGGCAGATTATCGATCCTTGTCGAGCTCCTTGCAAGATGCGTTGGCCCAATCTGATGAAGACTTGATGTTCAAGGCTTGTGTTAGTCTTCGTGATGCACGGGGCCCGGGACATGTCAAGACCATGTGTCCTTGCTGCAAGCGAGATGCCTTCTGCAAGCCGTGCCCGGCAGCCCACTTCGAAGAACCCACTCCACTTTTGACCAGCGAAGGTTGATCCTGGTGGTCTATCACGGCTGCCAGGATTACTTTATGAGCAGGACGTATAAACAGCATAGCAGCTCTGCAATCACCTTTGAGGCTACTATACGTTGGAGGCCAACGCGAGTCTGCACATGATGTTGGAGTGGCTACCCAAGTTGGCGCAAGCATTGAACATCTCAGACGAGGAGCGCCACATCTTCGCTTGCTTGATTGATCCGGCGGGGTGCCAGCCTGGCTACGGCTTGCAGAACTCTGTTGCTCAGATGCCCCCTGCTTGGCATTACACGACTTAGTCAAAGTGCAGTGCAGTTCTTGACTAACGCAACGTGTACATGCAAGGCTCAAAGTGCCATGATTGGTTGTTTTGTTTCCGTCGCAGACTACATGATGGCATGGACAGGAAGGGGGGGCCAGACCCTTGTTGTCAGCGGATTCTGCGGCCAACGATCAGTCGTAGCTTTCTTGTTGAGCAGAGGGCCGCGGCCCCTCCGCATCCTTGCGCGGCCAGCGCACGGGTCATATGGCATCATGTGCACTGCTTGAGGGAGCGGAGGAGTCCTGAAAAGTTGAGAGGATATAAAACATGGCTCACTTGGTTCATGAGCGAGGGCGGGGCGGGTGGGGCGGTCGGTGGGCCAGGCAATCGATGGTCGGCAAAAGGCAGCGTGTCAGGAGAGGTAGGAGTTGCTGGTTGTAATCTAGAGCCCCTGACCTCGACAATCAGGTTCCAGCTGGACTGCAACGACCAGCTGCAGGTGCAGATTCGACACTGCCTTGTCAACGGCCTTGCTTGCTGCCTGTCGATGCATGGTGACAAAAGGTATCACTTCTGGCAGCATGTTGTCGACCCTGGATCTTTGCACGGCACGTACGGGTTTGGCAGCACCTCAAACAGAGCGATCGGAAGCATCCACTATGACTGTGGATGTGTTTTCGAGTTTGATGGGAAGCTGCGGAGAATGGAGGCCAATCCCCACTGGCCGGCTCCAGCGGCAGTAGCCAGCTACTTCCAAAGTTACGGAGCCTTTTGCCTCAGTTTCGCCTTTTTTCCAGATGTTGCCGTCAGCTTGTTTGACCGGGTCTTGACCCCTTCATCCATCCACTCGCTGCGTGAGAGCCTTGGACCCCGAAGTAGAAGACAGGGGTGTATTGACGGTCTAGCCGGCCTAGGGCTTGACTTCAGACTGCGACCATTGAGGACATACCTGAATGCACACGGTGAAAGCCAATCGGACCGGACAGCGAACTTCTGCTTCCAGCGTACAGCCACGTCTTGGCAATTCCTTCAAGCTCATCTGCAGCTTGCGGGAGAGCAAGTGCAGGTGCCTCTCATGCAAGCAAAGTCCAAAGCTCTCCTCCCGGGCCCCTATCCTGTAGAGTTATGATGAGTTTTGCGATACGATGTTAAGAGATGCTACCGTGACAGCTGTACCAGCTGCGACTTCTTCTACGTTGCAGCCAGGTCCTGATGAATCGGATGTTCGAGCGCATCGCGGCCGAGTGCTTCCAGTCAGATTGTGTTTTCAAAAGCCTTTATGCCGATGCTGGAACCCAGACGGCTGCTGAAACGGTCTTTCGTGACATCCTTTCTGACGAGCTACGCTTACTGCCGGAGCGGATGGACTGCTTACAGCAGAGCAACCTCTCGGAAGTCATGCGGTCTGTGCCCCGCAGGGCAACGTTCTCCGACTTTGAGTTGGCACTTTCCGAAGTGGCTGACTTCGATGTCGAGGCCCGGCTTCTTCTTCGATTCTGTGACGCCCGCGATGCCTCTCGGACGAAAGCCAACACACGTTGAGTCTTGTTGTTGTGGCGCTGGCTCGCGCTACAGGCTTGTCGATCTCTGTCGAGTCTAGTCCAAGCGAGGATCTGGGTCTGATGTCTTTGGTGCCACCAATGATGCGATTTTACGTTTGGCTCCATGCCGACTTCGGTGACTTCATCTGCAGAAAAGGTTGGTCCTGCGAGGACCTTGGCAGTCTGTGCGTGCGCCAGGCGCTGCAGGACGGTGTTGGGTGAGCTAAGTATATCCGAACCGCACGCACACGCGCACGCACCCAGCCACCATCCCCTCGACGAGTGTGCAGGAGTACTACTCCCACCGAGAAAGGCCCGTCGGTCAGCCACACGGAGACCGCCTCTGCGGCGAAGCCTTACAAGCCTGCCGCAGCTTCCACAAGGCCACGAATGGCATTCTGCCTGTAGGTGGCTGCGATGAGCCTGCACGCCGCTGGGCTTTCCATGGCCTCTACCTTCCTTCCCATAGCGCGATTGCTTCCATGTGTCGGCAAGCTGAGGACTGCCAGTCCTCAACCTGGAGACACCGGTGCTGGACGTGTTGTCCCTGCACGGAACGCACGATGGTCACGACTTCCTGTTTCGTATCATGGAGTACCTGTTGAAGAGAAGGCAAGCATACCTGGATGCAGTGGAGATTATCTGCCAAGAGCCCGAGGCACCTCCGGTCCTACAGCAAGCCCTGAGCTTGCAAGGAACTGCAACTCTCCAAGCGGTGGTAGCCACCTCTCTGCTGGACCTGGAGTGCTCCATGGGTGTCGACAGATTTGATGACCTTGCAGTAGCCGCATGTCTGGATCCTCTGTGTGAGGACAAGTCATCTTTTGACACCAATTTGCTCACGCGCCATGTTCTGCAGGCTACATGGACAGGGAAAAGTCGGCTGGACTTAGGTAGCATCCACAACGGTCTACGACTCAAAAGCCAGAAGACCGATGCCCAAAAGGCTCAGGATCCATTGGAATCGCTGGCTGACAGATTCAAGCAGCCTCCGCCCTGTGACCAAGTGGTCCAGTCCTTGGACGGATGCCTGCGAAGTTGCAGGCATGCAGATCTGTTGGGAAGTGAGCAGGCATTCGAGAGGGCTGCCCTGCTCCTAGACGACGCGGATAACCTGGAGAGCGACGATCTTCTGCAAGCTCTGGAGTCAATGGGGATCCAGCTGCCACGGGCGCTTGTGGAAGCCTTGCAAAACACGACGCGTCCTGGAGCCAGTTCATCAAGGTCCTCGAGTTCCACTACCTCTACTTCTGTGCGAGGTGTGTGGAAGATGAAGCACCTGGCCGTGGTGTGGAAAATGGTCCGCTCCAAACTCAACATTCGCGACTTTGCCTTCGTTCAGGTGCCAGACGCACTACGACGCTCCAGAATTGAAGATACGACATCGGACGAGATTGCGCAGAGAATGGAGTTGCTTTGCCCAGCTGTTCAAGACATCGACCTGTCCCTGTCAGCGTTGCTAAGCCTCATGGGAAGGATTGTTGATTTCAAGGAGCGCCCCATTCACCAAGTGGCGGAAGATGCTGCTTGCGATGTGCCTTTGCTGCTGGCTCTGCCAGACTCCCTCGTAGGCAACACTTGGGCAAAAGCTCCGACATCATATTGACATGTATTCTAGTGTTAGCAGTGAGTGTGGACTCACGTCCGGCAGGCTACCATTATCGAGCTTTGTGTCTGCAGTTGTGGGAAGCACGCGAGAGACTATCGCAGCTGGGCGAAGCAGCCGATATTGGCGACATGCCATCCGTCAGCACCCTTTGGTGGGAAGGTGCCTGACGTCGTTGTTTAAAAAGTTGCTATCGTGCAAGTGTGAAGTGTGTTGTTGGACAGATGGAGCAAGTCAATGCACTCGCGCTGAGTTGCTGCGCAGTTGTTGGGAGATGTGTGCAGATACCGGGCATGGGAGGTTTGGGGAAGGGCAAGTCCTGTAGCGTCGCAGCTTTCCTTTGGCAGGCCCTATGGAATCAGTCCAGCCGTTCTCGGAGCATGATCATGCACCATTGGACCGTGCTGATGCTGCGAGCTCCCAGTATGACGACGAACATGCTGGAGACACTCCAATGCTTGAGGAGGTCGAGGTGGAACAGGGTGGCATTGCGGAGTACCAGCCCGCTGGTGCAACCTCGAGTTCCCGGGCGCAAGCTCACAACAACATGTTCACTTGGTGCGAAGAGGACTGGGTTCAATGCTGCTCATTCGGCTCGTCTGACAGCCGAGCCACCAGTAGTACATAAGCAGTCCCTGCCTCACGAGCTTTGCGCTGCTCTCTCCCCGTTGTCCCCTTCAGGATGATCAAGCCCTCGATCACTCAGAGCAAGAACAGGCTGCCACTGTCATTGCTAGAAATGTGCGCTCCTGGCTTCTGCTGCGGCAGCAGTGTCAAGAGCTACGCCTGCTGACTGAAAGTACGTACAAGTGCGTGCATTCTGTCATGGTCGCATTGCTTGTTGGCCTCGACTTTACTCCATACTTCACAATGCTTTGGATAACCACAGGAGTCTTGGAAACCAAAGCTGCCACGAAGCTGCAGCAATTTTGGCGGAAGCTCAAGCTGAACCTGGAGGAGGCAAGTACTGCCATCAGCTGTGTGATGCAATGCAAGCTGTCTTATTGTTCGAAGTAGTATGTCGGTTGCTTAGTGTGCTGAATCCAGTGCTGATGCTATACCCAAACACAGCTTTTCGAAGTTTCTACGCCAGGAAGCAAACAAGCTTCGTCATCGTGCTGCCGCAGTCGTTCAGTATGGCTGGAGGCTCGCATGATCTCAACTCTGTGTACAGTACTGCGGGCGGGAGTCTGCAGTGTGCACGCAAGGAGCTAGGGATGGGTCAGGTGCTATTACTATCTCATTCGTTTTCGTAAAGCGCGACTGCATTTCAATACATCCGAGCTGCATGGCATGCCAAACTTTCTGACAAACCAGAGGGACCGGTCGTTTGTTGTTTTTTTTGTTTTTAATGTGTGTTGCTTGTCGAGGCATAGGGCCGAGCGACTTCACACAACGAAGCTTCGTCTGCGTGCCGCCTCAGTCATTCAGCGTCGCTGGAGGCTCGCATCATCGCAATCCTTCAGGCTGTGTTCATCCCATGCTGTAGATTTGGGACGTTGCTTCGCGGTGTGTTTCCATGAGGCGGTAGCTACAATCTGATTTGTTTTCGTCGTATGCAGTAGCACCTTTGGTATAAAGATGAAGACATCCGGAGAAATCCCGCAAGTACCTGATATCGGCCGACCGTCCCATACCGTCCCCTTGCGGTTTTTGAAGGCTTCGGGCTCAGCGACTTCATTGCCAAGAAAGTACCGCTAAGTTGATGTGGGCAGCTCAGTCTCGTGACAAGTTGTAAGATGTCACTCGAGTTGTGGCTTTGCGTTGGGCTCAGCCCTCTAGCCGACCTTACTTGTCAGATGATGAGGCTTTTAAAGCGTGCGTTCCAGCACTGGCACACATTTGGGCAACGTGTTTGTCCTCTACGGATGGAGCCTTCAGGACGATGCTTTTGGAGTCTTGAGGAAAAGCTTCCCGATTATACTGTGAGGCTGTAAACTTGACTTCAGCGTGCCAGGAGGTGCGCGCGAGTTGAGATGGTCGCCTGTGCCTGCTGAATTTCTTGTGGAGATGGTGAGCACGGCCGCCGTTCGGCAGCCCGACACGAGCGGGAGACTGGCGATGAAGTGGAACGTGAGCCTCGTGGCTGCTTTGTGTTTTTGGCAAGAAACGTGCTAGAATCTAGCAGCATCTATCGCCTGAGATCTTGGCTGCTGAGGGTATGATGGCCACTCTGCACCACACGGAAGAGAGGGTGGCCTGAAGAGTCTTCAGGGGAAGCCTGCGAAACTGTTGCCTCTTGCAATCAGGAAGTTCAACTTGCGAGCCTATGCTGAAAGAGTTTGCAGTTTGCATTTGCAATTGCCTTTTCTCTGCTGTCGTTGCAAAGCACAGCCCGACACCCAAGTATCAATCCACTCGTTGACTCCGACAGAGCCATACAAAGCCCAGGGCAGGAGGAGGAGGATGGTTTCTTCTTGGTCTCCAGCGACCAGGAGGTGGAAGCCCGGGATGCTCCGCAGCACACAGACTTGAGGCTGGTGCAAGCTGACGAGGCACCCCACGAAGGGCAAGCAACGGGTTTCTCTCTGCACTGTCTCGGGCAGTGCTTGCAATGCAGGTGGTTGGTGTCGAGGTTTTGGCAGCGAACACGGAGGAGATCACATGGACGAAGAGGATGTGCAAGGACGCCACCTTGCTGCAAGTGGCAGCACTTCTGCAACGGGATGGCCAGATGAATCCTCCATTCGTTTTTGCTGATCTCGAGCGCCTCGGACGAAATTCAGCTGAGCGACTGCTACAAGCTGTTGGCATGCACTTTTCTGCAAGCCGCGCCAAGTTCGCGAATGAAGTTAGCTGAGACATCTGAGAAACCCCACTGAGGACCATGCAGCTTTTACCGGCATCGCAGCTGCTTTCCGATCGGCTCCAGCAAGGTCGCGGACTTCACGTGCAGTTGTATACCCTGAGCCGCTTGGCCGCATACTATCACAAGCCTCGCGGTGGCACCTACAGCTTGGGCCCTCCACAAATACTAGTTACTAGCTCAGGCAAACTCATTATTCATCTCTACATGTCTTTACTACCTACTAGCAGTCACGATTGACACAGCCATCAATGATGTTCCAGTGTGAGGATAGCGAACTTTGGTTTGACAGCTCAGGTTCTACGCACTGTTGGGCGCTGTTCAGTGAAGGGCGGGTTCGCTGTTTCGCGACTGGGGCGAACCCACAGCAGATGCTTGGCAGAAAGCCATGACCGCCCGCTATGCAGGGCAGGATCTGTAGAATGCATGCAGGACACTCATAGATGCGGCAGGAGGTGATCAGAACAACTGGCTCCTAGACGCTCGCTAGAAGCCTGAATTTACGGTGTCAGAACAATTGGAAGCAAGGGGTGTCAATTAGGGTTGCTGATCGGCATGCTCTAGCGCGTAGGGTGAGAACCGCGAGTACAGTGTGCTTATTTCGAGAAGGTAGGCGGTTACACTGCTAGAGTGTCCTTTCGGGATGATGCGAGGATTGCACTCGGTGCGAGCAACGGTGGCGATGCTGAGGGTGAGTTGGTCATGTGGAGCTCTGCAGGCTTGATTGAAAGTACGGAGCCCTTGACAGTGGAGTCTGTGGCCTTGCAGCTTACCCTTCAGCCACGCTCGGACCTCTACCAGTTGGAGTTGAAGGTGTACGACAAGCCGCCGGTTCACTTGGCCTGCATGCGCAGCCGAGGAATCCAGGGTGTGTTGCAGCAGCTCGTGCATCTCCCGCAGCTAGGGCTTCCTCGCTGCCCTGAAGAGTTAGCCTTGGTGGTCCGCACGGAGGGAGAGGTGCACAAGGTTGACAGCTGGGAGAAGCTCCTTCACTTGCAGCGCGGGGCAAACCAGATTTCGGCGGAGGCAAGACGATTTCACAAAATAAATCCACATTCATGCATCATGCCACTTGCAATCGGACGTCATTCCTGCGGTTCCGTGCATCATGCAGGTTCTGGTCCAGGCGACCGTCCGAAGCATGGATGGAAGCTTCTTGGAAACATTGCTGGTAGATGCGCAGCTGACGGCGCAAGACGTGTTGAAGATGTCCTCCGCCTTCGGGCAAGCCCTGGCCGACGGGGGCTTTAGCGTCCTTCCGCAGGAGACCCCATTGTTCACTCACGGAAGACGGATTGGGCAGCTGCATCTCACTGTCGAGCAAAGTGTTCAAGTTACATTTCATGCCGAGCTTGGAGCGGATCAAGCCCTTCATCTGCGACTGGCTTCGCAAGCAAAGTTGGGACACGTTATGGCTGAGCTTGAGGAGTTGATGCGATGTGATGGTGCAGAGGTCTTTGCCCTTACATCGGATGCGCAGGGGAAGCTACTGTCGAGTTTGTTGTCGTCCTCTGTGGTTCTTCTTTGGGACAGCCGTGGAGCGTGCTGTCAGTTAGTTGAACAAGAGGCTGCAAGAAGTGTGCCGATCCTGGACCTGCTCGACTCCGAGCCGTTTCTCATGGAGAGCCAGGCTCAGGGCCCTCAGGGCGCTGGAGAGCACATCAAGCTAAGACTCGCTCAGCGGAGTTCTTGTGCAGTGATCAGTGTGAGCGATGAAGGGCCGGATCAGTTGAGGCAGTCCTTCTGGGTGACGCGAAGCAGCAGCATCGAAGCCTTGCGGCAACAGCTACTTGTGCTGCTGCACAAGACCGGGGTCGGAGAATTGATTGACGTTGATGGCACGCACATAGATCCTACAGACCCCTTGGACGAGCAATACGAGATCGTGGCGCAAGATCTCGAATCCCCCAAGGTGGTGTGCTCCCTGAGGTTTGAGGCCTGTCAAAATCCAGTGGCATTGATGCTGCGTGTGAAGACGTCAAGTCCAGAGGATGACGAGGAGCACAAACGAACGCTTCGACTCACGAGCGAGGACTACTTTTGCCTCCGTCCTCGTCTTTTACTTTTCTGGTCGTTGATGTAGCTGTAGCGAGTGCCGCAGCACTTGCTGCACCCCCACACCCCACCTCCGCCCCTTGGAATCTCCCTGAAGAGGACACAATCGATTGCTTGGTCCGTGCGACGCGTTGGGTGCTGGATTGTGGTCCAGTCTTGGCTGTGACGGAGCTGCAAGCGGCGGATGTGATCTGGGACGACAGCGCGGAGGCCCTGCGCGAGACGCAGCTCCAGGAGTTGGTCCAAGAGGACGGAGAGATCTTGCTGAGGCTGCGACTTGCAGGCCAAAGCGATGTGGAGGAGGTGCTGCAATTCACCCCCGTGTCCCTGGCTGAATCTTCCATGAGGCCACTTCAGGAGAAGGCCCTGGGCTCTGGACGGGCCACGGCCACGCATGGAGCCAACAGCGTGTTCTCCTGGGCGACCGAGGACGAAAGGGATGCCACTGCTCTAACTACACAGATTACTGTGTGTGCCGCGGAGAGTGTAACGACTGTGCAGCAAGGAATGTCGTAGGCCGTTGTTTCGACCCGAGCTTTCAGCCAGACGAGTTAGTTTACTTCGAATACCGAGAAACACATATTATCAACATATCAAATTACCTGGCATTGGGCGTTGAGAAGTATGCAAAGGATGCAAAACCTGAGACCTGAAAATCCTGCACCTTTAACGAGATGCGGTGAGCCGAAGCGAAGAAAACACATGGGAGTTTCCGAAAATACGGGACCCCAATATAGTACCCTATATAGTAGGATCCTTATTGAATTGTAAGGACCCCAAAACAAGGTACCCCCATTTCGGAAACTCCCACATGCTAAAGCTCTTCGCTTGGAAGGACTGCATGAGCACATTCTCGGATGGGCGCCTCAGCGCATGTAGACCAGGAGGAGGCTGAGCAGAACCGGTCGGGGTAGGAAAACACAGTTGTTCCATACTTTACCTCATGTTCCTACCTCTTCCCCAAGGTAATTTGTGTTTTTGTCCCAGCGGTTCCTGTCGCACAGCACGAGCAAGGCTTGCGATTCCCAGGACCGCAAATCTTCCAGAAGCGGCTAGTCAGCTTAGCTTCAGAAGTTGTTGCAGATGGTGGGCAGGGCTCAGCGGAGAATGATACTGCAAAGATGAACTAGTCACATGGCATCCCACCGCATGCCCCAGCAGTGCACTGCAACGACCATGCCATGATGGCATGCGCACGTTGCTGCGAGATGAATGTGCAGAACGTAGTATTCCACGTACCCCACACTGCTGATCTCTCGCCTGCCAGCCACCCGAGCACTCTGCCAGTCTTGCAGTTGGGCAACGAATCTCGGTGGTGTAATTCAAGCTTTACTACCGGCCCGGTGCCATGTGCCCCGCCTGAAGCCGTGAACGGACACCCTTGAGCAACCGGAGGCCACCGCACGCAAAGTGAGAATAGGCAGGATTACGGAACGGCCTTGCTTGCTCAGGTTTGACAGCATGTAGTTATGAGGCCCACAAGAGGCACAGCACGAAGTAGTTGATGCCCTAACAAAGGGGGAGCCGCTGCAGGAAGTTCTTTTGGTTATATAGATGATATATGATGATATATTTTCTGGTTGCAATCGCAGTTTGTGGAGGCGGCGCCGTCCATTCAAATGATTTGCCGCGTATATAACACCAGGGCAAGGCGTGTGAGTCTGCATGAAAAGTCTTCAAGGCAATGGCTATATCGAACGGAGCACGCTTCTGTTTTGGCTTCTTCTCTGCTAGAGGTAAACTGAGAGCACGGGCACATGTCGTTGGCTTGCAGCATAGAGCATCGCTTGCGGACATTCACGCCTAGACGAATAAGGTGGTGTGTAGCTTCACCGACAGCTCTATTGCTATAGATACTGGAGCGACTTGGCGCTCTTGAAGGAAGTCAGAGACCGTAGTCTGGACACCACGTGGAGGTACGGCTTGCACGTGAGGGAGTTGGCCGAGACCACCAGAAGTTTCACCTTCGTATAATTGCGTTTGGAAAGAAGGCATAAAGGAATGGTCCGGCATGGCGACTTCCTCCACCACTTCTGAGTTGTGGGATGCCAAGCCGCTGTAACTGTTGCACAAATGGTTTCCTGTCGCCGATCAGCTTGCATGCAGCTTAGGTCGCGAACCCGCGCCAATCAGCAGTCCTGCCCAGCGTGACGTGGCGAAAGCTATCTGCGCAACAGCCCTTCGATTTGACTCCGATTGCTCTCAGGTTTTCGGAAATTCATTCCGTGCAGGATGCAGAAGTCGACAGCGACATGCTCAGTGCAGCATCCAATCCTAAACCAGCTTTGGACGTTGTTGGGCAGTATGCGCGTGCAGTTACAAGCCATGATGCGAGAACTACTTAGCCAGTGCTTGCATTGGCCGATTGTTTGAGGTCAAGCCGGCGTACTTTCCATCGCCACGGGCCATGCTAGGCCTTGCCGCCGGCCCAGCTCGAAGCAGGGCTTCTGCAAGCATTGTAGAGACAAGACTGACAAGCCGCGGGTGAGCAGTCAGTGCGCATTCCAGCAAGGTGAAGAGGAAGCCGTGGGGAGCGAATCCATGGGCTTCCGCAGTCTGCAGCTGAGTTGATCAATGTGTTGCTCAAGCACATCTCCAGAGCGTGGCACCTCCCAGGGCAAAGCAAGCAAGACGTGGTGCTTTGCTGTTCAAAACTCGGCCAGGTTGGTTCGAGGACCGAGTGGGTGCTCCGCGACTTGTGAGGCGCTGCCGCGGATGATTGAGGCTTTCGCTCTGTTGATCTTTGGTTGTGCCAGCTTCAGCTTTTCAGGCTGTTGTCATTCTGGGAAACGGCAATCTCACACATGCTACATACATGCTAGGGTACCTGGACGATCCCGCACTTTCCACCGCTCTCTTGAGCAGTTTCAAGCCACTGAAGCGTGGCGACGCCCAAGAGCATCAATACACTGGCCCCTTGACCACCTACACGGACCTACACCATACCTACACCCATCAGGAGGTAGCTGTAAAAATCGCTTGGCCCGCCAAGCTCGTTCGCTGCGCTCATTGGGATGCCAGGAAGGAAAAGCGCAGCCCAGAAGAGCAGGGACGACGGGACACCGCGCTGGAGAAGGCCACTTGCAATGCGCCGACACGAATCTCGGGCTTTGGAGCATGGAGCCGTGTCTGGAGTGCAGGGTGCCCTTTCACTCTAAGTTGTCTAAAGCCTTGAGACCTGCATTTGCTGATCTGCTGACTCTGACTATGAGACTTGAGAGTTGCAGGTTCATCACTTTGCTCTGGCCTGAGTCCGCGAAGTTTGTTGCTGCCGGGGCAAGGTACGATTGTTAACGCTTCTCTTGCCCTGCGTTTGCCCACATGTGATGGATGTGGAAAGTGAGCGCATGGGTCACAAAATGGATGAAGTGTGTGGGTCGGGAACGGTGGCCGACCTGTCACGGATTGCCTTAAGGCCACTCGGTGTGACATCTCTTTGCATTCTGGTATGCCCGTCCGCACGGCAATGCCACTGCCTTGGAACTGGTCTTTTGGCCATAGCTCGTGTAGCCGTGAGAAAGGTTCCTTATTCCGGTCTTCACTGGCCCGGGGGAAGACGTTTGGAGACCGTGCAGGTAGAGTTGGACGGGGGGGGTTACATCAACTCTCCGTCAGTGCTGCCTTGAGTCCTTGAGACTGTGACGGCTCGAATGTTCCTTTAGGGTCTTTTCCTGGCCCTCCTCAGGTCGTCTCCGGACCTGCAAGGCAACAGCTTGGCACTGGAAGCCATGAACGATTCACCCGAGGACGATGACTGCTATTGACAGCTTCCAGCGATGGAGCATGCCTTTTTCCATAGCACCAGGACGGGCTGAAAGGCAAGCCTTCACCCAGTCCGCCGGCTTCATGTTTCCAGGTGCCTCGTCTATATATTCACGATATCCAGGAGGATCGATTGCCAGATTTGATGAAGGGCATGGGAAACAGAATCTGAGACGGACTTGCCGTGATGCAGCAAGTGCGAATCCTGCATGCTGCTCAACCAGTGCCTAGCTAGCCGCGCTTCACAAAGGCCTGTGGCGACTTGAGATCTTTGACCAGGAAGTTGGCAGGAATCCCAGCAAGCTGATACGCAGCGGCCGGAGGACTCTGCAAATCGGCATACGAGTAGACGGTAAGTTGACCAGCCACTTGACTCCACCAGACACTAGCCTCCCGTGACTTATCTGCCATTTGCCGTATGCTGAGATGGCGCTCATCCAAGACTTCTTGGGCAACGACCTAGGCCTTGACCTAATCTGCTCCGTGTGAGTTTGCTTGCACATGGGGGACAAGGAGTCTGAACAAGCCGCAGCACCATCCCCTGTTGTTTCTACCTGTAGCAACACCATTCTGTGTCCCCGAACCAACGGTTCTGTGCCAGGAGTGGCAGATCCAGGTTTCCAGGATCCCGAGAATGCCGTCATAATCTTCGATTGGGATGACACCTTGCTGCCCACAACGTGCTGCTGACAAGTTTGTGTTACCATCGTGAAATCATGGGTTTGATTGCTGAGCGCACACCTCTATCGCTCCCCGGCGGCTATGCCCACGGGCACAGGCGCAATTCCAGCATGACTTCCTGGCTCAGCCAACGTAAAAGCTGGTGGCAGGTACATCTTGAGCACGGTGATTCCTAGCCTGGCGGAGGAAGGCAGACTTGTGCCGTGCAGGAATCTTCATGAATTGTTTCGCAAGCCATCTTGGACAGATCGTGCTGGAGTACTTCCAGAGTCCTCGCCGCACCAGGCAAGACGTTGCAGAAGCGTGTGTTGGGAGTGTTACAAGTAGCGGATCACAGTTCTAAGTACAAGCGACCTGACCAATCTGTTTGGCAATTCTGACCAGGACCGACCAACCCACATACGACAAACATTTGACTTGGTTTCTACGTCGTGTTGTTGCCAGTAGGGCAGGCCACAGGCAGCTGCTGGCAAGGGACGGAATGCATCTAGTCATTATTCCGAACGGCAACTGGGTTGCCTAACTGTCCTTATCTCAGTCCGTGGATATCATTCTTTGAGGCTGGCCTGAGATGCCGTGAACTTGACGGCAGGGCGCACTCGCAGCTCACGCTCATCTCGTTGGGTTTCTGCTGCGGACGGCACGGCGAGTGGCACGGGTAGCTATTGCAGCGGCCCCAGTCTAGTTTTTAGCTCATAGTGTCACCGTCGGACTACATGGCTTGGGCATTATCTATGTCTTCCATTCTCTTTGCAGGAGTCGGCTGAGGGAAGGAAGGTCTGGCTGTTTCACGGATTTGCGATCCACATCATATCACGTCTATGGGGGCTTACGTAACAATTCCCCTGTTATTCCACTGGCTCTCACTGGGGATTCGCAGGTGTTTGAAAAGGTTCTTGGAAGGTCGGAGGGACTTGAGGGAACCCGAGTACTCAGCAGAAGCCACACCGAGACCCGTCGGTTTGGTAGGTCCTGGAGTACCTCTGGATAGGTACAGTCAGTTCAGCTCTTACTCGTTGAACTTGTTGGCTTTCCTTTGCCGCCACGGAAACCTATACCGATACAATGACATGCTTTGTCCCTTGGCCGACCGAGTCCCTATCCGAGATCCCTAAGCCGAATAAGCCCTGAAGACCCGATGAAAACTAGACACCTTAAAGCGCTTGGAGCCACAGTCAGGTGTCCAACTCATTGAGCCCCTGGGTCGAAGCTTCCTCGGCCTTGGCCTCAGCTGAGGCGCTCGGTACTTGTATAGATCATCGAAGAAAGAAGAAGTAGGAGGTGCACAACATGTTTTGAATGCCGATGTCAAGATGCCCAGGTAGGTGCGTGTGTTTGCATCGTGTTAGGAAACATTGCTGTCTCGTACAGATTAGTATATCGTCGAGGTTAAGAAGCTCTTCGTTTGTAGGTAGGCAAAAGTTGGACAGTTTGACATGCTCGACCTATGCAAGTTGCCTCTTAAAGTGATGCGAGGCTCGGTACTTGCCGGGACTGGACTTGGAGGGCTTGCTCCGTGAGTTGGATGTGTGGGAGCCTTGTGAGAAGAGCCCGGTTTCGTGTTTGGAGCTGGCTCCTACGGTGTTCCCGTACCCACCAAGGCCGATCTACTATGCCCGCCGGCATTTGCCAAACATACCCGTCACCTACAAGGCAGGTCGTTCGTAGCCTCTGGCAGAGTGGGCAAGTCCATCTGCATGGCATGCAATCGCTCAGCTCATGGCTATGCCGGGGAGGTGGAAAAGTGGGATGTCCACCTGGATCGTTCTTCCGGTGGTCGTATCGGTGGAATCCTTACCAGTCGAGCCTTGTTCTATGTAGTGCTGATGATTATGTGCTGTAATTTGTGAGCAGCAGCAGCAGCAGCAGGAGCAGTAGTAGTAGTAGTAGTAGTAGTAGTAGTAGTAGTAGTAGTAGCAGTAGCAGTAGCAGTAGCAGTAGCAGTAGCAGTAGCAGCAGCAGCAACAACCGCCACATTGGCATGATATAACTACACCATATTTGATATATCGCACGCATAGTAGACTTTACCCCGAAACTCGTCGTAACACTGCTGAGCCCTGTAGGCTTTTGGCTGCCAGCCCTACGAAGCGTCTTTGCGGTTTAATACTTGTCATCCAACAAGGCAGGAAATAATTACATAAACATCAACATCCGGGTTTTTGAGCAGTAGGGCCCCTACTAAAAGGAATGTGCATTGAGGCGTAGACATAATTCCCGAGTTCGACGGCTCCTTGGCCGTGGCACGCATCGAGGCGAGAATGAGCTACTAGTAGGCTGAAGGGCTCACTTGGAAGACTCTGGCGCTCGTTTTCGAAAGGAGGGGGGCTTGATGGACAAGTGGAACCAGGAGCATCCGGACCAGGAGGTGCATCCTGGAGATCGCTTCTCGGAGGCGAGGGTAGGAGGTTTGGGGGGGGGGGGGGGGCAGGGCGGCCAGGTTTTGGAAAAGTGCGCGGTGAGGTGAACGGCAGTAGCCAGCACCTCACGGCAGAGTGCCGCAAGATGCAGCGTCTGCGGATAACAGTGTACAGAGCAGCACGGACCTTGGAGTCTGACTGTGCTTGCAAAGATCAACGGAAGACTTGCTTTGGATGCTCCAGGTGCCGGATCGGGACCCCTACGTTGAGGCCAAGCGCATCGACATGGTGGCCTGTTTGGAGAAGTTCTATGGCCGACATCAGAAGTGGCGGCAGAACGTGCCATCCCTGCCATTTAGCTCACCACTTCTGGAGTGCGAGATCGTACGCGGTTTGAGGTGCTCTCCATTGGCGATGCATGCACAGAGCAGCAAGCCATCAAGGAGGCGTCTCGTGCTTGAAGCTGTTCATCACAACCGCTACACTACACGACTCACACCTTTCTCAAATCAGAGGCGGACGGAGCCCCATTTTATTTAAATTTAAGAAGAGTCGGGATTGCGGGAGAATTACTCAAGGACTCGAGCGCCAGTGTCTTCTTTTTTCGCTGGTCCACGCGCGCAGTGCCTTTCTTCCCTGCTCAGTTGCTGGCAGGTTCTGCAGGATTCGGGCGTGGCGCAGGATGCTTAATGTGACTTTCCACGGTACTGTGCCCCGACATCCCAATCCCAAGATGTCCCCTTTCCAAGGTCGACGAGCGAGAGACGGCCCCTGTGCAAAACAGCCCTGGTCCAAGGAGTCTGAACCCCGCGTTTCTTTGTGCCACCAGGAGCATGGCTGTAGCGACGTACTGGACGAAGATAGGAATGTGTGTTGCGACTGACTGAATCGTGCTTTTCCGTACATGTGGAAGACTTCTGCATCGTTGCTGCCACTTGGTGAGGGTCATGGTACACGACATGAATTTTCAGTCTATAGCGTCCACGGCTCTTTCTAGAAGTGGAAAGCACGCAGGCTTGAAGGAAGCAGGGCAAGACGTAATAATCTCCCATTCCAGCCGTGATCTTCCGGCCCAGAAGCACATGCTTCTAATGCTTGAGCACCTTCGATGCCATGGTGAAAGCGTAGCACAGCAACCCTTCAGCCCTGAAGAAGTAGGGCTTATGACGGACAACTGCAACACTGGATTCACTGCAGGTCACAATGAATCAATACACCTAGCTACTTTGAAACTATGTTGCCATGCCTGGTGCTGGTGTGGCAGTGGCAGTAGCAGCAGCAGTAGTGGCAGGAGCAGGAGCAGGGGCAGCAGGAGCAGGAGGAGCAGGAGGAGCAGGAGGAGCAGGAGCCGGAGCAGGAGCCGGAGCAGGCGCAGTAGTAGTAGTAGTAGTAGTAGTAGTAGTAGTAGTAGCAGTAGGTTGTGGTGGTGCTGGTGGAAATAATTGTCGTCGTCGTCATCGTAGTAGTAGTCGTTGTTGCTGCCGCGGTAAGAGCTTTGCACAAAAGGCAAATTGGATGAATAGAAAGAGGGTGTATTTCGCAATTGCCGCACTGAATCAGCTCTATCGCGTGTAGTCAATGCCTGCTTAGGTTAACCTTATTGACACTCCGACACTGGAACAGCTCAGTAACGAGCTTCGAATTCTCCTGGTCCGGCTCTGAGTGCCCACGAAACAGTGTCAGGCTACCGTGAGAGAACTTGAAGACAAGGCAGTCATGTTGTCTGAAACGAAGGTCTGGTTGTCGCACATGGTTCAGTACCACAAGGAGGGATGCAGCGATATAGCTGTACAGACTTTGACAAATCTGCAGGGCTTGCGCATGATGGAATCACGTGAAGCTTGAGCTTTGGTTCCGAGTCGCGCGGGTGCCACCTGCAATGGTCGCTTCTATATTCCACTTGTGCCCTCCTCACAGATGGAACTCAATCGGGTAGCTATCTGGCCGAAGGCTCAAGGAAGGTCCTTAGAGTCGTTAGACTCAGGAAGTTCAATCGACTTTTCACGTGTGGTTCGCAGGATTTCGACCTGTTCATGGATGGGCGAGATCCTGAGATCCATAGATGCCAATGCTAACCTACCGGTTTCGTGTCTGATGCAGCACTAGGGAGGCTGAATGTCGCAATCAGCACCCGGGCATGAGAGGTTGGATGACTTGGAGGCAGAGCTCTTCAAAAAAGCTTGAGGCTGGAACATTAGTTTGCAGCATATGGAGTTGCACACGAAACTCTGAGAAAAGCTGGCCAGGCTTTGCCAGGCTCATGTGCTGAGATTGATTAATGAAGCGGGACAGTGGCTTTGCAATCGCCAAAATAAGACGCCGGCTAGTCATGGCCAGTTTGTGATGTATACAGATTGGAAATCCACTGGCCGCCAGCACGATGGGATAGTTATGCAGCTTGTTGGCTTCACAGAAGAATTCTGCAGGAAGCCGCTGGCAAAATTGAAGTTGCTCCAGTCTCTGTTTGCAACTGCCAGCATGTTGACTGCAGCGGTGCACTCCACATTGCCTCGGGCAATTGCAGAAGTTGCGAATGGCTGAAGCTGCGCAGCAGGGGATGCAGAATATGGCAAGCTCCGACCGTGTTGAGTGGTTAGTCACACCTGCAAAAAACTAGAACATAATTCTATCTTGATGCGTGTCTATAGGAGCCGGAGCGTGGCAGTTAGAAGGTCCCTGGGGTATTCATGGCAGAGGTCTGAAAGAGCCATGTGTCATGCCCGGATATCACAGAACGACACTAGTCACTATACTCTGGCAAGACCTAGGAAGCTCGAGGCCCCCGCTCCTCCTCTTGACCCCCTCCCGGCTCGGAACCATGGCCGCCAATCTGGACGACCACCACGGGGAGGGCACGGCGCCTGGCACTTAGAGTGCAGTCGATTTCGGTGCCTGCGTTGCCTGTTGCTGCTCCTAGTACAGCAGAGGAGTGATTTACCCGGTGTCTTCCACCAAGGAAAATTTGCATGCTGGCGATTGGCATCGGATATTTGTTTCCCATCTCAGCGATTTGGGCTGCGTTTGACTATTGGAAGGCACCGCCTGGACGTAAGAAGCATGCATCGCTTTGGAGACAGAGAAATTTAGGTTCTGCTCTTTCTGGGCCAGGTCCTGTTCCCAGACAAGAACATCGAGTTTGTTGTGACAGTCGTCTACCAGGCCTCGTGAAATGCTCAGTTCCTTGGCCTTGGCAGCAGAAGCCTCTGCACAGATTGGTTCCGTTGGCACTGTGGCCCTTCTTTCGTTGACAGAAACTTTCTCGCCGGCACCCTAGCATGGCTGCAGCCCTCGGCCCCGCTGCCTCTTTCAACGCAGGGGAAAGAGTCCAGCCCCATCCCTCGATCTGCTGAGCCATGCCTCAGGTTAAGGCGACGCATCGTGGGCGGCTTTCTGGGCCAGTTCTTCTGCCTGGCTGCAATCCTCAGCTTCAGGCCTCTGCTGATCTCATGTCACAGAGGTTTCAACTGTTTTTTTGCGCCAATGTCTCCAGGTGGCTGCTCCTCCCGCCGGCCGTGTCTGCGGGACTCGCTTACAAGAGCACTCCTGCAACTCAGCTTCATTCTGCATTCGTCGGTTCTTGCAGAGTGCTAGGCTGTACCAACTGTTGCTGGGCTTGGTGCTCGTGTGCCGGTGCCTCGGGCGTAGATGTGAACGCAATTTGTGAAGCATGTTCTACTTCAGTCAAGGCTCTGTCGCTACCGGCTACTTGGACTCTGCTTTGCTGTCCTTGTGCTCGCAGCAGGAACCTTAAATGCCGTCGAAGTACTTCGTATGGGTTTTGGTTTGCGCTTGCTCAGGTACGCATCGACAATGCAGCAGTTCTTGCAGATAGGCCATGCGACCCTGTCCCGGGAGAATGTCGGCTTGCAGCCTTGCAAGCGCAGGCATCGGCTTTGGCACTCTCGTCTCTGTGATCTACCGGGATGCAACGAAGCTTCTGATGTCTCATGACATCGAAGATGCCACCTGCCTTGAGCCAAGTCTTCGAGGAGTTCACTTGCCAAGACCTGCCAGCGTTTTGCAATGTCGAAGCAGGCCATATTCGCATCATACCATATCAAAGTATTTTCCATACATAGCAGATGAACGTGTTAGAACAGAAGACAATGTAATATAATGCAAAAAATACAATGCATGATGACATTGTACAGTCTGATACAGAATAGTAAAATCAAATCTAATATAAACTCATACATGGATTTTTTGAGGACAGTATCCTGCACGTCAGACATGCACCCGCCTGGACCATCTCTGACCCTGAGGCGCTTACTTCTCCATCGCACTGGCGACTGTCATCGTCTGCTTAGCATCGTACAGGCCTGCCCTGGCCCTGGCGGCACCAAAACATGCCACTGCCTAATGCAAGTTCTTTGAAGTCTACAGTAAAAACAGTAGACCTCTTTGCCTACATCAACATGCCGCTGCCTTGCATATGTAGTGGCGCAGTTTTGCAGGTTACTCATGTCCTTGCCCGTGTCGCGCCACGTGCGTGCAGCAAGTGCTGGCAGCCTACATATGCCTCGCTTGAATGTGCCATCTTATGGGGGCCCTTGCAGTGAGACCCTGAGACCCTAGGGACAGCTGGATGAGAAGCTTCTGGACAATGCAACCAGCATCGAGTCCCCGTTGCCCTTAGCCTGCGGCGTGGCGCCTGGATCAGCCCCCATGCGCATGCTGGCAGTGCCTTGGCATTCTGCCATTTTGCAAGGATTCAGCCCGGGAGGTTGTCGAGACTCTGAGGAGAGCTTCGGGTTTTACGCGACCTTGAGAAAGCAAGTTGGAAGTCTATCCAGGACTCTCCCGCAGAGCTCGAGCTGAACTGCAAGGCAGCCGTGCCACCTGAGAGTCTGCACTGCCACATGTCAGTTCTGAAGGCCGGCAGCAGTTTCAAAACTGTGATACAGCTGGTCTGGCGAAACCAACTGGTGAGCGACTTGAGGAGATGTGAGAAGCAGCTTAATGGTTCTTGCATCCGCAGATCCCAGGCCATCATTGCAAACTTCACATTGACGACCTTCTGCTATCCCGGTCTCATCACCGCGATCCCGTGCAGGCCGACACTTCGAACGCGTTTGCAACTTCGAACAGCTCTGCGGATGCAGGCAGATGCTCTGGCTACAACCAGGACATTGGTTTCAGACCATCCTTCTGACGGTTTCTGGACTCAGGGGTCTCATGGTCTCAGTCCGAGGAGCCCGGGGCTCTTTGGACCATCGCATGCCAAGGTCTTCACGCTCTTCGACATTTCCGCGCGGTTTGTGACGCACATCCGATGCGGCCTTCACCATGGGAACATCCAGGCTGACTTGAAAAGCTCCATCGCCTGCGGGTTTCGTGTAAATTGGAGCTCTGGTCATCCTCTGGACAAGTCGGGCAGGTCTTGTAGCTGTGAGTCCTTTGACAAATGCATTCGTCATTGGACCTCGCCTAGCCTACTGGTAGCTACCTCAAAAGTTCGATGACCCGGAATGGTCCATGTGCTCCTGCAAGCTTCCAGACAATGGCTTTCTATTTTGCCAGTATGAAGGCAGATGTGTTTGCAAGTGCAAATCTAAATCTAACATAATCTAACCCTGACCCTTACACGTCTGAAAACTTGATCTTTAACCGCACGGAGACGTGCCTCCTCGCAGTGGACTGTGGTCGTGCGGTCGGCCCTTCTCCCGCTGATGATCTTTTGCGCCGTCTCGGTCCGCGTCTTAGTCATCTTCAAGGGTATGGCTCAGCAGTCATAACAATAATCAATGAGAATACTTTCGATGTATAGCCATGCTGGCGAAGATAGTAGCAGCAAGCGTCATGAGACAGTCATTGTAGCCGTGGCAAAGGCAAAGTCACGCGCTGCTGGAGTAAAGTGAGTAACGCGTAGAGCGGTGTTGTTGTGGGAGCTTTGGTCAGGAATCGTCCAGCGACCTGCTTGCGATGGCCGTGGTGGCCACCTTCGGGTTTTTAAATGGGTACTGTGTGGGACGCTCAGCCTCAACCCAGAGTGCACGAGGACTCAGCAAAGTAGAGAGAGAGAGTTGGTCTGGCTAGCAGACTAGCATGGAAGGCGTAGTGCTCGTTGAGGCCTCATTATGCCTCATTGTCATCAATGAGATTCCGACTCTGAGTGCCGAGCAGCGGAAGACGTGTGGACGCATTTCTGCGCTGGCCTCTGTTTCAGGGATGACAGTACGGACGTTTTGCACAATCTGCGAGGGCACAGTTTGGAGTGGATGCTTGGGAGGCTTGCTTCGTGAATAGCGGCGGAGGACTCAGCACATCTCCGGAGAGGCTTTTAAGAAGTCCTCGAGAACGTTTCCCCAAAAGAACTTGTCCTTCAGCTCTCTTACGACCGGCCAAGAGCATGGCAAGCAGATAGGAAACACATGCTCGAAGGCCAGATTCGGTCAAGAACTTGCTTTCAGGTTCAGAAACGAAAATGGTCACGGAGCTGTGGAAGCCTTCTTTCAAAGCTCCAAAGCCGCTATAAGGCCTGGCGCTGGGCTCTGTCGGCGGGGCCCTGGCTGCCCACGTCTTCGCTCTCGGCTCCTAGCGCACGACGAGAAAGAGCCACTTCGTTACATCAGCACAGTAGGAGAGAGCTGGAGCTGGTGGCGAGGCAGTAAGCTGCACAGTTCAGCTATGCAATGTTAGGCATTGCAAGCACAAACTGGAGCCAGGCTGCTGCTGTGAGGGCTGCAGTTCTGCCAGCGTCTGTTTTGCTTTAGCGCCGTCATTGGCAGGATCGTAGCAGATCCAGACGACAGACAGACCACGAAGTGGTTTGTGCGCATAGAGCCTGGTCGATTCCGCCTGCAAGTTTGAAAGTCTTCTGCTCTTGAAACCTGTTGTCGTACCCTAGGGCATGCTGAAATACTGCATTTGTTCATGCATGCGAGCGTAGGCATACAGAATACAGGGTGTCAGGTAGATGCAGACGATTGTGACATGACGCTGTCTATGCTTGGATCTTCCGAGCTTGATTCAGTTGATCTGATCGACTCTTCACATTTGCTAGCACCACTTAGCATGAGATGGATCCGCAGCCGCATGACTCTGAGCAAGCGGCTACAGGGCCACTGGCGAGAAGCAGCATGTGCGGTTTGCTGCAGTCAGTCACCCATGGATGCTGAACCCTTCACTCCGAGCCCAGGTACTCAACCTACACCCTTAAGACTTAAGCCCCACAGCTAAGATGCACTCATGGGCTTTCTGTGCACGTCCTGGTCCTGCGGCAGCAGCATGCCCGAGAAGGTGCTTGTGGACGCAGAGAAAATACTGTGAAGAAGCACAAGAGCTTCACTGAGTCAAGATGTTTCAATAACCTCCGCAAGGCTGACACTCAGACGTAGCAGTAACGAGAATCTATGGCAAGGAGAATGGCGACTGTGACAATATGTCAACGCGGTGATAACAGCATATCGAGGTCACTTCAGTTTCAAGCTTGCAGGGAGTCCCTTCCTGGCTAGACCCCTACTTTCCTATAGACCTCTGCTGGCCTCCCGCCAGGCGCCTCGGCCATGGATGAGGCTCGGGCTCTTCGAATTTTCCAGCCCCCTTTATGTCATATGGGAGTTTCCCGAAAATAGGGGTACCTTATTTTGAGGTCCTTATAATTATTATAATGAGGATCCTACTATTTAGGGTACTATATTAGGGTCTCTCATTTTCGGAAACTCCCATATTCCGCCAAGACGAGCTGGTTCAAGAGATGGAAACATGGCCCGGTCTATACAGTGCGGCCCATCTGCGGGTTTGCCTCATTTCCTTGCGCAGTCTTGCGCAGGGGCTCGAGACTCTCACTTTGTCGCCGTTTGAGATCCACTTCTCTCAGACCCGGATAAGGCCAGATTTGTGAAAGCCGAAGCCGCAGCTCACCGATGCAAAACAGTCCCAGGTCGGAGTTTCAAGATGGGCGTCCTTTACAGCTTGCGCTGGATGAGATCCAGGCCGCATCCAGCAAGTTCCCCGTCAGTCCTAGCATGGAGCTGGGTCTGTAGGAACTCCAGAAGACTCTTCAGGTGACGTCCGACGGGCAAGGAGAGGACTTGCTGCTGGTGCCGCCGTTTCCCCGAATCGAGGTTACGAGGCTGGGCCGAGGGACGAGAAAGGTCTCAGCATGGTCTCAGCTTCCCAGCTTCCCCCAACAAAAAAGGGCTGCGCCAGGTGGCGCTGCAAGCTGCGGGACAGCACTGGCGCTGCAAAGCTGAGCGAAGGGGGCCTGGAGCTTTACAGCCAGGAGGCCTTCTTCCCAAGCAACCCGCATTCCTTGGGGGCAGGGAGGGGTGGATCAGGAGCGCTGGTTCAGCTTCGACAATCGCCGACTTTGCTGCCTGCAGTCTGGATCCCGACCCACCGTTGTTTTCGGCCAGACTTGAGCACAGCTCGAGGCGCGCTGCTGCACAGCATTGGCCAAAGAAAGTGGCAAACTTAGTGCCAGTCACTTCATGGACTTTGAGCCCAAAACAGTTACAAGCTACATGGCGCAATGCAGGTATGCTGCGAAGTGGTTGAGATCCCACAGACACTGGCGCGGACCCGCGAGTTGCGAAAGTTCGACACGCGAAATACCGGGTGTGGGCCCCGTGGTAAGCCTCAAAGCCTCGAAGTTTCATGCAGACGACTCTTCCAGTGGCCACCAAGATTGCGAGAAAAGGCGAAGAATGCTGTAAAGGGAAGCACGACAGAACTTATCTGGCTAGCCGAGGCTGAGTGTCCTGGTGGGGCGGCGCGATGATCCCAACCCAGAGAAGTGGTTCCAAGCTTGATGGCCTCTTCACTTGCAGGCTGCAAGAATCATGCAATGGCTTTCGTGACATTGCTTGAAAGGTGCTGGCGCACGGAGGCGCAGCGCTTAGAGTTTTAGAGCCTTATAATTCAGTGCAGCTGTGAAGCTGTCTCTAAGCTTCTTTTTGAGACTTTGAGGCGTGGGGAGTCTGGGATCTTTATCCTAAGCTGAAGGTTGGGATCCAGCCCCCTGAGCCCGAGCAGGAGATCGGTGCCCGCTGCTCAGACAGGGTAAAACACAGGGCTTGCAAGTTTCGTCGGTAAAAACGTACAGCAAGACGACGGGTTTTGACCGAACCGGAGATAAGAGAAGCAGGGACTGGTATAGTATGCGCAGTAAGCGTACTTGGAATCACTGGTGTCCTTGCATCTGATGCTCATGCTAAGAATGAGATTTCGTTACTGTGGGCGGCTGCAGAGTCGGGGCGAGGAGCAGGCTGACGACGAGTAGGACTGCGATGGCGATAGTGCTGAAGAAGAACAACAGCGGAAATACAAGAAGTCATGATCGTAGCCGATGTCGCTCAGCAATAACTCAATCAAGCCTGCTCAGCGCCGGAAGGACAGCACGAACTGCTACAGCTGTAGCAACAAGCTACTGAGAGGAAAGGTGGTTAAGGTCCTTTACAAGAGTTGATGCGTGTAGGTCGTTCTGCCGGGTCTCCGCCATCGGGGGGGACGTCCGCAAGAATCTGAGCAAGGACTGACCTGTCCAGATTTTCTGACTTGCATTCCGAGCAACCCAATTTGTACTACTTTACCATGACCAACTTTCTATCCGAGCTGGGCCCAAGCCTGTCGGTGCAGGACACCTTCCGTTCAAGCGCAATGGGCGACGGAGGTCCCAGCGCGGCAGCCTAGACGAGCGGTAGAAGGTTGTTCATCAGGAAGTTGAAGCACATCATTGGCATTCTTGTCTCTTCGGGTATATACAGAAATGTTATGTACAATTATGTACATATACATACAGACTGAGACAGAGAGGGAGTGTGTTTGGGGCCTTCAAAGGCCGAGGGACGTCAGACACCCCTCATGCCCCGCAGAAGAAGTGAGTGTGTTTGTGTATATATATATACATATGTATGATATATGTATCTCTGTTCGGGTGCGCGTCTGTTTGTCTGTCAGTGCACTATCATGTCCAAGCGGACGCAACCCAGGCAAGAAGAAGAAACAGCAGGGTCTTCCTTCGGCGCCTTGCGCGGGCTGCTGTCTAACTGGCCTGGTTGGGGTTCTGCGCGTGTTTGAGCGAGGGTTGTCACAAGAGCAGCGCAGGCCGTGAAGGGCAAAATGTGGATCACAGAAGGTATGTTCACTAATTACTGGTTGCAGCAGTAGTAGTGGTAGCAGCAGCAGCAGGGGCAGCAGCAGCGGCAGCAGTAGTAGTAGTAGTAGTCGTAGTAGTCGTGGTAGTGGTAGCACTATTCTACTACTGCTGCTACTACTACTACTACAGCTACTACTACTGCTACCACTACCACTACCACTACGACTACCACTACCACTACCACTACCACTACTGCTACTGCTACTGCTACTGCTACTACTACTACTACTACTACCACCAGTACTACTACTGCCCCTAATCCTGCTACTACGACAACAACAACTACTAACTACTCCTTCTACTACTCCTGCTGCCGCTACTACTAGTACTACTCCTACTACTACAGCAGCAGCTACGACGACGACTACTACTGCTACTACTGCTGCCACCACCACTACTACTACTACTACTACTACTACTACTACTACTACTACTACTACTACTACTATTACTACTACTACTACTACTACTACTACTACTGCTACTGCTTCTGCTACTACGACTACTGCTACTACTACTACTGCTACTACTACCACTACCATTGCTGCTGCTGCTACTACTACTACGACGACTACTACTACTGCTAGTACTTGTACGATTACTATTTCTAGTACTATTCAATTTCCTTTTACAATTTCTAAAACTACTACTCTTTCTATTACCACCACTACTACTACTACTACTACTACTACTACTACTACTACTTCTACTACTACTACCCCTGCTGCTACTGCTACAACTACTCTTACTACTCTTGCTGCTACTACTACTACTACTACTACTGCTACTACTACTACTACTCCTGCTGCTGCTGCTACTACTACTACCACTACCACTACTACTACTACTACTACTACTACTACTACTACTACTACTACTACTACTACTACTTCTACTACTACTGCTACTGCTACTGCTACTCCTGCTACTGCTACTCCTCCTACTGCTACTGCTACCACTAGTACTACTACTGTTATTGCTACTTTTGCTACGGCTACTATTACTAGTACTACTACTCCGCTGCTACTACTACTACTACTACTACTAGTACTACTACTACTACTACTACTACTACTACTACTACTACTACTACTGCTGCTACCACGAGTACTCCCACCACCACCAAGACTACTAACTACTACCTACTACAACTACTGCTACTACTACTACTACCACCACCACTACCATTACCACTCTGCTACTACTGCTACTACTGCTACTGCTACTACTTACTATTACGACTACCACTACTAGTAGTAGTACTAGTACTAGTACTAGTACTAGTACTAGTACTTGTACTTATACTACTACACCCCTACTGCTGCCGCTACCACTACTACTCTACTACAGCAGCAGGTACGACGACCACTGTTACTGCTATACTGCTACTGCCACTACTGCAGCAGATGCAGCAGGCTGTTCATGATCATCTACCTCCTGATGCGGATTGCCATGGTTCTTTGGCAGTCGGATGCTTCGGGGCCAGTCAGGTTATTCCTGACTCCTGTTCTACGAGCGGTGCTTCCGAGGAAGAGGCACAAACTGGCGCCCTCTCAGCACTCGGAGCCTGAGCCTTAGGATGCTGCGAGCGACACTCTTGAAACACCGCGCACACGCAAACCCAAGAAGTCAGAAGCAGCTGAGTATACTTGCTCGCTGAAGGCAGCCGACATAACTGGCTTGAAATGTGGCTGGGGACTGTTGCGCTGCCAAGCAGCATGAACGATGCTCAGCTAGGTGTTGCTGCAGCTCCACATGAAGGCTGCTACAGTTTGAACCCTCGGGAGCTGGCACAAAGCTTGGCCGACGACGGGGGATTTGCAAAAGTAGAAATGCTTCCAGATTCTCAAGATTCTTCAAAGGGCCGTCTGTGCTGTGCGAAGCAGATCTCTCCTTATGGCCTGCAGGCTGATCTTGATATCTAGTATGAAGCAGCCGTGACAATTGGACATCTTGTGACGTATCATGCCGTATGCTGAAGCATGCAACACTACAAGCCCCTTTTGGGCCCGGGTGACGGAGGCGTGTTGACATAGGGTTGCTGTTGGTATTTGGGCAATTTCGGAGAAAGAAAACGCTACGAGCGGGCAGCTCCTACAAGTTTTGATGACAAGCAGTCTGCATGTCGAGGCTCAAGCTTCAAGATTTCCTGCTTGGGCTGCGGAAGGTCTGACACCCAACTCCTTGAGCAACATGACTCCCCCAGCCTAGCAGCACTACTAGCACCAGCATCAATGTTGCAACAACCAAGGCCTTTAGTGCACCCTGCACACATTCTTTGCGCATGGATTTTCAGGCTTCGCCTTCGCAGCGGACCTGACCGAGCTCAATGTATTCTTGGGCGATTGCTGTCCTCTGTTTTGTCAATCTTCCCGTGAACAAAGCTGACTCATGGCAAGAGCTCACCCCTACTGGTTCTGCACCTAGCGCTCGTGGATCTGCGACTTCAAGCTCCACTGCATTGGCATCTGCCACGGACTACCCTGCCACCTGGGCTCTTGCAAATCACGGCACGGTTCCAGCCGCTACCGTCTACGCCATGACCAGTGCCTCCAATGATGCCCAACTTCCTGGCACCATGAGTTCCGGCGATGTCAACGGTGATGGCGCTAACGACTTCGCCTATGAGTTCCCTGCTGGCACTTTCAACGTGCACTTCGGAGGCATCTCTGCAGACTTGGATCTCGACAGCATCACCTACGACGGCTCGAATGGCTTCAGCATCGTCACGGGCAACAGCGGCAACATTTGGGGCACCATCGCCGGCGACGTCAACCAGGACGGCTTCAACGACGTGTTGTTCTTCCACAAGGCAAGTTAGAGACGCAAGAGCCGTCGAGTCAGAACACGTTCAAAACAGATTCTTCTCTTGTGATGTAATGTGCAGCAGGCCTCGGCTTCCGTCAAAATCGTCTTCGGCAAGGCTAGCGGCTGGAGCCCTTCCTACACAGTTACAAGCATGACGTGGGATGGCACGGACGGCCGTGAGTTGACCTACTCAGCCGATAGCAAGTTCGCAGATAATTCCTTCGGAGGTAGCACGCCGCAGATCCTCAGCGGATTTGACATCAACAACGATGGCATTGACGACATCGCCGTCGTTTCGGAAGGCAGCAGCAACAGCGGCCGAGTAAGCATGTTCTTCGGCAAAAGCACATGGTCCGCATCGGTGGACGGCTCCACCGACTTTGATGGCACCAGCACCGGCTTCTCGTTTATGGATGCTACAAATGCCAGGTTGGGACGTGGCCTGAGTGTGGGAGACATTAACGGAGATGGCATCGACGATGTCGTGGCCTCCAGCAGAAGCGATCAACCGTTCAGCGGGACTGGCTGTCTCTATGTGTTCTATGGAGGGGGTACGTACTCGGCCTCCATTGCGGACATTTATGCTCATGTCGATGGGACCACTGGCTTCCGGCTGTGCGGTGCAGAATCAAACACCTACATCGCGGACTACTTCTTGGCCACGACAGACTTCAACGGCGACGGCATCTCCGACCTGCTCTTTGCAGGGCGAGGCAACCAAGCGGGCATGTACGTTCTCTTCGGCAAGGCATCCTTCGCCGCGAGCCTGACTCTGCCGTTCGCAAGCGGCGAGGGAGTCTCCCTCACGGGCTTTTCGGGCCAGCCGGCGTTGTTGAAAATAGCCAACCTGGGCAAGTTCAACAACGACCAGTACGAGGACATCGCGTTTGGGGACGGCAGCAGCCTGTACGTCGTGTTCGGCAGTGCCAGTCCGGGTGACACCATTGACGTCACGGCGCTGAGCGGCAGCGACGGCTTCAAGGTAACAGACAGTGGCGGCGGCAGCTTCAGTTTGCCGTTCTACAGCCCGATCGACATGACCGGAGACGGATCGACGGATGTCGCGCTGTTCATCTCAACCTTGTTGATGCCGTCCTTCGACACAAAGAATTCTCCGTATGCCATTGTGGGCAACGGACCGGCAGGAGGCTCCAGCAACAATGCGGCCACGTCGACAACCTCCAGCAGCTTCTCCACTTCAGCAACCACAATCAGCTCGACAGAGACATCATCTTCCACACTTACACGAACATCAAGCAGCTCCTCCACCTCAGGCAGCATGACGTTCTCTTCCACATCTTTACCTGCGACTTCTTCCTCTTCTACATTGACACGGACGTCCAGCTCAACTGCTGCCTGGAGTTCATCTTCAGGCAGTGCGAGCAGTGGCCCTATGTCAAGCTCTAGCAGCACATCCTCAAGTTCGTCGTCGAGTCCTGCGGCGTCGTTGACTTCGACAACATCCGTCACCGGCCTAGCTGCAGTCGTCCAGGTGCTCGAGCAGGAGACCATGAAATTGCTAGACGAGCTGTCCAGCGTGCAAGCAACCACAATCACTCCACTGGGGCCGATGACAGCTGTCCGACTATCTAATGGCACAAGCAGTGAATACGTCCCCGTGGAAATCGAGGGTTCCTCGGCAGTTCTTTTGCCAGCAGATGTGCTGGCCGAAGGCGAAGATGGCGCAAGCTTGGTCTTGGTCGTTGCCAGCTTCACAAGCGAGGCCGGCCAAGCCCAGATTGGAGGACGGGTCGAGCTCGGAGGTCAGCAGGCTGACATGGTTGTGAACGCTGTGGACGTGTCCTTGCTCAAAGTTTTCCAGGATGCAGCAGTACCGCTCAACGTGGATGATCTCCGGAAGCCCATTTATATTCAGCTGTCCCAGGCAGAGCCTCAGCCTAACTGGTGGTGTGCCTTCCTGGATGGAGAGAATTGGTCCACTGAGGGCGTGCGCCTGGCGACGGTCGAAGAGCTGACGGCAACCTACGGAGACTTTGCGAACGTGTCGGGCTTGTGGTGTGCCACAACACATCTATCCATCTTCGCTGCGTTTGTCGATCTGCTGATTGATTGCACAAACCTCGAAGTCCTGTCGCGAGAGGGCCTGGAGCAAATTTTTGTCCGACAAAGCTGGTGGATGTACGCGCCTGCGCTGTCTTTCTGGCTTCTTCTGATGAGTCTGCTGCTGCTAGTTTTTGTTGGTGCTCTGCAGGATGCAAAGTGGCGGAGGTCAGGCTTCTGGCGAGACGACTACTTTGTGACCGAGTTGCCGCCTGTTGCGAATGCGTCTTTGGTATCACGAACGCTGGGTTGGGTCGGCCAAACCAGGCAGGAAGAAGAGCCCAGCGGGGCACTCTGGGATCAGTTGAAGACTGTCCAGTCAAACCGCGCGCAGAAGCTACGAGAGAGGTTGCAATGTCAGAGTACACTCCGGGCGGCGGCCCGACAACACGGCCTGCACAGCAGCTGTATCCAAAAGCACATCTGGGGTCCAAGTGGATGGGTTGCAGGAAGCCTGGCGTTGCAGAAATCTGGGTTGCTGAAGAAGATGAAGTTGGACATGGAGGTGACCCTGCCTGCGGCCTTCGTGGCCGTGCACGCCTCGTGCTGGTCGCTCTTGTGCTCCACCTGCCGCTCGGCTCGTCTCTGTTGCGCGGCACTTTGTGTTAGGTTGCCTGAGAGCGCCAAGGCATAGCGGCACACCCAATCCTAGAGCTCTTCCAGTGCGATCTTCACATCTCTACAGCCAAGAGGGCGAAGATCAACATGGACAGCTTCTTGGATTGACCCGGAAACATAGATTGGGCGCTGTAGACTGGACAGCTCTGTGGCCTTCCAAGGCTTCTTGGGTTCACTGGCCTTCGCAGCTTTGCTTCCCAGCCAGCATTTGGACACGGCCGCGGTGTGCAGATGTGCAGTCCGCGCAGTAGGAAAGCCAGCAAGTCTGCAGGTTCTTTGCCGTGGAGGGACCAATCGTGGCGAACCAAAACGTGTCGGACTGCCCCATCCAGCAGGGCTCCCTTGCATGGTGCCTCGGTGGAAACTCCAAAATTGGTGTGCATTGAGGCGGAGGTGTGAGGCCCAAGGCCTGTGCGTAGGCGTAGTTGTTTTTGTGTGTAAGGTACGTTTTCGCTGCATCCATCGCTGTGCTGCTGAACTCTCTGCCGTGCAGTTATTTCCATTACCTGGGCCATAGGGACTTCGTGCTAGCAAGCTCTTACCGACGCTGCCAGCTGAAACTGCGAGCCTTCCGGGACTGTGTGTTCTGGATCCTTGGCATCAGCCTGTCTTGCCTCCACATCCTTGTGATCACCGCTTTTCTGGCCAACCTAAGCAGGGAGTATGAGTGGAAGTGGATTACTGCCTTCACTGTCGTGGTCATTCGCAAGCTCATCGTGGTGCCCCTGGTGGCCTGTGCATTCAACTTAGGACCTGAATTAGCGTGTGGTGCGGAGACAGGCTCAGCCGGCAAGCCCCCCAACAAGTTTGGCTTGGACATGGACCTCCTCAATGATGCGCCCAACAACTTGTCAACAAGCTTTTCACCGGATGACGAGAAATTGCTGTGGAAGATGAAAGTTGAAGAACTGGCAGGGCGGGGGATCACCGTCCGGCAGCTGTTGGATTTTTACTCGCGTCTTGGGGAGGATGTAATGCATCACTTCGACCCAGAAGAGTCTACAACGCATGATGTGGTGCGCCAGGCCATCATACCTCTTTCCCGTCAAGTCCGTGAGTGTCGATCCTTCGAAATGATCTTGCATGGCCTTCAGGCTGACGCATTTGACTTGGCATCCGCTTCATTTGAGGTGACGGTGCAAGGCCCCATGCCAAAGCCTTGGAAAGTAGGTGGCGAGGGAGTGTTGGCGACTGATCAAGCCGTCTTCCTTGCTGACATCTTCCCAGAGGAAAGCCTGCACCTCGGTATGCGGGACCTTCACTCGTTGCACACTTCCTTGCCAAGCGCTTCATTCTGGTGCGGCTTCCGTGGAGAGGTGGAGATGACGGAAGAAGGCTCCAAGCTGCAGGTCACGCTCAGCCTTTCCATTCTTCCCCGCCAAGATGCTGGCTCTGCCGCGAGTGCCTCGTCATGTGCAGGAGTTGGGGCTGGCAAGAGCAGATGAAGCCCTGCTTTTTTTTGCCTCGCCCCTTTTGATCCCAAAGGTATCGGCTAGTCACGTAGTTTGCCCACATTCCCAACACCAACTCAGGTACCACTCGGGAGTCGGGAGAAGCCTTGCACGTTGATATGGCCGAGAATCTCCAGGTTCGTTCTTCGCCTTGTAAAGATGAAGATGCCATAATCACATCCAGTTTCCGTGAAGAGACTGTGGAGCACTTAAAGCCCTCTGCAGTTGGCGTTGATGAAGATGCCATAATCACATCCAGTTTCCATGAAGAGACTGCGGAGCGCGTGGAGCCATCTGCAGTTGGAGTTGGTTTTTCCTATGCTACGGTCGTGAACAACAAGAAGCCGCAGCTGGCAATTCGGATGGTGACGCACAACTGGGGAAACAACTTCGTCTTCTTGCTGAGCGCCATCTTCTCTGATGCCTTGGAATTGGAGACATATGACGGAGTTGCGCTGCTTCTCAGCACTCGCCAGCTTGAGCATCTTGCTCAGCAGTTGCAAGAAGCCGGCAAGCTCGACGTGCCCTACTGGGTTTGCGCATTCTCAGTGAACCAGCACGCCGGGATCTGTGCCACGCCACCGGCCACTGATTCGTCGGGTGTATCCATTGCCCCCTGCCATTGTCACACCGCCAAGCACTTCAATGGGGACCTCAGCGAGATGAACAAGTTCGATGACATGATGGCCTATTTAAAGATGCGCCTTCGCAAGAGGTCCTTGCAAGAAGACAGTCCCGTACGATTGCAGCAGGTTGTCGCAATGGATGCTCAATTTTCGCTCCTGACGCGTGTCTGGTGTGTAGCAGAGCTCGTTGAAGCGGACTCGCTGTGCCTCGTTGGATTTCAGTTCGTAATTTCTGTCAGTACGGAGAGTCGACGAACATATGTCTGTATACAGGTAGGCAGGTCCTGTGGCTAGGTATGTATTTATGTTGTATGCGAGATGGCAGCTCAGGAAGCTGACGCAATCAGTTAAGCTTCATTCCGCCGCTTCGCAACGTCGCTGCTTGGAAAAGATCCTGAAGCTGAACGTACGTCAGTCCCAGGCATCCTTCCCAGCTGACAAGGACACGAGGGTACAGGGGTATAGAGGGGTATATGAGGGGCATATACCGGTATGTAGGGTTTAAAGGGTTTGAGGGTTTGGGGGGTGTAGGGTTTATGTTTGTCCGTCCAAAGTCCCTTTTGCTCTGCCCCAAGCTGCAAAACTTAACCTCAAGACGAAATCGTGACAAGGAGCTGGTTCTCAGCAAGATTGCAGACATTGATGCTTTCAACCGTGGTTTGCAAAACCTCCTGCTGCACCGTTTGGAGGGCTTCCTTGGCCAGAGGTGGGCTCAATGCGGGTTGCAGACGGTTCCATTAGAGCTTTGAGGATTTTGAGAGAAGTTGTGGCTCCTGCTCTTTCAGGGTGATCTCCTCTGAAGGCTTCAGGCTCGTGCGAAAGCACCCTGCGCTCTTCTGAGGAGCACCTGCGCAGCGAATTGCCTGGACGACGTGGTCTTCGCAGTGATCTCCGTAATGCTTTGAAGAGCTAAGCATTCAAGCTGCAAGCTTGTGTACTAGAGCTAGAGCTTTTTCTGCAAGCAAGGCTTCAAAGGAAGCAAGGTGGACTGTAGAGCCACTTCGGGCAGGCTTCCAGACATGCGCCTCGCCGCTCTTCTGGGTACCTCTGTGGCACATTTTTGAATATCATCGGACAGACTGCTAAAGATGCGCAAAGCCATGAATCAGAAGTTGCGACATGTGCTGAATTCGCTGTTCGGCAAAGCCATGTGGCCAGCAGCTATAGGTGCACATGAGAGACACTTTGCTGCTTGCATAAGTCCGTGTGCTAGGCATGGACCTAAGCATTCGTGAACGAAAGCGTGGAGGCGCTTAAGCGGGCCAGCAACAGCCCGGGACAATGCTGCTCCATTTGGCTTGTCGCTAGCTGTCGCCGTGCCCACGTCTCACCGTCTCCGTCGAAAAGAACTCCCCTCTATCTTTTGCCGTGAGTAGACCGGCACAACACAGGTCACAGCTCCATTTGCCTAGCTGTCGCCGTGCCCATGTCTCACCGTCTCCGTCGAAAAGAACTCCCCTCTATTTTTGCCCTGGCTGGATCAGGGTCTCGTCTTCCTGCGCAGCAGATGGCCTAGCTTCGCAACGACTTGGTTGCCTTGATGTGGAATATCATCGGACAGGTTGCTAAAGATGCACAAAGCCATGAATCAGAAGTTGCGACATGTGCTGAATTCGCTGTTCGGCAAAGCCATGCTGCCAACGCCGGTATAGGTGCACGTACCTTTTTATTTGCGTGCCAGGCATGGCACAGAATCTATGAAACCATGCGATCACTGTGTAAAGTAAAGCCGCTTCGGCCCCGCGGCATGCAGCAATGTGAAGAGACCGTGGGCAAAGTTTTCCGCAGCTGTCGCCATGCCTACGTATCACCATTTCCGCCAAATTTTTATGTGTTTGTGTCAAGACTAGACTGTTTGGATGTGGCTGGTGTAGTCAATTTCACAGGGGTTGGAGGGGGAATGCTCCATAGCATGCAAATGCCGGCATCCCTTTGGCTCTGTGCTGGGAAGTGAGCACGCGGTAACTCTGATTCTTTGTCTCACGGGGTATGTCGTGCAAGGCGAACGGACAAGCTCTTGAGGGAATTGTACTACTTGTAGCAGCTAGCAAAACGTGGCTTAGAATAGCTATGGGACTTGGCCCGCTGGCTTCGGACCTTCCAGACAGACCATGCAACTCGCAGGCCTGCGCAAAATGCTGTTTCATGACAAGGTTCGCAAGTTTGCAAAATCTCCTGCATAGTCTGTCTTTCGGCAAGTTGCAAAACGCGAGTCTGTGTTATGCTGTGCAGGCCATTTTCTTGTCAAGCAGTACTGCCGCTGCCTGCTCAAGCTCTTTGCACACGGCCACGATGCCTAAAGAGGACTGCTCGACAGCTTTGCACTTGCTGACTGCGCTTTCTTCTGGTACTCGTAGGAGCAATATACAGATTCTACACGCGCCAGACGCGTAGCGCTGCAAGCGAAGAAGCTGCTTGGACAGGACCGACTGCGTGGCTGGGGTGCTCCCTGCACTGAAGACTTCTGGGTGCCTAGACCGCCAGATTCAACCGGGTTTCATGGGAGGTGTGGTTCTTGACTTGGTCTGACTGGTCAGGGTTGAAAGGAGCACGGAACGTAGTAAGCAGCTTGAGCCGATGTGAAGCATCGCACCTTTGCCATAGTTTGGGTAACCACAAGTGATGGGCAGAGGCCGTTACGAGTAGCTGCAAGTTGAGGTGCCGGCCGCCAACAAGCCTCCGACTATTCCGAATCAGCCCATGCAAATGCAGTCGCGACAAGTGAATGGCCAAGTTGTGGCCATTTGCTTTGCTTCCGTGGCCTCTTTTTGAGTGTTGTGGAAAGAGCTTGTGTCAGATGCACAGGTGGCTTTGCAAGATGAGCCAAACCAGGCCAGACATGCGGCATCGTACGCGGTGTCCTTCTCTTCATGGTTTCTCGTCTCAAGGGAGCTTTTTGGCAGGTGCTCGCAAAAGCAAGGCAACGGCGCCGTCGCCGAGATTCCACAGCCCAGGCTTCCTCGGAGTAGATTGCACATCTGAAACGCACCACAGTCCCGAAATTCTCCGTGGTGCAGGTCGTGATAGCTCCACGAAGAGTACTGGTAGCCGGCCCTAAGCTCAAGCAGAACCGGAAGCCTTTGCGCCGGGTAGCCTGGGCTTCCTGGAGAAAAGTTGCTTGCCTTGCGTGAGGTGGTTGGCAATGATCGTCTGAAGTGCACCAATAGCCATTAATGAAAGAAAACGTTGGACTCCGCGCATTCACAGCTGGTACCTCGGCCAGGGCCACCACTACCGCCGCCGCCGCCGCCATCACCGCCGCACCAACAACAGCAACCATCAGCCACAACTAACTACCCGGACGACGCCCTTGCTGATGATGGGGACATATGAGGACTACTGACGGCTGCTGCAAATGCACCACCTGCTATAGTACTGGTATATTGTTCTACAAGACTGATCGTGGGAATGGTAACTTGCAGCCAGAGCAGCATCATGGCATCAATGGCATCAGCAAGCTGAACTCTCGTCACAGAAGCAACGAAGGCGCACAAGCAGCTTTTCCGCTGTGGCTAGATGCAAGAACCCTGCAAGAACCACTAGGAATGTCTTGGCCGACCGACCGTTTTGCAACCACAAGTCGGCGAGTTGGGAGGGACATCAACACAAGGCGAGAACTTTTTAGCCGCCTGGCGCTGCTTCGCGGTTTGCCACTGCCTGATGGTAAAGACCATCACCCTGACTGTTCAGCTGTATGGCTCGAGATGACAAGGAGGTTCATTGATTAAACAGTTTTACTTGCAAAAAGCTGTCAGTGCCTCACACGTCGTTTGTGTTGCGTCAGAGGTTCCGCTTCTCTTGCGCATCTGGATCTCAAAGAGCCTGAGGCGTCCTCCATCATGCTCCAGCACGCAGCCAGGTCTGCTTATTCGCAGTTGCTCTCGGCTGTAGTAGCAAGGTTGTCTTCAAGTATAGCGACGGTAGTATATACGTGACGATGCCGCTAAGCCCGGAAGTATTGAAAAAATATTCATGCAGCATTGCGCTGGTTTGTCAAGTCCTGGTACGCAGGATTCATCTGTCTTCGCCGCTCCGTTCAGCGAAGCAGCCTGCGCTTCGTTACAGGACTTGGTCCCGAGCTACTCGAAGCCTCGTTTGCCATGTGCGAGGCTTAGCAAGAAAGCGTGTGCAGATGTACATGTTGCACTGACCCAGCTGCCGATGGCTGAGGCTGCGATGCGGCCAGTCGCGCCAGCTGCTATCCCTTCCACCTCGGTTTTGGCATCACGATGTTTTGCAGCAGCGACATACTTAGCAAAGCTTCGCAGACTTCTTTGCAGTCGCGGCCGCACTAAGATCGCTCAGCAAATGCTTCATTATTGACCGCAATCTGCCCAGGCAGCAGCAAAGAAGCCCAAGATGGAGGCTCAGAGCGAGCGGCAGTTGCTGGTCCATCTCTGTTGTCGCATTATTTGCACCTTGTGTGCATCGTCAGACGCACGATTCATCCTTCTCCTCTGCATCCCTCCCTCACAGAAGACAAATTTACCGAATTCGATCTTGTCGAGATGGAAAGTCTCCTGAAGTGCCAAATGCCAAAGTCCCCGTGAAAGCAAAGACATCGCCCATGCTGGCCTGCTACTAATTGCCATCCAATGTCAAAGACTACGACCTCTTGAGGAAATTGCTGGTACTTGAGAGCTCTCGCTCAGAAATTCCACAGATGCTCGTGTTCACTACGTCTAGCTTCTAGACGCACGCACGCACACGTGGATTGAAAAACTAACCCAAAGATGCAAGAAAAGTTGAGACTGCAATGCTGCACAATGGTCAGCAGCTGCATGACGATCACTGCTCGGGCTGCCAGGATGGCACCTTGGAGGGTCGATACGCAACGGCTCTCTTTATGGCATCCATGGACAAGTTGGACAAGGCTCGTTCGGTTGGCCCTTCGAGCTGGGAAGTTGCTTGCAGCCCTGATCTCCCCCGTCCTTTGTTGAATCGCAGAATGATCAAGCATGCAGATGGGGTGGCGCGAAGTGCTGCGGCAGGTCTATGGTGACTTGCAGGGCCTGCGTGAAATGATGGAGTCGTCTCAGGACGGGGGGGTATTAGGCATCTAATTGTCAAGAGTCGAGAGATTTGAAGCATGAGACAGCTGGGCAGCTTTTGAAATCCCGCTGCGCAGCGCAAAACAGCCCAAGCCGCTGCGGTAGCATCCGCAGCCAAGGCGTGCAGACTAGCCAGCCGCCCCAGTCGCCTGTTGTGACTCGATTCCTATCTCTGCCGGGCTTGACATTCTGGTGTGTTCTTTGCATCGGTATCCCCAAACCCGAAGCGACAAAACTTCAAACTACGACGAACCTGGAAACCTACTTACAAACCCCATAAATCCCAATCCAAAGAAAATTATGTCAAAGGAGTTCAAGCTGGCCATTGAGACTCCCGGGATCGAGCCGGAGAGCAAGGATCGCCCTCTTGCGCCAGGATGATTGTTCGTAAAAAGACCACACCACTATGAACGTTCGTGTTTCTGTAGTACTCATCTCTCTCGATTTGGGTGGTTTTATCAGTTGTTGTTCATATTCGGCGTGTTGCTGCTGCTATGCTTCTGTCATAAGTGAGACTAGGACTAGGATGCCCGCTGCTGTACCGAGTTCATGCAGCGCCAGGTGGCCGCCTTCGAGGCTGTCTGCAAGAAAGCCTCCATCGACGGTGCAGTCCTGAACTTCCTCAAGGCGGGAGGGACCATAGGGAATGCTGTGGAGAATAAGTTCATTTGAGCGGGCCTGCAAGAGATCCCACCTTATGGCCTTAATATAGGGGCCTAAGTAATTGATTTGGAGGTTCCTTATTGTAAGTAGCAAAATGGGCCCCAACACCGCTGTTCTAATTATTAAGGCCCTATATTATGGCTCTTTCGGGGACCCATGCCATTTCTGAAAGAACCCCACGTGAGTGGGCTGGTAGGTCTTGGTGGAAAACAAGCGGGCCCATCTGCTGTCCCGCATGATCGATATCTTTGAGGCCCAGCCGCAGTCCTGTCGTAATGGTTGCGGTGGTTGCCTCGATCCCGTTCTGAGCAACTAGCAGGTGGTTGATGGTTTTAAGTCAAGCACTGCTTGAGCAGGCGAACATGGCTGTCCGATTTTTGAAAGGGGAGGAACCTGATCTTGTCCTGATCTGCCGATCAGAACTTCTACCGCGCGGAGAAGAACTTGGTTCTCTGCAAGGCACGGCACTGGAAGCCAGACCCCGCTGTGAGCTGCTTCTTCTCAAGGCATCTTAGCTTGCCGTCTTGCGCTTCAGGTGACCTCTGCAGCTTCCCTGTCGGATGGCCAGAAAAAGCAGGCAAACAGCAGCTGCCAGTGGATCTGCGTGTGGTTCAACAAGACTATATATTCCACTGTGGCAGGTCGAGGCAGCTATGCAGAAACGGGCTGAGGGCAGTGGCCTCAGCGACATCAGCAACCGCTCGCTGAGCGGGAGTCTTGAATGGATGGATGCATGCATGCCTGGATGGAAGGATGGATGGATAGATTCGGATAGATTGGATGTTGTTAGGTGCCGCGCCGCTGACTAGCTCGCAGCTCCAAACTCTTTCGGTGTAATAGTTTTCGAATATGCTTGTTGTTTGTGTTATCTTTGTTGCTTTGTCGTGTTTTAGTTTTGTGCGATGCAACGTGCTTTCTCTGCCGGGAGGCCTCGCTCTGTGCCTTGCGCTCGCTCTATGTATTCGCGTGTATACACCGAGCAGGCATGCGCGAGGCAAGATGGTGCATACTTTTGAGGGATTGCTCGACTGTCTCTCACGACCGAGGCTCCAAGCTTATCATGGAGTATAACACCAATCCAGCATTGCACGCACCTTACGGAGCAGAGCAAAGTTGGGACACATTCAGTTGCAATGAAGACTCTCTGTAGCAGAGCGCTGGGAGAGATTCCAAGGCTTGGAGGCCTGGTCGTGAAAATGGACGAGGCATGTTGCACGTACTGCAGTGAGCATCCTCATCGTATCCCATACTATAACATTATAACATATACTAGAGTTTAGTGCATGTTGTACTACAACGTACTGCAGAGTCCTGTCTGCTGATTGCATGTAACCTGCGTCATTTTTCAGGCCGTGCTCGATAACTCGGTGTCCACACGCTTGGAGCGTTTGCAGACGCAGCTGCTGGCACCAGTGTAACTTCACCGCAAAAGCCGACAGCTGAGTTGCATTGCTGAAGGATGCTGCGCCTTTCTTCTACTGGCATTTCTGTGAGTTGCGAGGCAATGAATCACTTCCTACTGGCTTGAGCTGCTCAATTGGCCCCCTTTTTAGGTATGGCATATCGACATACGCGGCGGAGGAAAAAAGGGCGACATGGACAAGATGCAAACTGGTCAGTTTTCCAGCAACCGTTAGTTACCTTTTCCTTACATTTTCGCTTGTTCCATGTGCAGCATCGCTCTTGGCGCAGATCCTTTCTGAAGCTTCTCAGACGGAGCATAAAACTGAAAACGTCGGGCCGGCTGCTAGACATGAACGCAGACCGAAACGCAACCGTGAATAGACTCCCGCTACCAGCCTGCTTATGATGCCAGTAGTTTGAGTGCAGTGCTCCCGTAGTCGCGTAAACTTGCACCGAAGTGAAGCAGCACTGCAACAATCTCGGAAGCTCAGTTCAGGACGAAGTGCAGCGGCCCGTTTTATCAGAGGCTCTGTGATGGCATTGTGGTGGCCTCACCATGGCAACGGCAGCTTTGGGCGAGAGTGGTTTCCAAGGAGCGTTGAACGAAGACGGAGTATGTATGCAAAATATCGTACTAATAGCAAGACTAAATGACATCTCATAAGTAACGAGACAAAGGAGCATAATTATAGCGACCATCATAATCGTTTTTATACTACAACAAGTGTATGTGTCTACGCATATGTTTTTGCATGTCCGTGTATATTTTTATATACATGTACATAAGTTAATGTGTTTGTTCACATGCTTTGTGCATGGTTCCCGCTTCGGCCGGTTCGACAGGCCGTGGCCGAAGCCCTCCTCGCGCACCCGCGAAAGACGTGCCGTACCTGATCTGGGGGGCTTTTGGCGTTTTGGGGATATGCGGTTCGGGTTTGGGCGACCTGTTATGGTGTTTATGTGTGTGTGTGTGTTTTTGTTTTTGTTGCTTGCTGGAGTTGGGTGTTTGTGGCATTTGGGGTTTATGGTTTAGGATGTTTCCGGGCCACTTTGCTTTTGTGGATCCTTTCTGTGTCGCAGTTGCTCCCGCCTCGCTCAGGTTTCCGGCAATCTTCCGAGACCGTGCGGCCTTAGCGATGCGATTTTTGAGGTGCTTGCTGTTTGTTGTTTTTTGTGTGTGTTTTTGCGTGGTGAAGTTGTGGAAGCTTGAAGGACGGCAGTGGACGATGCGATGGGAGCAAAAGATGCTCGGTTTCAACCTTTCAGCTTCTGCCATGCAGCGGCCAAACCGAAACTCAGACTTCGACTACTCCTGCTTCTTGTCCGTTAAGCCTGAGGCCCCTTATACCTGAGCATCAACAGCAACTTTGTCCTTCCAACCGCTGACGACTTAGCTGGCTTCGCCAGCACGCCACTTGGCAGATCTGCCGGCCCTGCTCTTCAGAATTCACTTACGATGGTCACCACTCGGGTGTTGCCTCTTGCTCTCCTCTCTCCGCTGCTCTTACGGTTGGTGTGCCGCATGAGGAGAAGCCCTGGACGGCGACCTGCCTGGGTCTCAAACGGACAGTTTGCCCAGGCGAGTTCCTCTCATGCAGGCTGAATGTTCCATACTGACGGGACTAACCGTCCGCTGGCTGCAGGCAACCCTGGCCTGCCTGGAATCCGATCGCGAGGGACCTTTTTCCAGCGGCGATGGTGAGTCCAACTTTGGTCTCCCGGCCTCTTCGGCGGCAGAGAAGTCTGGCAACGACGAGGTCTCCCAAGAAGCCGTTTCCTTCCTTGCATTCTCCAGGCCGTGGTCTCACCTCGGAGCTCTCTGGGCCCGAGTGCTCGGACCCGGGCGCAGAGCCCGGGCCCGAACCCTCGTGGCTCGCGGCACGGCTCGGAGACCCTCTCGGAGATCGAGCCACTGCCACGCGTGGCGCGGCGCGGCTCCTCCGAGCCAAGGCCGAAGTCCTTCTTTGAAACGGAGAGAAGCGGCCCGAGATGTTTCGTCTTTGAGCACAGGCCGGGAGAGCTGCCAGACGCCGGTGCCCTGCCGCATCAAGAAGCCTTCAGCTGCCCAAGTTCTATAATACACTCTGATCTTCGACAGACCCTGCAATGCGCAGCAGGGACAATCAACGAAGCCAAGCCTGTGTTCCGCTTCTTGGTATGGTCGTTGTGCAAGGTTGTCAAGCTCGGGTACACGATGTTTGCACGGCGGCCGCTGCTGCCACCGTGGCTGCCAAGTCTGTTGCCGCGGCCGTTGAGAGGACGGACTACGACAACAAATGGCAATTTGAAACTCGCTTGCAAGGTGAGGTGTTGGCTTGTCGGTGTTGTTCTCGTGATTCTGCCCGCAACAGCGAAGTCGCTCGGAGATTACCGAGGCAGAGCCCAGCTTCTTTTCCTGGCTTTGTGATGAGCTGAACAGTCGCCCCGATGAGGCGCTCGCATGGGCGGGTGATAGGCAGTGATCGGCCACTCTCAATCTGACTTGTAGCCCTAGCCTTACTATAGCCCACTAGACGTTTGACCTCAAATTTAGTTTTGCTGTTGCTTGCTTTGTTTGTCTCGCTGCAGGAGCAGCTGCCTTATGTCCCTCGCAATCATCTGCTGGAGGTGGCGAAGGTACCGAGACAATTGGAGAGACCTGGCAAGCATGTACTTGGGAGAGATTCAGAGGGGCTCTTCTTGCTGCTGCAGCGGCTGGTTTTCTGCTTCTTTGAGGGGCCGGCGTAGTTGGAGCAGAGTTGCACTTTGGTGACCAAGGAAGCTGCTGCTGCTTGGGTTCCTGCTGTGTCTGGATATCTTGTTGCATGAGTTGAGCTTCACTCCGCTACAGGCTCGGACTTCGGGTTTCTGTGTGAACATAGGGGGCTCTGGTGCAACGACTGCTCTGCAGCGATACCTGCATGCATTTGCATCACTCTCCCGACGCCTCTGCTATGATTGCCTGCCCCGGCAGTCTTTTGACAGCCTTCAGCGAAAGGTGAATGTAGATCTTCAGTTGTCTATGTAAGATGCATATGTATATGCCTGTGTGTATGTATATGCCCAGGTGTATGTGCATGCGTATGTCTACGTGAGGCAGGCAGGCATGCATGGATGGATGGATGGATGGATGAATGGATGGTTATACGTATGTATGCATGCATGTATGTATGTATGTATTTATGTTCACGCCAAGACACATGTTTACCTGGCTTTGCGTACATCTGCACAGCTGCTAGTTGCAGCATGTGAGGGATATTCGTACATCTTTCGATACATTTTGGAGAGCATTAATGGCAGCATGGCAACATTTTTCCGTTTCTACAAGCAAGGCAAGATTCGCACTTCTTGTGGGGTACAGGGTTCCATCTTGTAAATGGGCCTCTTGTCGTGGCGTGGGTTGAACGTGCTTTGCTGGATGTATATACATATATATATATGTATGTATACATGTATATGTGTATTTATGTATGTGATATATATATATATATATATATATACATACATACATACACACACACACACACACACACATATATATATATATATATATATACATATAATCTAGCAAGAACGAGGACAGTGGAATAGGAACCTGAGTAACAACAGGGGCCTTGAACAGCAAAATTGAGAAGTACAACTTCAGGTTTAGGCTCGGGTTTAAGCGGTTTCCCAAAGCCTTCTGGGACAGTCGGCATAGGTCTCAGTGTCACCACAGACATCAGTTTCAACCCCGAACCCAAAACCCGAATCCCAAACCCCTAATTAGCCCTTCGGGCAGGTCTAAACCTTGGGCCGTAAACCCAACCCCAGCCCTAAACCTTGAACCGTAAATCTAGACCCTAAGCTACGCTCTACAGCCTAAGTCCTACTAAATTGGGGGCACTTGCCCATGTTTTCACGGTTGACGGCCCGGCGACGCAGATCAAAAGGAAGAGCTTTTCGTACTTCGTCACGCTGCGCATATTTTGCTTCCACTGCGGAAGTTCTCGAGGGCATGCGCTGTGGACGCGGAGTAGGCTGTTGGATTGTCCCAGCAACGGCAGGTGCTGCTGAAGACTCAAGAGACTGCGGGCACAGAGCGAGGATGCTAGTATTGACGAGCACCTCCGCCAGGATGCTCGTGAGATCTCGTGAGCTTGTAATGAAAAGGTGCTGCGGCTCAACAGCATTGCTGATGCTGGGAATCGGAGCCTTACACTGCCCGTGCTATGGCGCATTATGGGAGGTTTCGAGCACATTGGCTCCGTGATATGCGGCTTTGCATCCCTTTCTTCAGTTTTCGAGCATAGGAGGATTTTTCGGGCGTTTGCAACTGATGACAGGGTGATGCCACTTCTTGACGTCGAACCGCATCTACTCTAAGGACAGGTTGGGGTCCTGCAATTTTAATTCGAACCAAGTACATGTTTTGAAAACACATGTGCCTTGCATGTTTGGTCGGCTTTTGAAACGAGCATGTTGGGGCTTTAAAACGGTGTCACCGGAAACTCAAGTAAAGTGCAAATTTCCGAGCCGCCGGGCTGGTCTAGTCAAATATTCACGTTTATGAGTTTCATACACTCGCAGCATCAGTCTTGGTTTCAGGGTTGTGTGGCAAGTATTGTGACATTCCCAAGCAACGTGTTCGGCAGGGACCTGGGGAATCCTGCTTAATGTTGGGATGCCGCCACTAGATGCGATTCAATTCGCCGGTGCATCATCGTATTCCGTTGCATCTTTTTCATGTAGTTTGCATTTTGCATGAGATGCCATAACAGGCGGTCCGCTCGTGCACGCAGCTGATGCTCGGATTGCGGCAGTGGGGCTGCTGGGACCATCGAGGAGGCAACGGTTGAGGGCAGTGCAGGATCGTCTTTCATCCTTGCATATCCGTCATATCACTTTGTGAAGCACAGCCTGTGCACGAAAGTATCATGGGTTAATTTCAACCGGCCTGCACGCGCAGTTGCGCCATTCCGTTTGTTTGGTAATCTCACCAGCCACATGTCAGGCATTCAGGATCGTCCGCCAGCTGCTCCTGAGATGAAGGTTTGATGATAGTGGAGCTTGGGTTCACTATGCATGATTTGATCATTTGCCATCGCGCAACTTGCGCTGAGGCTTTGCTAAACCATGGCTCCAAAAATGTGATGCTGAACATCACAGAACAAGGCCTGATTTGTGGGGCCATGTGGGGCCCAGGGATGTTGATTCCATGCGCAGACGGCCGTCAGTTGCTCACGGGCTCCCTCTGAACCTTGGAGGATGTTAGGGTTACCTTTGGTTAGTAGGGAATGGAGGAATGGGGTACAATTATAACTACTATTACCACCATTCTTCCATTCCCTACTAACCAAAGGTAAGTAGAGGAGGAACCTTGGAACTTGGCCTTGCAGAAAACCCGGCGCAGAGCCAGAGGGTTGGCAAAGCTGGTGACTGGTGTTGGCCAGCACGAATTCTTCGGGGGAAAGTGAAAGTGCAAAATGGAAACCCAGAAGCACATGGAGGTGCACCGAATGGAGTGCACACCAAATGCCAAGTGCTCATAAGTTTCGTTGACGACATAGAATTTCATGGGTTTCAGGTGAGCTCGAGTGTTTGCATTCCGGATCCCGGGATGTCCCGGGTATGTGTTGGCTGTTGAGTTAATCCAGCTCATGGTCAGGTGATTGTATCCGCTTTTCTCTGCTGATCTTGCAGCTTGGTGTGCACAATCACGCCGTCTTCGAGAATCATATGTATGTGGCAGTGCCGAGGAATGTTACATTGATGCTGCTGCTGTTCGATGTCGCATGGACTCTTGCCCAGCTTCACTACACAACACATCCTGGATCTCAGTTGTTACAGTTGCTGAGTCTGGTGTTCCTATGCATACTCAGGATGTATCATTACATAGAAGGAGAATCATTCCTGAAATTGTATGTGCTGTTCAACATGTTGGATCCTCGGCAGCAGCCTCATGTTTCGCAGGATCAAGTTGCCTCTCATGGTGTCGAAAGTGCTTGCAAGCAAGGAAATGTTCGAACGTTGGTGCCGATCTGTCGGAGTGGACTTGTTCGATCTGCTCTTGGCGTCTATTCGGCATCCGTGGTACTCGTTACTTTCCAAGTACGGTGCGACTCTGCTTTACTGCTGCTCGCATGAACAAGAATTGGCCCTTCTGCAAAATGCAGGGATGCGAGATGTGTTGCTGGTTCATCGTCCTGGTTCCCGAAATGGACACTGCAAGAGAGTAAATGTGCAAGCTGGGGCAATGGAGCAGTGCAGAATATGAGGTTTCGTTCATGCGACTATCCATCTGGTTCGAGTGATCCTTCTGAATGTGGCGATCAATACTTCAAGCAATGCCGTATATCTTATCATTGTTTCTCGGATGCTTTCAGAAACAACGCCGTCCGCGCAGTAGCTTGGCCTCTGTGCTGGAATACATGCCCGGACTGCGCAACCAAGGTCACGAACAACTTTGCAGAGATCAAATCTACCGTGTTTAAGCGCTATGAAGAGAAAAGCCTTTTTCCAATAATTGCCAGTGATATCGTGGAACGCTTCTATGTGATGCTGGACATCATATTCGTGATAGCCAGATTGACTCCAAGTCGCAATGGCCAGGCGAGTCTGTGAATCAGGCTGCCCAGCATTTCCGGCATAAGTTCCTGCGAGGCATGTCAAACCTGCTCCAGCCTTTGGCCTGAGGAGTGTTTCCGAGCCTTCGGGGAAGTTCACAGCCGTTGACATCTCGTTCTGGCTGCTCGCAGCGTGAGTGATTCCGCACTGACATTCTGGTGCCCTATTGCCCACATCGTATTGACGATGGATGCGTTCAAGCATACTCTGTGAGGTTGCTGCTGCTTGTTGTGCTTGAGATCGGCACTGACTGGATCAAGTTCTGCTTGATCACGAAGTTCAGCGAGATGCAGGCTAAGACCTTCGAGGCGGTTCAGGGGGAGGGCTTTGCATTGCAAAATAACCTTTTAAGACGCAGCTCCGTTTAGTCTTCAGCCATCATGAAAGTCGGTGGTCCTCAGGTGTACTGGGAAGTGCTGCTTGCGGATATCTTGCTCTGCCGATGTGGCAAGCTGGGTAACAGCCAGGCGGGGGTCCGGTTTCCGCTATCATGCTTAAGCAAGTTCGTGAGTTCCGAGTGCCAAGCAAAGGTCGTTGGAAGTGGGGAAGATCTGCTACTCAAGGTGGGCACAAACAATCTCATTGGACTTCCCGTTGGCTGTGCCGCACAACTATGATCAAAAAATGTGCCGGTGAATTGATAGCAACCAGGTAACATCATGTTACAATATATAATATAGAACAATATAATATAGTATAATCAGTAATATAATATCATGTATATATATATATATATATCATTATATTCCATTCCATTCCGAGCATTCAGAGGAGTTCGCTGCTTAATTAGACATGAAAAGAGTCCACCTGAGTGGGCGGTGGCCCCTCAAAGACGGGAGTGCCGATGCAAGAAAAGCTGGGGCTGTTCAGCGCTTGCACCTAGAGCCAACTCCATGTCCAACTGCAAAATCCCCAGCGCAAGTCTCTGCAAGCGCTTTCAAGGGAACAGCACCATTTACATGACCATAAACTCATCGAGCGGAAAATATCATTATATATATATATATATATACATACATATATATATATATATATATCATTATATACATATGTATAATGTTCATCGTTCCCGATTGCTCGCTTGTTGACTCTCCCTGAAGGATGGCTCCTCGGCTCGGCACTGGCAGAAGTTCAGCACCCGTACGGGTGCTTTCTGCGAAGGGGAGAGCTTATACCCAATCACAGTGTGTGTGCTTTAACACATATACAGAGAAGCAAGGCATGCAGATGATTGCAAAGCCTCCCCAATCATGAGAAATAAAGGGTTTAGGGTTTAGGGTCTTAGAGGTTCAGAGCCGATCGCCATGAGGTGTTTCTGCGGTCGCCGCTTTGCTCTCAGACTTAACGAGTGGCCTCTAAGGACGGGAGCGACACCGGCCTGGAAGAGACAGGCTGGGAAGTCTTCATTGGGACCCTTAGGGGGGTTGGGGAGTGGGGTAGGGGGCCTTAATGCCCAGAGTAAGGACCTACCTCCCTCCTCCCACCCCCCTAAGGGTCCCAATGACTTCAAGTCCTTCAGCATTGTGACAATTGCCATGGTTGTCATGTCGCTGCAGAAGCAGTGGCAGCATTGGTGCCTGTACCGGTAGTACTACAAGTCGTAGTACCAATAACTGGCAGTATTTGCAGTACTCGAATTACTAGCAGCATAGGTAGCAGCAGCAGGACGAGAAGTACTAGCAGTCGGACTAGGAGTAGGTCTAGGAGTAGGGGTGAGCATCAGCAGTGGTACCTCTAGCGTGAGTACCATTGCGAGTACTTCTAGCTAGTTAAATAGTAAAAGTACACATAGCAGCAGAGCAGCAGCATGAATCCACCAGTCATGTGGCAAGCAAGCAGCATTCTCCTTGGATGCACGTGCTTCGACCGGCCAGGCCGGCGCCGCCGTTCCGAGGCATCCACTCCTTCAGCCACTCCTTGCAGCGACGGCTCGGCTTCAGCGGCGTGCCAATGACAGCTCTGCAATTCCCAAGCATGTAAGAATGCAGCGATAATGATATGCAGCATGGGTCATCACATCATGTGTGGTTCTTGCTGCTCGAAGCCAGTATCCTCATCGGATCTTATTGGAAGGAAAGAATTCTCGGAAGCCTTTGCACCGCTGAGCCGCATCTTGAGTTCGTTGCTCTGCAGGACAACAATTGTAGCTTTGCACCTCGTTATGCTGGCGAATGCGCCCTGCACAGCGGCTGCACAGTATCCCCGAATTTCGGCCGCTTCGTTGCAGCTGGCTGAACGTACGTGGGCCCGTGGCTGGGGAAGTCGTTCTGTGTCCACACAGGCATGAGCCTGTATTGCTGCCAGTCTGAGCTGTCCAGGTCATGGTGTTTGTCGTTGGCTTCTTCCTGGTTTGCATCCTGTCGACCCTCGTCCAGCAACGAAGTTGGCACCACAGTGCAGACGAGCGCAGTTGACGGAGCAAAGTATTTTCAACTCAGGAAGATTCTTCTTGGCCGAGCACTTAGCTCAAGACTAATACGGAGCCTGCCCAGAAAGCTGCTAAAGAGGACGACCAACCTCATACAGGTCGTGCGAGTGGAGGGTAAGTCTGCAGGCATCTTCCTCGTGGGCTTCGCAGCGCGACGGCGCAGCCGAATTCCGCGAGGCCTGGAGTTGGAGCTGAGTGTTAGCCAACCGTCCACCTCGGTCAAGGGAAGCTGATCCTGCATCGGCCCGTGTAGGGAGGGCTTGTGAAGACTTCATCCCTTGCAGTAGAGACAGCGGACCGCTGCATTTGCCTGGCATCCTCCGGTTATCTCCCGTAGGAGTAGCCAGTGTGACGATGATGTGTCCGAAGGTTTGGAGCTTTTCCCGAAGATCAAGTCACTATGAGCGGCAGCGGGCCATAAGTTTCGGGCTAAGGGAGATCTACTCAATCTGCCTCGTTTTGCTTCGTAGCTGCGCATCAAGCTGATTTAGGACATGTCGAATTGGTTGACAGAGTTTTCAGCGATCTCCAGCCCTTTGATGATTGCTGTGCATGTTTGAGCCGTCCATGGCACCTGTGCCAGCATCAGGTGACTTCGTTGCAATCGACTGCTTCGTGCATCTTTGTCCATCGTGTGCTGGATCTTGCGGTCAAGGGACCCAAATCCTGCCGTCTCGTCAAACATCGTATAGACGTCGCTACTCACGGAGAAGACTTCGACAGGCTGTTTTTTGGCATCGAAACCGTTTCACCGTAGATCATAGAGACCTGGACTTCAGGAATTCTGGTGGCGTCCAAGATGTGGGCACACACACACACACAAGAAGATGCTGTGTCTAGCTTGTTTCGTGCAGAGTATACATGGCTTGTGAATATAATAGTTAGTTTGTGCGTGGATGTGGTTGTTAGTGCTTGGGGCGGCTGGCTGGTCACTTGTTCCTGAAGTTAGTGCTACGTATTGCTACATGCCGTTTCAGCAGGCAGCATATATCAAACTGTGAATGCTGATGTTGTTGTATTCATGCAAACATGCCATTGCCGGCCGGACTAGGCTCTCGTGATCAGGCAGTGTCGTACTGGATTATCGCAGGTGCAGAATCGTGTGGTCTACTTGCTTTGTGGACATGCTGCATGCTGTAATAGTTACATGAAGATGGCATGGCATCAGCCGTTTGGATGGCTCGTACTCATTGCCATCACCATAAGATGATCATCATGGACCGGTATGACTACTGCTGTCATGAGTAACTGTTGCCATTGCTGTTTTATAAGTGGAACGAGTAGAACGCTTTGTCCATGCATTCATGGTCAATGTTGCCCTGGTCTTGGTACAAACCTGCACATTGACAGTTAGCACGATAGCAACTACCGCCTGGTACCAGGTTAATAGAAGGTCGTTGCTGGCATTGTTTGATTGTTTGCTGCTGCTTCTGAGCCGTTGGATATAACGTTATTTCTTTGCTTGCTGCTGTCTTGCCTTGCTGCATCAGTGCCTTTGTCTCTGGTCCTTCCTGTCGGCTCGCAGCAAGCAGCGACCTTCTTGCCTTCGGCCCTTGTTTGGGCTTCGACATCGTCACCGCCCGAGTTAAGCTGGGATCGACGAGTGTGGCTCACTATTTGTTTTCCTATGCTGGCCGGAAGTTTTTCGTGCGGTGGCCATGCACGAGGGACGAGAGAATCGATTGGGCCTGAGGTCATCATGGACTCCATGTTTGCCTTGACGTTAAGTGCCCCGCTCTCTTCACTCTCGCCGCGCTCCCCAGCGAGCCCGACAAGTTTCGAAGTTCTCGTCGCTGTGAATGCGCAAGCCCAGCGTCCCGCAAGTCTCGTCCCGTGCCAGGTCGTGCGGACTCAGCAGGCCAGGCCCTCGGGCTGGCGCTGCACAGCACTTGCCATCGCAAACACAGAGGCACACAAAGAGAGAGAGCAGACTTTCAAGTCAAGGAACGGCGGAACCGGCGGAAGCGGATCGAATGGCGGCGGCGGTAATGTCACTTGGTACCATATAACTTTTGCAGCCGCCAGCGTACTTCCTTGTACGAGTGGTTCGACGGCCAAAATTGCCATGTCAGGTGTCCCGGCACTGTGTGGTCTGAAATGAGATCGATCCCAAGACAGGAACCGCGTCGGGGCTCGCACAAGCGATGGTTCAAGTTAAAGACAGGCTTTTCTTGACACCCGCTCCAGCTTGGAGTCATTGCTAGGCATTTGTGTAGGGTCTTGGTTAGATTCGGCTAGCTAGACTGAAGGGTAAGACTATTTTGCAACACTTCAGCTAATTGTATTTCTCTGCTTGGGATGCCAACTTCCGGCCAGTCGTAAGCAAGACACGACTGCATGGTGCTTCGTTTGCTTATGTGCGCAGTGCGTCGGAAAGGACATGCCCGTAACATCATACTGCAGGCCTCAGCCTGAAGCTTTCGTTTGACCCTCACTTCATTTCTCTTCCCTCCTGTGTAGCTGCCGCGGGGCTTGTTGCGGGCGAGTGGGCCGTGCCTCTACAGACACTAAAGGTCGGTGGGGTCACTCCATTGGGGCATGCAGCTCTTTCCTGCGTTCCCCGTGGAGGTGCTTGGACCAGAGTCGTTGCTGTGAGACTTGTATCATGTTGGGGAACTCCTCTGACTAGAAGCACATGTACACACTCGGCATTGAAATATGTGCAGCGAGCTTTCACAGTTCTCTTCGACCGGTGTAAAGTAGCACCTTAAGCCCCAAACCCTAAAACCCGAAACCTAAAACCCGAAACACCAAAACCCTAAACCCCAAAAACCTTAAACCCTAAATGGCCCTAAAGTAGCACCTTAAGCCCAAGACTCGCCGGAGTAAGAGCACTTTGAAGCCCGGCAGACAGGAGCGACAGTTTCTACTGCAGCTACAGGCCCCCGATCGCTCATCGACGCAGTTCATGCAAGAAATCTTGGCACAATAAAACCTGCAGTAGTGGATCTTATAGTACCCTTTAAGGAGGACCCTACTATCGAATCCCATACTACCCTTTAAGGCCTTTGAGGGGGTGTTTCGGGAGAAGGTTGCTCATGGACGTGGATACAAGCAGAGATTCTCGTGCTACAGTTGCACTGGTCTTGCTGAGCACGCATGGAGCTTGATGCACAGGTGAGGCTCCTGCTAGCGTAGATCATCGTCTTCATCATCGTCATTGTGCACATGTGTGTGTGTGTGCGTACATATACATATATATATATATACACATACACATCTATTTATTCATGTAAACTTGTTTGTTGAGAAATATGTATACACGTACGCACTGTGCCAAGTCTTTCATACAGCATATTGCTGAGACACGCTCGACTTTTCAAGCTTCGCACATACAAAGTTGTCGTGTGAATTTGGATGGATTTGCTGCTACATTTGCCGTGTATAGTCGCACCAGCAGGTGCTCAATCAGCCAACCAATCTCTGCAACAATCACAAGTAGCATAAGTTAGCATGAGATACCGTGAGCCACAGTCAATAGCCCTTCGAGAATGATACATTCGTCAATGCCACTTGTAGGCGCGGATATTGGGAGGCAGCCCATTAAACCTCTGACTCTCTGTGTGAGACTTTAGCGAGGCCTACAGCGCATTCAATTGTGAAAAAAGACAAGAAAACGGCTGAAGACACTTAATCGGTTACTCTCAGTTTCCTGGGTTGGAGTTGGTCTCACCAAAGCCGCTCCAGAGTGCAAAGTAGTAAGTACGATGCAATGATCGCTCAGTGGCCGAAACCTTTGCATTGGGAAGCTGCCAGCGAAAACGCACCCAGCCAAATTGATTCATGGTTGCTTTTGTAGCGCTACAGACTACAATACCGTATTCGCCAGGCCCTGCTCAAGCAGTTGGACCCCTCAGCGCGGCGCCGGGTCATCACAGAGCGGCTCACTCAGGCGATGAGCATGGCTTCAGGGCTTAGGTTTTCTTGGGGTTTCACGGTTCCATGGTGTTTTGTTTGTGCACGAACTGGCTCTAACTACGAGCTACTGGGCGCAAGTTGAACATTCCTCACAACGGCAAGCATGCAGCTGCATGATTGTCTGGAGAGCTCAGTGGGTCAATTGGTGTTTGCACGATGCCGCAGGTTGAAAGATCCGGGCAGTTCCTCTCGCTGGGTTTCATAGTGTAACTGTATTGGCACAGGAGCTGCATGTCAAAGCAATTCCGAGCAGGCACAGCGTCTGGCGTTGGAACGCTACATGCTGACGGCGCAGAAATGCCGTGTTGCAGCCTTTGACAAGACAGGGTCGCAGTTCACGGAGTTCGACACCTGTTTGCGGAGAGAGACTGAGGCTGCCAGGCTGGCCGGCGCAGTGGACCTAGCATTTGAGAGTTGACTTATGCAAGCATTGTATGCCTGCTGTGCTTATGCACAGCTGTGCAAAGCCAAGGCTCGGAAGAAGGTCCTCAAAGCGACCACTCGAGGACTCTAAGCTTTGTTTTCCGGCTTTATTATCTGATTTCAACTTCGTCGTTTCTATGCCATTAAAGCTCGCGCGGCCGTGGTGAATCGATGCCCCGCGTGTCGAAGGACGCGCGCGCAAGCTCCGGTTTGCAAGGCCAGCCTTCATTGAGGCCGCCAAGGACCATGAAATGCTCCCTCGGCAGAGGTCGCTACACATCGGGTTCTCGCCAGGACAATCCAAGAGATGATGCCAGTGAAGGCCGCGATCTGAGATCATCTGAGAAATCTGGCACGGTCTTAAAGTTTCCAGATGCTGGACCCAGTGATAGGTTCGCATCCACAACTCCCTCCGAATGGCCGCAAAGCGTGCGTCCACTTGGGCGGGAAACCCGGAGCAGTCATAGCTGGGAGATAGCCCATTTAACGTCAATGGCGGACCATTTCTGTTCGCAGGTCGAGGGTTCTATGCGCACTGCAAGCTCGACGCATCTGCACATGAGGCCGGCAGCAAGCACTTAAACGCGGGCAGCATCGGAGATGCGTGCACCATCATGATTGCAGGTGTCCGCATGAGTATTTGCAGTTTACAAGAAGAGCCAAGAAGAGTCACCTTCGGCATCTTGCTCTTGGCTCAAGCCCTCCTTGGGTTTGAACCAACTGGCTCTAGAGACCAGTGTAGAGAGCGGCTGGAGGTCTCGTATTCCCACAGCCCATCGAGGTTGGGAGCGTCCTTTTCCACTTCCGCCGGCTCAACTTGCTTGTCTCGACCACTGGTTCTGGCACTTCTGTTATAACGTTATAGTTGCTGAACACCTTACGGGCCAAATTACTGTTGTTGCTGCTGGTAGAGACAACATCCGCAGGCAGGCTTGGTTTTGCTCTTTCACCTTAAAGCCTGCCTGCTGCGGTGCTGTAGTCCTTGGGCATGACAATCACCTCGGAGATGTGGCAGAAGCCCCGCGAGCTTCCCGGCGTGAAATCGCGGAAGCGTCCGATTTTTGAGATTTCCTTCGGCTCTTTGGATGTGGCCGATGCTGGTGCCGCTGGCGTGCATCGCGTCTCAGGCCCGGCTCCCAGGAAGTCCGCGCACTTCGAGACTTGTCCACGAGCTGCTTCTAGGCGCCGCTTCTTTGGTTTTGTTGCCGAGGTCTAAAGCTGACGCTCGAGAGCCGTGTGGCCACCTTGGGGCCTGGTGGGCAGATTGCATTGCAGCTGCTGCTTGGCCAGCTGGCTCTGAAGAGTGGCAAGGCACAACCTGCATGTGGCTGAGGGTCGGACTCCATGCGCGCGACTCATAGAAAAGACCGAAGTTTCAGATATCGTGTTCTGACAGGATTTACAGGGCGATATGTATAGAGACTGATAGAGAGATGAGCAGCAGGTGACTTCTTACAGCTTGCCTCGGCTTGGGTTTACCGATTTAATGTGTCAGGGTGAGTTGAATGAGTTGGATCAGACTATCCACTGTAAACACAGAGACCAAAAGACGGCAAACTTTGCCGTAGTTGTCCTGATCGTCGTTACGACCGGTGACCAAACGTCGTAGTAATGTGCGGATCTCTCAAGATGCTCGCACAGGTTCAGCGGCACGAGGCCCTGGACGTTTGCCGCCTCGGTGCAGACCTCTTGGCTGAAGCTCCGAAGGAGCCATCGGAGTCTTAGTAGCTGAGTGGATACACTTTACACTTTTTGGGATAATATTACCCACTATGAAACTAAAAGTGTACACTTTTTGTGGCTTCTGAACTCAGCAACTAAGGAGTACTTCATGGCAGCTGCAAAGGAGCTGAACGAGCGAAGGCCAGACGACCTTGGCTTCCGGGGCGTATTGCGCTTTCTTTGTCTACCCCCGCTCTCTCTCTCTCTCTCTCTCTACGTGTGCGGGAGCGTGCATGTACTTTATGTACTTGTCTGTCAAGCGGTATATCATATGTATAGTTATATATATATATATATATATAGACGGAACTATCCATCTGCATACATAAATACATATATGTATGTATATATGTATATGTGACACTGTTCGTGATCACTGATCACTCTCCTTGAGCGTGACGTTTTTGTGGGGGCTGAGGCCTCAGGTGGTGGTGCTGGAACTGGGTGGATGCCCCTCATGGGAGACGGCTTCCACGCACCTCCTCGAGGCCTCGCGAAGTTGCGCGGCATTTTGCGATCTTCGGAGTGGCTGAATCTGAAAGTCTGAAGGCTCTGCGTGGATTCCATGGTGCTGTGGTCATTGCGACAGAAGAGGTCCACTTCCAAGCCACAGTTTGCTGAGCGTCTCGATGCTTGTCTTTTCTGGTGTTTGCAGGAGACGGATTTGGTGAAGTCTATGTGTCCTGTCTGCTGGCGCAATTCAGCTGGCTGGCTTTGGCAGGACGTTGGTGGGTTGAGATTTCGGACCAGAGTCTTTCCAGGCAGAACTGTCGTCCTGATTGATTTTGCTGCTGTTGCGGTCTACAGTATCTAGTCCGAGTCCGGTGTGTAGTTCCTCACACGGATCCTCACAACAGGCAGTGTTCCTAAAAATTGCCTACAAGAAGAAAGGCCACTCTCGCAACTTCCAGAGTCCAGAGCTGCAGCGATCAGAGCCATCCAGAGTCTTGCAGCTCCCGCAAGGAATCGCAAGTTGACACATCGTTCTTGATCCCGAAAGTCGCCGACTAACACCATTAGAACTGGCCCTGAACTTCAGGGGCATGAAGGTCCGCCTTCATCTCAACAAGCCGATCATTCTCATCTCGAAAGGTTGTTACTTGACCTTCCAGAGCATGTGGCAGATGCGGGTCACTCCGAATCACAAAGCTTCCAAAAGGTACCGGACTGGAGCTGTCAAGAAACGTCGGTCTCAAGCGCATACTGTAGCTGAAATCCTCAACACTTAAGTCGGTGCCCCGTGCAACTTCTGCCCGATGGACTCAGATCAAATTCATGCAAGTTCTGAGTGGCTGAGGGCTGAGGCAATGAAACTCTACGACAGTAGAAGCTCGTCGCAACATGTCCTTGCTCGCAAAGGCGCTCCAAAGCGAAAGAAGTGCACAAGAGTCCACTGGCCAATACTTAGATGAAGCAGGAAGTGGATCAGGGGCAAAGGCGAACAATCAATGTCCAGGTGGTTGTGCGTCTGCTTGCTGCAGCACGAACACCTCAGACTGACCTCAGAACCAAAAGAAAAGTGCTGGGTCTTGGGGATGCACCCAACAATTATCAGGAGACTCCAGCTCCCAGCAGTCCCTTATGGTTCAGCGCGCTTCACACGCGATGTCATAGCTTGCTTGCAGGAGCCGCTGAAGCAAGACCTGATTGTCTTGGACGATATCAAGCGGCTTGCCGGACTTCTTCTGCAGAGTGTTTGTGAGTGCTTCTTCTGCTCCGTCCGGGCCTAAACCCTGCAACTTTAATACTTGTAGCATGGCGAGGCCAGAGGATGCTGACGAAGAGGTCACCGCCATGTTGCAGGAGGTTCGCACACTCTCCAAAGAGGCCTTCTTTGGCGAGGATAGCATCCAAAAAGCCGCTGATCGAGGCACGGCTCCAAAGCTCCCGTTGAAAAGCATGCGCTCTGTATTGCATAGGTATATGTACTGTATATACATATATATACATATATATATATATATATTATTATTATTATTATTATTATTATTATTATTATTATTATTATTATTATTATTATTATATATTCATACGTATACACACATGTGTATGTATGTATGTATGTATGTATATATATATATATATATATATATGATTCCGGTTATCGGTTCGCCGCCGCCCCCCCCCCCCCCCCCCCCCATGGTAGCCCCCCATCCCCCCTCCCCAAGCCGCACCTGCGCGACTGTGCACACTTTTTTGCACACTTTTTCCATACTAGGGCTCCAAAACCGACAACTGTCAACTGTCACGAGGAGCGTCTCAAAGACGCCCGATCTTTGTGACAGCGCACATCTTTCAAGCACGTCTCTCACACGAAGGCACCAAAACCGACAATGCAAGAGGATCGCGTCCCAAAACACGCCCGATCCTCGGGACTGTGGCAAAGACGAGTCCGACATGAGGACAAGCCTGTTATGGTCCGATCCCCGTGACAGTTAAAACATTGCAACCTTGCGGCAAGTGCCCCGCTGCGACAACTGGTACAAAGATCATGGCCATACGATCAATAAAGCGATAATCCTTACCAGGGGCAAAGGACGCCCGACAACCAACCCAGCAGACACCAAGATGATTGTGATGATGATAATACCGTCGATACCGTCATCATCACTATCATCTTGAAGATGTGCATGCCAAGCACCCCAAGCAGGGCCACACACGCAAGGGGCAACCACTGCAAGAAAACCCGAACCCACACCATGCCACAGGGGGGAGGGTGGGAACCACCCAAAGCAGACCCACGCCCGAACCACACCACACCACAGGGAGGGGGGAAACCCACAACCACACCACACCACAAAGGGGGGAGTGGGAACCATTGGGGGGGGGGGGGGGGGGCGGCCGAACCGGGATCATATAAATAAGAAAAAATTATATATATATATATATATATATATATATATATATATATTGGAACCCCGGCAGGCTGGACGCTTTCCTTGCTGGTGGATGTCGAATCCGAGCCGAAGCGCTTTTGCGGTTTCATCTGCTCCCAGGTGACACTTTGGGAAACTTAGGGTTTGGCCGAGGGTTTCGGGTAGTCCCTTTGTGGCTCCTATGAAGTTACGTCTTTAGAAATGTGGCCCCAACACTACAACCTAGGCTATGATCTCAGCGCCAAGAGCGCCGAGTTCCATGTCGCGAGGATCGCTGTGGTTGCCAGGCGCTGGCTCATTTTTTCTGTCATGGTCTGACACTTGGGAGCTAGAGCCTCTAGCTCTGTGATTTCTGGGGCATGTCTTCCCGCCCATGATTGAGTCAGCCTGTGTTTCGCGCCCCCACATGAAGCGTTATGCCCGTAGTCTGTCAGGAGCCGTGGAAAGGGATATGGAAAGCACTTCATGCAGTGGATGCTTCGGAAGTGTGCCTTGTTGCCGCGAACACAATGCGCATGGAATCTTGCTTGCAGAAATGCAAGATTCGTCTGTACTCGAAGAGGCTGCACATGCAAGCTCCGGGTCAGTGCTCAACGAAGGATCTCTCTAAGCGCTTTGGACGAAGCCGTGTCCTTCTACGAACACTTCGGATTCACGGACATGACATGCCGCTTTTATGATTTCGACGTTCAGATCGAACCACGATTCACTACGACGTTTGTCATTGCTTGTGGCGGTAAACCATGTCGGACATTTCCCAGGCGATGACATCGATGATGATGAACACATCCAGACGCACTTTGGCTGCAAGTGTCATTTCTGTTGGATGCTGTTTGCTGCTCGATGTGCGCCGATACCTGGGCTGTCCAAGACACTACGAACAAGCTTGCCACTAGGTGGATGGAGCTGAAAAACATCTCAGCACCTTGGCGGTGCTAACTGTTTGCCGTGGAGCACCCGAACCCTCAAATGCCTCGCACGTTCAGCCACTGGCTCTACAAGTTGACAAGAAGGCGAAGGCAGCAGGACTTTCTTGTGAGAGCTCTCAACTACCAGGTAGCTCCTGATGAGCCTGACACGTCGGATGATGAATGAGGACAGAGACTCTGTGTGGCGCATGTTGTGAGAATGTGTGTGTGTGTGTGTGTGTAACATGTGCAACTGTTTGTTAGGATGATGCTGTTTCGTGTGCGTATTCACCTTTGGCCGCATTTATGCTAGCAAGCGAGGTTCTTTGCAAAGGGCAAACATGTGCATGTTGAAGTAACCCGGCACAAATCAGATGTTTGTCTTTGGAGGGGTGTGCAGACCGTAGTCGCACTCGCCAGACCTGCCCGGACGAGGGACGATTTTGGATGTCCCGAGCATACACGTCGTTCTCCAAATCAGGACCCGCTTTGGAGACCTTTCCATAGGTGTGCCGAACTATTCTTGGGACCCACAAGGGACACTGATTTAGTGACCTTCCCATATCCGTATCCCTTCTTCGATGTTTCTCAGGCTGCAGCTCCCGAACGCTGCTGAGGCTCGGAGCGGGCTCTGACCAGTCGGTCATGCCTCTTGCGCAGCCAGGTTTTGCAAAGAACGGCACGCGGGGGGTTGTTCTGAACCACGGTTCAGATTAGGAACATGAGGTACTACACGAAAGGCACTTCTTCGCTAGCTGAGGAAAGATCCAGAAAATCTTGGAAGTTCCAGCAACACTAAGGAAAGCCATGAAAAACAATGACCCTAAAAGAAAAGCTATCAAAAATGCAAAAGTACTGCATCCATCATTCTTGCCTCCATATCTCCGAGCACACATTGCACTTTGACTTCCCACAAAGCAAAGCACTTCCTCCACTCTCGCCATTGACTCTTTGGGGGCCTCCCGATCTCAATGTTCAGGTTGCCATGAAAGCCTAGAAAAAGCTAGGAAAATCTAGTGAAAGCCAAAACACAATAGAGGAAACAAGACAAAGCACAAAAAAAATTCAAACAAAATAGCAAGCAAACTAGACATCGGACTATTATTACTTTAGAAAGGCTTACCCAGGTTTTCAGGAAGAGAAACATGAGTGTTTATAGTAGGAGTTCGCAACGCTGTGGACCAGCAGCGACGCAACTCCAGAAGAACCCCCCCCCGTGGCCACCTGGCAGCTTTGTGCTGAGAGTGTCTGCATTTTCCGGGCACTTGGTCTGAATCGCAGCAGACTGCCGTGAATGCAGCTGCGATTGTACAGGGTGCAGTCACGCTTGCACGAGCGTCTCTCAGCCAGTTTCCTGCCGGACGTAAAGGGCTGAGGGTGCTCACAAATGGGGCACTATATTACACCAAACAGAGTGATAGAGTGACACGCTTTTCAGGCTTCATAATGTGAGAAGCTTCGTTACGAGCTACGTAATGTTGGCCAGGGTCAATGTGGTCCAGACTTGGGAAGTTCCAATGATTTTCTGAACTGGCTTGGCCGAGTTCCGTTTGCGTTGGTGCGCTAGCGTTGTTCCAATGGTCCGCTACTCGCACAGTTTTCAGCCCACGGGTCTGTCGGACTCTTGGTTGAATCCTTTGCAAGACTCTGCACCGAATCGGGTGCATGCATGTGCTCTGTACAGCATCTGTTTGCAGTAGAAAGAGCTGCGTGCTGAGGAGGCCTCTATCTCCTTCTGATCATCACGCGATACGCCTAGAGGATTTTCTCACAGTGCAGGCGTTCTGCAGCTTGGGAGACGTGGCTCTCCAGTTGGCAGTCGCCTTGGCATCAGGGCCGTGCGGTGGCCTGTCATACTTGGTTCCTGAGGCGGGTCAAAGCTTGCGCCAGTGCCTTAGTCTTTGGCTGCATTGTCAAAGCTGCTTTTCCCAAACCGTGTTGTGCACTCATTCTGGGGTTGTTCGCGTCAAGAGAACTGGTACTGCTGTGGCGTCGTGGTCGTTGTCGTCGTGGTCGCGGTGATCAATCAGGTGGTCTCCTGGGTTGTTTTTCGGGGGTTTCGCGCTGGCCTCCTGGTTGTCTGTTGGGGGTCGGCTTCTTGTGAGTTTGAGGTCTTTGGTGGTTTCCAGATGGTCTTTTGGGGTCTCCGACTGGTCGTAGTGGACGTGGTCGTCGTGATCGTCATGGTCGTCGTGGTCATCAATCACTGTTTGGATTTTTGGTCGCTGGGCTATTTGCAGACACCCCAGCGCGACAGTGACACATGACGAGGTCAAGGCGAGTTTGAGGCAGCTGTCACCGCAGCCGTTGCCAAGGCCCCGCTGTCGCCAGCAGCACCGTCCCGAATTAGCGTCAAGAAGAGTGGTGATCATGGGCAGCACGTCATGACAAGAGTCTCAGCCCCAACCCACAGTCTGGGAGAGATTCAGCGCTGACCTCTATGTCCACTAGACCAACGAAGAGCAGACAAGAGACGAAATCCCTGCGCCCTCTGCGAGGCTGAGGAAACCGTCGCACACCTAAGGCTGCTCTTTCGGACGCCCGGAACCTGGAGCGGGCTCCGCTTTTTGAGTTCAAGCCCGAAGACACCACGGAGACAACAAACTTCTCAAGCTTTCCGTCTCGTCTGTTTGTTGACGTCTATGTGCATGGGGTGATGATCTGAAAGTGTCGCACAGCCTCCCGTAACCCGTGCTTGACCACCCATTTTGTTTCCTCAAGTGACCCGGGTGGGAGGCGAATAACGTTTTCGCGGGCTGCACGACTGTCTACCCCGCTTCGAGGCAGGCCATGGTCCAAGAATCCAATTCTTCCCGTTATAGTAGATTCTGTAGTATTCTGTACTACTGTATCTATATTCCATATTAGTTATTTTCTTTCTGTACATAATATAGCATCTCTATATTATATGTATGTGGGCAGTGGTCAAAATACCTTGTCGCGAAGTTTATACAAAACAACCTATTTGATTGTTGGGGTCTGCATTTTGATTTACAACAAGAGGTGTCACGCAACTAGGGCTCGTTAATCCCCTTGTTGGCGCTAGGACAGCGCTAGCCTGTCGCTAGGGATCTAGATAACAAGTGGTTCGTGATATATTTAATGACTAGCTTAGAGTATATAAGAATTAAGCCTGGACACCTTTTACTCCTCTACTCCTATCCCGAATTGCTCCTACTCGTACTCTGAACTCTCCCACTCTGCTCCTGCTCCCACTCCCGCTCCCGCTCCTACTGCTGTTATTGCCACAGCAACTGCTACCGCTCCTGCTGCTGCTGCTGCGGCTGCTGCTATCAGCGTTTAACCTCCTGCGAGCTGCGCGCATTGCTTGAAGAAGCTTCTTGCCTCGCACGTAACAGCGTTCTTTTCATTCGCATAAGCATCATGTATCAGTGCAATCACAGCTGAGCCGCAAAATGTGTGATAACATGGGCAATCCGCGCTAGGCGCGCGCTAGGAAACGTTTCACTTCTGATGCTTGGCCCATCCTTCTCATCTACACTATAGTCTACTGAACCATGTTGACGTCAGCTGAGCTCCAACCCCTGCGACATGTTGGCCGTGACGCCTACTATATTATGTACTTCAAGGCACATGGCAAGGATGATTGGCTCGTGTGGGCAGCCAAGGAGGTTAAAGGTGCGAATGCGCACATATGCGCACGAAGGAGCTCACCGCTTGGAAAGGGAACGTGTGCAATAGAGCGTGCTTCGTGAAATTGTGCTTACTTCCTGCTCCTTTGCTTCACGGGTCGGAAGTCTTTCCGAAATTCCAATCATCATAATTTGCCTTGGGCCAGCCTTCCACACCCCACACATGTGGCCTGCGCTAGCAACACTTAAGAGATTTGCAATCGAGAAGTCAAAACGTGGAATTCTGTAGCAGTAGTGTTTCTCTCTTCCACAAGAGGCGTCACGCAACTACTGCCGCAATTAGGTCAACCTCAGGAACAATAATATTGAACAGCGCCCATGTATAATATATACATATATATATATATATATATCATGTATTGTGAAGATGCATGATGATGCATGGTCTCTTCGGGGCTGAACCGACGTGAAGGGCGAAGCGAAAGCTTTCCGCTGGGCTCGACAGGCTTTGCCGGCTTTGCCATTCGAAGTGTTCCCGCTAACCTTCGGAACCATATTGGCAGGGCCGGGATAGGGGAAACCAGATCAGATCATACTTTAGGTTTCGACTTTCGACGGACCCCCTGATTGTCAAGATTCCTGGGGTAGTCCTTTTCTGCTTCTCTGCATGCTTCGCGAAGTGCTTTCTGGTAATGATCCTGGAATGGCCAATCAAAGTATAAATTCCACATGGTTCAACGATGACGCAGGAAATCTCGCTGCTGCGCTGGAAGACTGGCACGCTGTTCGAAGCGCCCGTGGCGAGGCAGTCGCCGGGTCTTCGGTGAAGATGAGTACCGAAAGTGGTAATGCTCATGGTTGTAACCATGGCTGTGACGGCGAAGATTACAGGATGATGGTGACGATGGAGTAGCTAAATGCCAGCTGTAAGTGGCACAAAGTTTCATCCCAACGGTCGAAATTCGACTTGTCCTTGTTATTGATATTGTGTTCAACGGTAGGCGTGTCGGCACCAGTAGGTTCGGTTAATTGAACATGTCTTACGACTACGATACAGGAAGATACATTTCAGGTGTGCTTCTGCCAAAATGAAGGGAAGCCGGGCTTCGCTACCTGTCTTATCCTGCGCCAAAACAGCAGAAGTTGAGGAGTCGAAGTCAGTGTGAGGCTCGTGCTGATCGGCTACAGCGCCACGAGATGGCGGCGGTCTGGAGGCAGACGAAGCTGACGGCAGCCAGTGAGCTCGGAGTTCTAAAGATTCTAATGCTGCACTTGACCAGCAGATGTTGCCCTGGAAGCTCAACGTAGAACCCTGACCCGCTTGAATGAGAATGGCATCCAACAAGGCAGCTTGGTCCGTTGCGTTTTGCTGCTAAACCCCGCACCGCAGCCATGGCGTGCAAGCGTTGGTCAGCCTGTGCAAGGATATCGACACCGGGTGGACGCTTGTAGTTTCGGGCCATGGCTGAAGTAGCTCCCTTGATCCGGTCCCTGCGGGTGTCCGCACGGCTGGCTCGCAAGTCAAAGCCGAAGGCGAGGGCCTCGCGGGTTAGTGCCACGAGGGCTTCCAAAGCCAGCTTGGCGCTGGTCCCGGTGGAGCAGCACGCTCTTCTGCAGGATGTGGGGCCCCCGGAAGACACTGCATGCGTTGCAAGTTGTTTTTCCGCTTCAGGAATTCTTCACTTCTGTGCAAAAATCCTGTTGCGAGGTCTTCCGCCGTCGCGACCGTGTGTTAGACTTGGGTGGCGCCGGTCTTGGCGACGCTGCTGCTACTGCTGTGGCAGCTGCATGGGCTCCTCTTCGAAAAGTGGGTTTGGAGCGGCTGCACCTGGGTGGGAATGACATCAGCGACGCAGGCCTGACCGACTGAGCTTTACACTTGAATGGCACGAAAACCTCTTCAAGATTTCCCACTCACCAGTCGTGCAGTCGCCTTGCTTCGCTTGGGAAGTGCTTCTCTAGGCCTCGCTGCTCTTCTGGCGGCCATGAAAGCTGGACCGCCCAGCAAGCTCCGCCGCTTGAACCTCCGCGGGAATCACCTCGGCTCAGCTGCTGTGGAGGCTGGTACAGGAGCAGAGAAACCGTAAAATCGCAGTCATTCATCAATGTCTGTTAATCGTCAGAGACATCGGCACAATCTGCAGCCATGAAGATCACCTTCATGGCTAGGGCTAGGGTCTCGACTCGTAAATGGAACTTTCAAAGCCACAGGCATTGGTGGACGTGCTGCCATGCTTGCCAAGGCGGGAGGGCTGAAGGGCTTCATAATGCAGGATGACTGTCCTGCTGAGATGTGTGCACCATCCTAAACCCACCTTCTCTTATGAGTGAGTGAGTGTCGACCAGCACTTACGGTGCGGCCTACTTCCCACGACCCTCTCAACATCTCAGGGGGGCTCCGCAGGTCATCGCCCCCCTCCGTCCCAGAGTTCAAGTGGGGGAAAAACTAGCTAGTGCAGACAGGTCACGGTGTAGAATACAAAGATACATGATTGAAACCCGAGAATCGGAGAGGCATAGTTCTTGATCAGGGATAAAGCGGGCAGGAGGCCAAGTCAAGGCGTGCGCCATGTGCCGAGGGAACACTGTTCCAGCACCGAGGGCGAGCACGCCACCAATCAGGTACAGTAAGTAAACATACACACTACCGCGGCAATCAACAGCACAGAGGCGCAGCTCTGGAACAAAGCCGATAACAAAGGCAGCAATCCAGGGAGCTGTTAATGCATATGGTGGGCGTGGAATACCTCACATATACACTGGATGTCCTCAGGCCCATGATGGTGGAGACGTCGGCATCGTCGGATCAGTTGCAACACCAGTTAAGGCAGAATACTAGAGAGCACTGTCGCCCTAGCACAAGGGAGGGGGGAAAGGGGGTGCTCATCGGGCAAGAGCCCTTAGTGCCGCCGCCCGGGGTCCACACCTTTCCACAAGAAACCCCCGTCCCAAACAGAGTGCTAGGCCTGGGGGCTCAGGTTTCTTGATTTCAAGGGGTCAGTCTGCAGGCTTGAATCTCTGGACCTCAGCGCCAACGATCTCAAAGCCGAGACTCTGGAAACACTGCGAGCAGCCGCTGCAAAGCGCCAGAGACCGCTGCATCTCCTCTGAGCCCGCTCCTAAGTCAGACTTCTTTTGACTGCGACTGGTAGCAGTGGAGACGGGGCTGTCAATCCTCCAACCCTCTGCCCATCAAAGTTAGGGTGTGCCACCCTCACCCAAGCTCAAGCTCCTCCAATCTCAAGAACGTTTGTTTTCAAAGTCCTAGGCCGGCGTTAGGTCCAGCCTACCTCGTAAGTGCTTGTCGCTTGAAGCTCCAGGACGTGAATGTGAATCTCGTCGGAAAGAAGTCTGGCTACCAGCGAGGGAGTTGGCTGCAATCTCTTCGAAGCCAATGTAAGCGGACTGCGCGATCGCTATAGAGGTGCTTCTGGGCATTTGGGCGACACGCGCGATCCGTGCTCAAACTTAGTTGACTTTCCACGGCCTGCAAAGTGCACAGGCCATGCAAAGGACCTTCGGAACTTGCCGCGCCAGTAGCCGTAGCGATCCTGACAAGGTGCTCAGAAATGCATTTCGGGCTTGCGCCAGTTCCGTGGGTCTCACACGGGGTAGGATTGCTAATGCTCACCGGCATGATCTTTGCCAGTGTCCACAATGCGAAGACATGCAAGAAAGTGGGAGCGTCGGCGATCGCAAGCATCTCGCCGTTGCCCATCTTGGCAGTTCTGTCGTTTCGCAAGGCACACCAGTGCGGCGTGGACAACCATTTGGCAGCAAAAGGGCTTCGTGCCGGATCGGTTGAAGAGGCACACAGCTTGGAGGTGTAGCCAATTGCACAGGAGTTTTTTGCTCGGCCAGGCAGCTTGCTCGGAAAGAGGCAGCCTGCGAGCCCCTTTCAAAGCGTTTGGCCACAGGGCAAGATCCCGGCCGCCAAAGGCAAGAGGCTCAGTAATTTCACTGTAGCTTTTTAGATTGGCTTGAGATCCAAGGTGGAAGAGTTCGGTTTTGGGCTGCTGGGGCAAGCTGATTTATGCTGTGTGTCGTTTCCCATCTCCAAAATCCAGGGAAGATCGACGAGCCCTTTTGTTGATCACATCGCTATGTCAGCGCGCAGATCACTCCTCCAACCTGGCCCCTTGAAGCCTCGGACCCCAAGGCCCTGAACCATCATTAGTTCCATCTACTGGTCAGAATCAATGAGTCTGTCTAATCCAGCAACTGGCCAAGGCCTGCCGTTGAGGAGGCACAACAGCAGATCGATAAGCCGCCCTTCTGCAAAGAGCCAGCAGTCCTGGTTTGAGGATGCCTGGCAACTTTGGAAGTCTGCCGCGTGGTTTCTGAAGGCGACAGGATCGTACCACAAGAAACTGGCGTTCCTGCTCACAAGCTAGAATCCTATCCCTATAGCCACTAACCGCTAACAACTCACAGGCTCAAAATCTTTGACAATTTGAGAGAAGTCGAATCCTATCCTATCGAGGTTGCTGGCTTGGCAAGCAAGGCAAAGAGCTGGTGACAACTTCCCAGCATCTCGACGCAGAGTCAGACTGGGGTGCGGTTCGGGGGCCGGGGGGGAGGGGGGGCGATTAGGAGATTGAGAATAATTCAGCAGCTCCCTCACCCCTTCTTCCACTGCATAGTCGTCTCACTGGCCTAGAGACGCTGATTAGCTCTGCCGCACCCACGGCTCAGTTTCGATTGGCATGCCCACGAGAACTCAAGCGACTTCATAGCCGCAATAGCCGTGAGCTGAGGCTCGGCCCAAGGCCAGGGGCAACTTTGCGAAACGATGGCAGTGCCGGCCCGGCTGTCTGTCGCGTCCAAGCGCTCGAAGCATCAGCCCGCATCCAGGTGTTCCACACTTAGAGCGCACGTGACGGAGGGGGTTGGTAAGCATCGGGCTGTTGTTTTGGAAGCCGGTGGAGCACGGAGATTTCCTCGGCTTGCATCATGCCGAGAGCAGCTGCACATTCAGTGTTGCCGCGGCTGTCTCCGTTGGCGGACTGTGTCACATGCTGCGACCATGGAGATGATGCAAGTTTATTGCGAGGAGCGTGGATTGCAGCAGGTTGCCGACAGTTGTGTGCATGATACACCCATTGCTTCGTCTGCGCGGGGATACCCTTGCCCCTTGCAAACTGCTCGTTCGTGAAGGTCTATGTTTACGTCAAGCGGATGCATTGACAAACGTGACTATACCAATCATGCTCACTTCTGACAATTGCACTGCCTGCAACACATAAACATAATTACACCGGTATCCATGAGTTGGTGGCTAGGTTGGCATAGGACTTTGTTGCATGCTGCCTCGAAGTAGCTATCCAACCATGTGCGCGTGGCGATGGCCCACACGGCCACAGCGGAGGCACTGGAAATCAACAGCAACGTCCTGCGAGTGAAACTGAAACCAGAAATCCGGGCTCGGTATCCAGGGAAGCACAGTTTTCAATGCGGCTTCAATCATCCAAGGCAAAGTAAGTCCGAGGGTCGACTCTGGGTGACTCCTCCTTCCTAGCAACTGGAAGAGCTGTAGCTTTGTAAGTCGAGGGCCAGCTCTCCAGAGCCAAGCCTGGACCCAAGGGCCCCCTTCGTTTTCAACCGTGGCCTGAAATTTCCGTGAGCTTTCCGCGACATAAACCGGTATTGAGCTGTGAGTGCCCGCAGCACTACTCTTCTCCCCAACACATCCGAGCAAACCCACTGGCAAAGGATGACATAGTGTACCTCAAGAGCATCGGATGAAAATCGGATAGCACTTCCCACTGCAATGGCGCGGGCCTTCACTCTCTGCACCATGGCCTTTACAAGCCTGTCAGACTCTTCTGACCTGCTCGAAGTGACGGCCACAGAGGAGGCGAGCTTTCAGTGTATGAACCCCTTGTTCCGCATCCAGTGGCACACCGGCGCCACGGACCTGGCTCAGCTCCTGCCAAGACCCTCTGTGCATCACGACCTTCTCAGGTGCCCTTTGTGGAACCAGAAACCTTCCTGCTGCAGTACAAGTCTTGAGCCCTTTCAGCTCCGAATCTTCGACGCACACAGAGATCGGATGGAGAAGCAGGTTCAAGTTCTGGAAGAGTACCTCTCCCTGATGGTCAAACTGCGAGGCTCGGAGGTCTTTGAAGATGCAGTTCTGCTCGAGCAGGATTTTTTGGACAGGGCAGTCGATGCAATGCGCACTGCACTTTCGCACGCTAAGCCCTGCATCCTGCACTTCTTGGCTTTCGTAGCAGGCATGGTCTGCTTTAGTTGCCAACCTGATTGGGTGGATTATGTGTGGCGTAACCCACTCGGTCAGGTCACGGGAGTAAATGTTGACCCCAATGCTTGCATATATGTGGATCGTGGATGTGGGGCCTTCGGACACACGGTGCAAGTTGCGTACCTGCATGTAATGGAGACCCGCTTGGCGAAATATCCCGCAGCTTCGCTGCCAGACTTTTCCATGTTCTTCAGCCGTGAAGCACTGTGCGAATGGCTTCGTGGTACCGTGGCTGTACATCCATTGGCATTTCAGCCCAGCGAAGTATTGACGAGGCGCTTGAGTCGCGAAGTTCCTGCGAATCGTCGAATGCCGCAGCGACATCTGGATGCGCCCCTCGGAACCAGCTCTAGCACGCCCTTGCCTGAAGCTGTGGTTCAGGCAACAGCAATACCGACTTCTTTGCCACTTCCTCAAGCACCCACTGGCCCATCTTCACCAGCACTGGCCTTTGATCCTGCGAAGGATGGCCTAGCATCAGATTTCCGCATGCAATTCGCTCCCGGATAGCCTGCGTTCGATAGGCTGGCAGAACGACGTAAGGATCGCGCAGATGCTCTTCGTGCAATAAGCCGGATGCTGGATACCCGGAGACGACACCGCGCACTGGAGCTTGAAAGCATTCCCTGCCCAGGCGAGACGGACACTGAAGCTGCTGAGGAGAGCAGCAGCACAACATGTTTTGCAGGGCGTGGCACATGAAGTCCAGAAAAGATCCTTGCACAAATCTTGCCGTTTGTGTCTGTCTGCTGTACATCACGTGACAAGTGCGATGCGATCCGTGAGGCGGCCAGGAAAGCTGTCACCTCCCTGCTGAGCCAGCTTGGCCATGTCCTTGGCGCGGGTGATGCAGCTAGGAAGCTCTGCCACAATTACCGCTCTTGTTCAACCTGGCTCGAAAGTCTCTGCTTTCGTCCAGAGGCTTATATTCAAATCGACGATAGATGCCTTGTAGTCCGGCCCCATGCTTATTCAAAGTATTCTTCGGTTTACTCCGTGCATTTTGCTGGCTCAAGCAGGGCCTGTAGTCACAATCCATGACAGAAGTCCTAGGCTGTACTGTTGAGTTCATGTGCTCTTGCGCCAGAAGCAGTCAAGCAGAGAGCCACAACCAGCAAGCCTCGCACTATTGTTTGTCTGAGCAACGCTTAAGGTCTTCATCTGTCGTGCGTGCTTGTCGAGATCACACCCGGAATGGCGTGCCCCATGTTTGCAGAAGTGGCCTCCAACCTTTCCAAGCGTACGCTCCTGATTTGGGGAGCCAGTTGCCGGCAAAGCTTACATGAGGCCTTCGAGGCCTCTGGTGACACCTGGGCATCTGTTGACCTTACATCCTGGCACCCGGGTTTCCCGGGTCCCCCCGGTATGAACGCGACGGACGCGGACTTAGAGGCCGCTTTGGGGCGCATCCCTGTTGGCCGCCTGCGGCGTCTGAGACTTGGGAGGGGTAAATTTACCGATACCGGCCTTGCACCCATCCTAGCAAGGCAAGCTGGTCTCCAGGAGCTCTCCCTCATCGGGCCTGAGACCCGAAAGAGGAAACTTGAAGGGAGTGGGAAGGAAGAGCTGACAGGAGAAGCTCTGCTTGCGGCAAAGAGGCTGCGACGCTTGGAGACATCAGGCCTGCCCTCTGCTGTTGCGGCTCTCGCTGCCAAGCGCAGCGCACCGGCCGGGCCCTTCCTCGAATTAGAGGAGCTTGTTCTCCACAGTCCCAACGAGTCTGATCTCCAGGCTCCCAGATGGCCTCTACTTGGTTACATTACCATAAGGCTCCATAGTAGTTCCTTTTTGGGGTTCATATATAGCATCCCATAAGGTAGTGCCAAAAAGGAACTACTTTGGAGCCTCTGGGTAGTTGCTCAAGTGGATGATAGCATCTCATGAGCTGCAGGCCGTTCCAAGCTTCAAGGAGCTGAAGGTCTTGGAGGCCATAGCATCCCCATACTATATGATATACTGTATGGGAAACTACGGTATGCTATCGTACACTTCACCGTACCGTAGTATACGATGTATATTATCATTATCATATGTATTATGTTACACTATCATGGGAGTTTCCGAAAATTAGGGTACCCTATCTTGGCGTCCTGATAATATCAAGGATACTATATTTGAGTCCCCTTCTTTTCGGAAACTCCTATATCCTAAACCCTATAGATCCCTTATAGGAACCCTTAAAGGAACCCTTATAGATCCCTTTAAAAGGAGCCCTATTTACACCATATCTTTCCATAGTGACTAGTGCACTTCTTGCCCACAGATCGCCCCGGCCCCGCTGGTCTTCGATGAAAGAGGCCATCTCCGGCCAGTTGCAGACCACAAGGACATGGTTTTTGGGGGTCTAGGGATTTAGGGTCTAGGGGTTTAGGGTTTGGGGTTCAGGGTTTGGGGCTTTCGTTGGGTTTTGGGGGTTCAGGGTTTGGGGCTTTCGTTGGGGTTTAGGGGTGCAGGGTTAAGGGGAATATCTTGCACCTCATCAACAGCTACCAGCGAAGAGTAGAATCTGCGCAAACCCTACGAGCCCTCCAACAGGCTGCGGAGGGACCCGAAGGGTCCTAGATACTGCTCTGGGGGATACTTAACCAAACCATAACAGCAATTAGGACCCTTTGTGGGAGTCCTGGCATGCAGGGGCTGCTCCAGATTCTCCGTGCCTGCCGCAAGTTGGAGTCGGTTTCTTTGGAAGGGCCTGGACCTTAGCCTCTGCAGTTCAGTAGGCTTTAGAACGACAATGTGTTGTTTAGTGGGGTTTACTTTGACTTTGCGTTTTCTACTTCTTTTACCCCCGTGAATCATCCATGAAGCAGCAGATCACCTTGCTTCTAAACCCCAGCTTTTGACCTACGACAACGGAGGCGATTTACCCCTATAGTCGCCTTTACAAGCCGTTCTGTGCTGTGGGAACGCGCAAGGGGCAGAGCAAGAGGGCGCAACGCACATCTAACAACCAATGTTGCCAACATCTTCATCTCTTTGTGCTTGTCACTTGTAACTGGAGTCCAGGTCAGAAAGACATTCGTCCACATACACGGGTGTGTCTGCAAGAAGCCCGCAGAAACTGAGATGTGCAGCCGCAACATGTTGCAACGACGACGACAATTCTGCCGGCATTCCCCCCCCCACACTCGCAACACCAGACGCAAGACTGGAAACTTGCATGCATGCTTGGGCTCGTGCATACGTACATGCATGCACAAGTATATACGCGCGATTTGCTACGCACATGTTTACACGTACAAATTGCCGTGATGCGCAGAGACACAGAAACGTTAACATCATAACGTGCTATATCCGCAAAACTATACTGATGTTGGAGAGACCCATACGAAAATGTTACAAGAGGCGGTGCCAGAAGCATATGCAACAAAGCACGGCCTCCCTTGCCGCTACAATGATGGAGCAAGAAAGCTGGTAGAACTAGTGTAGTTCAAAAGACGACAGCGGCTCTTGATAGTGAAAGAATGAGAGGACGACACAGATACAGAAGCCGAACGTCGGGGCAGGGCCACAGCAATCAATGTTAGGGTTTAATTGGGTTGAATTGACGGTATAACATGATTCGCATGTTTTGAAGCCGCTGATGGCCTCCTGAAGCCGGTCACATTGCTGCAGAGTCCACGACCTCTTCTGGGAACGTATCGCTGGGCATGGCTAGCGGCTAGCAGACAGACTTCCAGAGTTGCGCTTGTGACCCATTTCTTCCTTGTCGCGGTCTTAAGGACACTGCTGCACCAGGAGCTTGTAGAAGCACTTCTGCAGCTTCCAGCTCTTACGGAGGTCGTCGGGATCTTGGCCCAGGCCGGCATGGCCTAAATAGGCGAGTGCAAACAGCAAGAGCAACCTCTGCAGAAGCTAAGATGTGATATTTGTAGCCGCTGCCAAGATATGTTCTGCCTTTTTCAGAGCTTACTGATGGCCCCTGGTGGTTCCTTGACTTCTTGAGGTACTGTAGTATTGCATATTACATGTCACAGGACAGAAGATGCGAAGTTGCAATCCAGCATCATAGTTTTGTGCATGGAGCTTCCTGTAACACAAGGCGCGTTGCTGCATTTTGCAGTCTTGACTAATGATTTACAGGGTTGTAGTCGCGGAAATGCTGCGCGCGATGCAGCAGCGGATGCTTCAGGAATCCAGGTGAAATCGTTGTGCTTTTGTCGCAGGATGTGAACGAGAGCGTGGTCCAAGCTCTTTTGCACAAGTGTGCAAATCTTGCCCTGGTTTCCCTGCATTTGCAGTGAAGGCCATGACTAGTTGTTTGATTTTAATTTAGATATAGCCCCGTTGAATTAAGAGATTCGAAATGCCAGGCTTTCACAATGGTGAGCTGGTAGCTTACTGACGACTCGTCTGCTATCAGCGTGCAGAGGGATCCCTCCACGGGTTTTCACAAGATGTTGAAAGAGCCTTTGTGGAAGCCCGGATGCTAATGCCTGACCACAAAATCTGCCCAATTCGGAATGCGATTGTGCTCGCAGCAGTCAAAAGATGCAAAAGTCCAGTTCTTTGCTTGTAGTATCTTGTAATTAACTTGCAATAGCCCCTTTGGCACATGCATGTTGCCGGCTGGAGTGTGGTGTCGGACGCCGCCTTCGAGCAGATAGCATTTCCCACTCAATCAGTACCTGTCGGGACATCTCTCCTTCCTGTTGCAATAACCCTAAACCCTAATCCCCTAAACCCTAAACCCCTAAACCCCCAAACCCCTAAACCCTAAACCCCTAAACCCCTAAACCCTAAACCCCTGAACCCTTAAACCCTAAACCCCCAAAACCCCCAAAACCCCAAAACCCCCAAAACCCCTAAACCAAGGCGTGGATGATTGGGAGGAGGAGACAGCCGATCTCTTGCTGGGAGCCTCGCTCCGAGGAGCTTTTGGAAAAGCACTGCGCTTCATGTGGGAGTTTCCGAAAATTAGGGTACCTTATTTTGGGGTCCTTATAATAAGGATCCTACTATTTGGGGTCCTATATTAGGGTCCCCTATTTTCGGAAACTCCCATGTGGGTGGTGGTCAAAATAAGGGTCCCGTTTTGGGTACCCTAAGTAAGAGGTGCTGTATGATAATAGGCGCCCAAAAAGGGACCGTAATTTTGACAACCACCCGTGTCAGCTGCCTTGAAGTAAGAAAGGTTTTAATTGCCGGTTATTGCCATAATTACTCTGACTGTGACAGTTTTTATGTTGCTGACTTCTATGTTGGTCATTATCTTTGCTAACAGTGTTATTACTACTTGCTTACTAAGTTGCTATTCTTATTGTGGTCTTGCTGGCAGCCTGGGTAAGGTTGCTTGTGCTGAAGCAGCTGAGCTGCTCGCGGGGGCATCCAGGCTCCGCCTCCACTTTTCTGCCATTCGAAAGCAATTCTGTTGCACTATACCATCACTTAGAAGGGGCCCCCTCCCTGTAATAGTGGTATAATAGGAATATAATAGGGCCCTACTATAATCCTTATAGTCACTATTACAGGGTGGAGGCAGCTTCTAAACCATCACATATGAAAGGGTGCACAGTTTAGGGTTTAGGAGCTCTTAGGTACACTCTTGCACCGTTTCATTTTCATCATTGCATCAGACTAGATTCCAAGCTGGTACGTTCGGGTAGTGCCAGAAGACACTGCGGACTTTCACAACTGTGGCCTGTCGGTTGCTGGTCTCTTGTCGCGACAGCCACCACTTGAGGAGAAAAAACGGGAGCCAATTGGTGGCAGAATCCTTGTTTGACAGACCCGAAGACAGGGACATGGGGGTTCTGGCACCCTGGTTTCAGGAAGCTCCTGTGTGTGTGTGTGTGTGTGAATGCCTGAAGAAGAAGCCCATCCGTAACCGGCGCTGAAGTCGAACAGTAGCACGCTATTAAGGCCCTTATATCAAGCCCTGGACCCCAAAATCCCAAAACCCTAAATTCCCCTAAGCCCCTAGTCCCTTACACCCTATTCCGGAGAGGGCTCAGAATGCTTCGAGGCTGCAGGGAAGCACTTTGATCACAGCAGATGATGTTCGGCAAGCGGCCTTTGTCTCGGTCACTGCATCTATAATATACACATGTACTTGTTGCTCTTGCTGCTGGCCCGGTTCATGCTTGTGCTACTTGCGAAAGCCGCACGTGGGACCTTCAGAAGTACTTAGAGACCTCAGCTTACTGCCATGCTAAATGCCGACACCCAAGATGCAATGGTGGCAACAACGACATCAACATCAACAGTAGTGATAATGAGAGTAGCAACACAGACTCAAGTTAAGATGCCACTGCAAATAAGCAGTCTGCTCATCGTAGCAATGGCGATCAACGTAGTAGTGATGGTCATAGTTATAATCATCAGCTTATGGCAAAGAACCAAGAGCAATGATGGATGAGGATGATGATTCGGTGATGATTGTGATGAGGATGATGACAGCCATGATGGCGACCATGAGCATGGCTGTGATGATGATGGTGAGGACGCTGATTTGATGATGATGATGCTGATGATGCTGATGTGATGATATTTTTGACTGGTGGTGATAATGACGATGATGATGATGATGATGTGTTAATAACATCATGATTGGTGATGATGATGACACTGATGACCATGGTCATGATCATGATCTGATAATGATGATTATGATGCTGCTGACCACGAGGAGGATGATCGTCTCTCCGAGGCTTTCTTGCGAGAGGGGGAGCCGCCTAGCGAAGCTGAGGCAGCGGTGACCTGCAGTTTGTGTGTGTGTGTGTGTGTCAGTTCTAGCTTCGGGCCTTCTCCAGGATCTAGGAGTTGCGTTCTGGGCTTCCAGGACACCTCGGGAAAGAAACTGAGTTCGGCTCCATTTCTTGTGTTTGGGTTTGCGCAGGAGCTCACTTTCCAGTGGAATCTTGCAAGTCACCCTAATCCTCAATGCAGAGCCACTTCACAGTGCAACGCTGAGCTGAGTTTTTGCAGTTCTGTGCAGGATGGGGATGTCGACAGCTGTCTCGACTCTAGACCTGTCTAACTTACTCCTTCACCCACCAGTGTAGCCACTATGCCATCACATCGCTTGTCAAGTGTTTGAAGTTTTGTCTTGATGTGCAGTGCAATCTGCTTCTTAGAAATACCTCTCTCAGGCACGGAAGCGCCGCAAAGCGATCAACGAGCAGCCTTTGCCTGTCGCCATCTGGCATGGAGAGTGGATTGGGACTTCAATCGGCGTCGCAGTCGTACTGGTAGTGGTAGTGGTGGTGGTAGAAGTAGTAGTTGTTGTCGTCGTAGTAGTAGTACCAGCAGCGGTAGCAGATTTTTATATCTGCCGTGGCCAGTCAGGCTTGCAGAGTACCCGTGACAAACCAAACTCCATTGCAAGCAGATTTGCACACGATTTGCCGATGTGTTTGGAAGCTCATATCCTCGCCCATTACATCTTGGTACAAGGGCTTTTCAGCAAACTTCCGCGGATGCTTGTGCGCGTAAGGACGCGAAAGGGTCTTAATGGTCCTCTGTCGCCTTCAAACCACAATCCACAGTGTGAGGTGGACGACACAGAGTTTCTCATGCTCAAGCAGGCCACCGCTCAGTTGTGGTGCAGCCGTGCCGAGCCCAAGACATCCACATGCATTTCGTTCGCACTTGTGCTCCACGCCTGAATATGTAAGTTTGTGTTTGAGCCGTATGATGCAGTCTGAATAGTGTTGCTGTCGGATAAGCTGCACAGATACCATACCGCAGTGTGATCAACGCAGCACAGCATTACAAGATGCATAAATCCTAGGTAGCTTAGCAGAACCTGGTATAAGCTAGCGAAATACGACATTGGCTGATGCACCTGAACTTACATCACACAGCACTGCCAGAAAGGCATAGCGCGAGTGGATGCGTTCTGCATCATGCACAAATACAGCACTACATCGCATAAGACAAGATCGCAGCGGCATCCTTGCATTGTTGGTGTGGTAACTGTAGCACATTGGGCCGCTGGTTTTTCTAGGTGCGGCTTGGCTTGGCCCGCTCATCCCCTGCCAAGAGTACTTCCTGAGTCGCAAAACCGATGTATTACATATGTACACATTTTACATGTCGTTGCATACGTACCTCGTCAAGCTCTCGCCTGTTTTCTAGGAGAAGCCCAAACCAGCATCTCGCATCAGCGTCGGGAGCCCAAACTGCCGTGAGCTCGCAGCGATTTGTTCTTTCCAGACGTCCCAGCCTTTCAAGCCCTAACTACATGTTTGTATGATAGGGCATAGGGTACATATATATAAGTACATGAGATATAACCTGAAGTCCTTTCAACAGTCTCCTGCCGGAAGGTGCATCCTTCTTGTGTTGTCGCAAAGACGGCTGCCATGTCCATGGTGGCAGTTGCTATCCGAGGCTGAGAGCACCGCGCCTCGTGGAAAGGGCGAAAGTGCTTCGCGTGACGCATCCGATTCGGAACTTTGACGAGGCGGGAAGACGCAGACAAACTGCTAGAGCATACCCAGGCATGCCCCCTTTTGATGCAGGATCTGTTTGGGCTCTGCAAAGTGGGGTGCTGCGTTTGTTTTGCTTAAATTTGCCTGTAGTCACTGTAGTCCTTGTCCAGCACGCAGGCAAGGACCGCAAGGAGTAAGCTTTATGATGGCACGGCCACGTGGTGAGAGTGCCGGAAAGCATCGGAACGCAGATTTCATAAGATGCGGGTGTAGTGAGGACTAGGATAGCACTGCGAATTCGCCAATTAGCCTCAGCTTGATCAGGTGCTGCTGCTGGGCACCGACACTGTCCTGCTTCACATGTAGTGCAGCTCCCTACAGTACGCAAAGACCGTACTACTCCCGACCTTGACACATTGTGCCAGACGCCGGCAAAGGGCGATTTTGGTTCGGACGATCTCCATCTGCCTGCGGAAAGCTTCGTGAGGTATCGTCGCCAATCCGTTAATTGCAGACTTTGGCTCGAGAAGGCATGATGACCAACAAGGACGAAGACTACCCTCGAAACTTCGCAGACTGTCTACGAGGAAGCAGGACACAAAGCTTGAAGCGCCGTGGTAAGGTCCTTGGTGACAGCCTGAATCGGCCGCCATGCCCTACTTGCCGCAGCAGCTGCCGCAACACAACATGCTGTCAGACATCCGCGAAAGACTTGACTTCCTGGCATCAGAGTTCGTTGCTTTGGCCGCACTGCTGCGTTGTTGAAGCAAGTCTCGTAGCACATCTGCTCAACTGCTTTGTGCGCAAAGCCGCTCTGCGACGGTTTTCCAGACCCTTCCCGCCGGCACAAGACCCGAAACCCTCCAAAGCTGCATGAGCCATTGTCAGGAGAAGCTAGCTGCTGACAACGAACGTCTAAGAGGGGAGCTGACGCTGAAGAAGGATGAGTGCTCTGACTGCATTGAGCTGTCTGTTGACCAGCGTTCCGTATCGCTCCTGCTTTGCTGCTTGCCCCAATCCTGACGCTGCCAACCGCGACTGCAAGGCCTGTCCAGCCCATTGCCAATGTGACAGCTCTTCGCGTGCCTGGGCAGCTTTATGATTTCATGAGATGCAGCGAGCCTGCCTCAAGATATGTGTGGTAAGATTCGAGCATGCCAGATATAGCGAAGTCTTCCTTCGTGTCCCTTGCGTCGCGGGTAATGCCCCATCGACCAACAGCACGCATGCCTCGTGCCCCTGGCCGGCCAAGAGGAGCCAAGAGCCTCAAACACTTGCATGAGACGGCGACGTCTGCTCGACAATGGGAGGATTTCAAGTTCCCACACGAACGTAATAGTCTTTCTCTGTTCAACCTGATCACGAAAGCTCCTTTCCAGGAGCTTGTGTATGAGAGCCGCTCTGCTGATCAGGGGTTCTGGAACCGCAGGTCAAGGCTTGCAAGTGCTCCTGATACTGGCGGCAGTCAGGCTCACTGTCCCTAAGTGGATATCTTCGCACGCATGGTTTCATGTGCACACGGCTTGGAACTGCGGCGCTGCCGGACAAGATCGCCACAAGTGCGGGCAAGGGTCGAGTCCTCGCCAGGTCCAGGTGTGATAGTTGAGGATTGTTGGGAGATGTGTGTGGGGCCATCAAACCTCTGATGCTCGCCCTTTCGGGCAGTCGGCCTTGGGTCCTTGAGCAAGGAATTTGCAGAGGGCAACAGTAATGCGCATGTCAGGAGCACGCGAACGTGCGGTCAGTACATTCTCCTGCTTCTCCGTTGTCTCCGCAAGCGCGTCTCAGCAGCATCGGAAGCCATTCCGTTTCAGATGGCGCATCGAGTGAGCTAGGGTTGTTGTTAGCACAGGTAGTTGTTCGGCTTAGACCAGAAAGTGGGCATAAGGTGCAAGTGGCTCTGTAGACAGGTAAAGGAGGGAGCTAGTTCAGCAGAAGGGAGCTCAGCCGCAGCATGAGAAGTTTCCACCTCGCAAAGAGAGTCGAAGTAACAGACTAGTTGACTAGTTTGAGAGGCGCAAGATTCTCCGAGCTTCGCGGTCTTTAGCAGAGGTGGGCGGATGCCGTCAGCGACATAGACACAATCGAGAATCTGCAGCCGGCCACCGGAAGGCCTGCCTATGCACCTCTCACCATGATTCAACATGAGCGGGACGTTCCGGAGATAACACTAGTCACTACCATTATCACGAAGAGCTTTTTCAACACTGAGTTCGACACTTGTTCTTGTCGAGATCTTGGCTGTCTCGCAGGAAGCCGAAAGGAAATGGCACCGCAGAAAAGCCATACGTTGTCAAGAAGAACACTGATGATGCTTGTCTGCGAATTGAAGTGCATAATGCGAGCGAGTTGTTGTCGAGATGCGGACCTTGAGCGCTTGTTAATGATGTTGGACTTGAAGGGTGCAAGGCATGGTGCGTGTGGAATTGGAGGGAGCAGCAGAGACGTGGAGAATCAGAATGGTGCTTATAAAGGATGAAATCATGAACGGTTCCAACATTGGACAGAATTTCAACACACGCGTGGATGAATATGCTAGCTGCTAGCAGTGCCGTTGGAAGTATCACTAGCCGGAAGACCGATGAACACCAAGTACAAACATTCTAAGTATTTAGGGCAAGGCATCAATCACATCTCAGTCTCAAAGACATCGTTTGTTTCTTTGCCGAACTAAGCAAGCTCGAACGATGACAGTACTGAGTTACTGTCGGCAGACACCAGAAGGGGAGGTAAAGGCATAAGTGGCACTAATACTACCACTTGTCACACGCCGAATTCGGAAGCATTACTCCCAACATGGGACCAGGATGGACCGGGCAACATGACTTGAAAGAAGGTTCGTAACATCATCTCTGTAGGATAAACAACATTGCAACTGACGGTCAGTCGCGCGCGACAGCATTGCCAGGACCATAGATCTGAGGCTTACCCCAATGGTTCGAATGCAGTTAAGTTAAGATGGGCACCATTCAGTGCATCAAGTGAAGGAGATATGGATAGCTCTGAACTTGCAAGTCTTGTCTGACCAGCGTATCCATGAGTGGTGCTCCAGTAGAGTTCTCAGAGTCGCGATGCGGACGTTTCGTAGTTGTACTCCTTGGTGTACCGCCTTGGAAGCTTGGCTCCCCGTGCGACCCGACGTTCCCGCTTTCACTTGAGAATCTTGCCTATCGCACATGCACAGAATGCTGTGATCGCTTGGTGCATTTTCGTTTTGCCTTGCTGATTGTCGTTAGCGTTCCATTTGCGGCTTGATCCGAAAGCGTTGGCTGCGGTTTCGTGCGCATCGTGATGGTCTGTATTGTTCGTTTCTGCATTGTTGTGGTACGCAGCAGGCGATGTGCGAATCCACCCAGTCAGATGAGCCGTGATCGAGACCCCAGTCTTGATCCACACTTGGCAATCTGTGACTCTTTTCTTTGCGAGGACGTTCTTCCATTCAGCGCGGGCAACTCAGACTCCGATAACGAAGCCTGGCTGCATGGATGGCAGAAAGCCGGAAGGATCCTCAGGGCTGGGATCAGTCTTGGCAGCTTTGCTCACTTCTACCCATAGGCCCCAAAGTTCTTTTTTGTGATTCATATATCGAGTCCTATAAGGTGATCCCAAAAAGGAACTACTATGGGGCCCATGGGCATGTAGCTGTTGCTTTCCTTGATCCAAGGACATCACCTCCTCCAGGGCGACAGCCGAGGCCCGGCTCTATGCGCGTGGTCAGATTCAGTAGCAGATGGTGCCCAGCACCACAGCCTTTCTTGTTTTCATGGCTTCCGCATATTCCAAGGTCGCATCTGGAGTCAAGCCCTACACTCCCAAAACACCCTGCACATAATATTCCCCTGAGCCCCTTTCTGAGCACAGCCCTGCCGAGCTTGCAGGTGACGAAGCCAGCCTCCAAGGCAGGACTTGTTTCGGAATTGGCTGAGCAAAGGACCAACCAAAACGCTGTTGGTACCGATTGCTGCCCATTCCTTTGAACTTAGGTTTTAGGGATACGAAATGATACGAATACTACTTAGTAGGAGAGATTGGCAAGCAGGCTTCTACTTGGGACATTTTGCAGACCTGTTTCACAGACTGAGACTGGGACTCGAGAATCAGTGCCAGGTCGGCCAGAACAAGGACAAGGAGCTATGGCATGCTCCGCTGCTTTTTCTGTCTTATTGTATGCCCCGGTTCTGGCCTTCGGGGCTCAGGTCCCAAGCATGTGCTACACGACTCCGCAATGCCTCCTCTCAGCTTCTGCCTCTGACTGTCAGGGAGTGTTTCAGCGATATCTTTGGGCTCGCTTCAAACAACTTGAATCTTCAGCTACTCGCGGCATATCTCTCGCGCGTGGTTTCGTTGCTATGACTGGTGTGTTACTGTCGAGGCGGAGTTGTTACAAGCTGAACGTGTGCACCACTGCACCACTTGGGAGGGACCGGTAGTAGTGGCAATCTTGGTGTCCCCCGCTTCCAAGTGATCAAGTGGTACAAGATTGCCGCGATGACCAAGATTGCCAGGCCCCTCCCGCAGCATGAAAATGCCCACGAATGGGCAGAGACAGAATACCAAGATAGACCGGCAATCTTGCCCCTGTTAGTGGCTCTAATCTGCCGGCACACTGTTCTACCACTGCTGCTGCTGCTGCTACTTCTACTCCTAATACTCCTACTGCTACTCCTACTACTACTACTACTACTGCTGCTATCGCTACTGCTACTGCTACTGCTACTGCTACTGCTACTGCTACTGCTACTACTACTGCTGCTACTACTACTTCTGAATATTGATGCTGATGTTGGTTTTTCTGCTCTTGCTTGCAGTAGTTGTTGCCGTTCTGCCTTGTGTTACTAGAATTGCTGGTGCCGATGCTCTTGTGCACAGTTCTATGAACGGCAGCACTCGAACTAATAGCAACCAGCATCTTTTCAAAATACTGCACGAGCCTCCGAAGACTGCCGGCAGTGAGACTCCAGATTGCAAGCGCAAGCTACGGTTGTGAGCATTGTAAGCCACCTGGTTTCGAGATGGCATCACATTATG